CCAGGGAGGCCCCAGCTTCATGCAGTCTTAAGGCTGCTCACATAAACCTTGGAGGTGCCCAAGCGCTATAAAACAAGGACAACCCTTGACAGGGCCCCAGAGGGCCTGTGAGAGTTATCCCTAATCCAGCAAAAGCAGAAGGCTTACCTCTTGGAAGCAGGATGAGCCACTACACCTTGTTAAACCACCTGTGTGCAGGTGACTGCCCCCTCTTGTCTGCTCTCCTGATCACCCCTGGAAGTGGCAGAGGTACCAAGCCCTTTGGCAAGTCCCAGGCACAGGGCTGAAGAGGTGGAAATGCCAGCCCTGGTAACTGGATCTGGAGGCATGTTTTCCTTGTTGCTGAATTTAGCCCTGAATTGAAACATCCCTACCACACTCCCTATGGTGGCAGCATACTGCTGAATCTAGGCCAGGGGGTGGTGGTTAATGAGCTTCAAGTAGCGTTCACCACAGGACACATTTAGACCCAGTGTATAAGGAAGTGTCAGTGGGCTACAAGGGTAGGCATTAGTTTTGGGGGTGCTCTGGCACCTAGTGTGGGAGTAATGGGAAATCCCCACTCATCAGAGATCCTTGTCAAGGGCCCTCTTGGTTTCAGGGCCTCTGTCAGACGCTGCAGTGCAGTGGGGACAGATTGGACATTTACAGGCAGCAGTCCTTGGCTTTGGTTGCTGTCATTTACTGACCTTGTCTGGAAAACCTTCCCACCTTCAGAGTCCCTGCCGGCGACTCCACTCCAGGCAGCCTGTGGGGAGCCTGACTGAGAAAAATCCACTCACAACAGGGCGGCCTACACACTACCAGCCCAGCGCCCAGGCCCCACGAGCCTGCTCAGTGGCCCCAGCCTGCTCAGGTGGTCCCAGCAGCCCGGAATGCCTGCTCGTTCACGTGACATTTCCCGCAAGAAAGTGCCCTGACTCCTGGCGGACAGGGCACCTCTGGGAAAGCCCCATGCACTATCTACATCTGCTGATAACTGACTTGCCACGTCAAGCACTTGGACCTCAATTCCACAGAACAGTTTCAGTCATTAGGACCATTTTAAGGAGGCAGCCCTTGGCAACTTGAGTTAACTTGTGAAGGGACACAAAGCTAGAAAGAATCAGAGTTGAAAGCTGGTCTATGTGAGCTGGGCTCTGGCCTCCAGCCTTGGTGCCCACCCCCATCCCCACCCCACCCCCGAAAGTGCCCACCTGGCTTCCAAAGGCTTTGCCTCCTCTGAGTATAGAGGCCTGGAGCCCTGTCATTTGGCCAAGGGCAGAGTAGTGATGTCATCAGGCCCAGGGGAGATTTCCCGAGATATTTGATTCCCAGGGGTGTGATCCAGTTGTGTTTTGAGCCCATCACCCTAGTTCAGGCACCTGGCCACAGGGCCTGCACTTCACCTACCAGAATCCATTCTAAGCCTGATTTTTTTTTTAAAGATTTATTTATGCATACAAGAACTGGGGTACAGGCCAGAAATATGGGGGGTGAGAGAACTCACCAGAGACAGATTGGGGAACAGAACAGGCAGATGTACTGAAGTACACTGCTGAGGGTAGCAGCGGGTGAGTCAGGAGAGGTCTGCTGCACCATGTGGGTAGCTCCCTGGTCGGGGATCGAACTCGTGCTGTGGTGGCTGTGGCTAGCTTCATAGGTTGCGTCTTAACCCCTCGCTCTACCAGGGAGGCCTCGCCAAGCCTGATTTTTGCTGAGAAAAAGTGGCATCAGGGCCCCTTGGGAGGCACAGAGTTCAGTAGTGGCCTGCACTTTTGTGAAGAGATAGCACTTGCCCTTAGATCTCGGCCCACACTGCCAGGTGGCCCACCTGCCTGCCAGCCGGCAGTGCTACAGAGGCCCTATCCTGTCTCTCCAGCACTAGACCAGAACTGGGCCTGTGTGCTGGCCCCCTCCATAGGGCCTTGTCAGGAGGCCCATCCTATCCCGGAAAGGGGGTGATAAGTGGGCTTTCAGCTAGTTAGGAAATCAGTCCAAGGTGAGGGCTGCTTTGTTCCAGTCTTGGGAAGTCAGAGACTCTCCTGACGGGGCCCAGAGGGCACTGCCTAGGTCTTGGTGCTGTTGCCAGACCCCTGTCCAAACAACGTGCCTCCAACACTCTACTGCCTGGTGGGTTTCCTGGTTGAGGAACTGATTAGCTGGAGCATCAGGGGAAGGCCCAAGGGAGGAGAAAGTATCTGGAGAGAGGCCAAGATCCTTGGGCAGACTGGAAAGCCTGCCTCTCTCCCATTCTGGCCTGATTTGGGAGTCCCTCTTCGGGTCTTTCATGCCCCCTGACTCTTCCCTCATGAACCCCCAATCACCATTCATTCATTCATTCATTCACTTGCATACTTGTTCAAGGACTTGGCAGGACAGAGCGTGAGTGAGTCTGGGTTCAAGCTCTTCACCAACCAGTTGTAGCAACCTGCTTACCATGCTGGACCTGTTTCCCCATCTATAAAGTGGGGGAATAGTACCTACCTGACAACCTCATTGTGAGGATACGATGTGATCATAAACCCTCCTGACTCAGAGTAATTCCTTCCTGGGAGCAAGAAGGCGGGGTGGAGTGGGCCTGGGGCTCTGGTATGGCTCCAATTCCCAGGTGACAGTTAATGAGATGTCAGCTTTACAATAACCATACTTCTATCATTGTTAACTACATTTTCCTGAGGTTTTCTATACATTTCACAATAGTTTTAAAACTTAAGTTTGTATTTCCCCCACCAAAATAAAAATCTTTTATCTATGCATTATCTCCTTCCTTCATCTAGGTCCATTTTTTTTAAATCTCTTAATCACATGCTTGTTTACATCAAAGTAAATCCTATCCAACCCTGCTAAAATGCTGGGAGCCTGCCTACAAACTAAAACCCAGTGCCTCGCCAGCAGCAGAAGTGTGGGGAGCTCGCAGGAGGGACGTGGAAAGGCAGCAGCTGTCCCTAGGGCGCTGGGCTGTGGCTGGTGTCTCAGAACAAGGCAGCCCGGCCAGGCAGTTACTCAAGAGTGGAAAGGCCGCTGGGAGGGAAGTACTGGGGCCAGGGACCTGGTACCCAAAGGAAGGTCTGCTGCAGCCAGCCTCCTGCGGACTTCCTCTGCCCTTCCCCTGTCCACCCAGGTAAATCAGCAGCACTGGACACGGGCATCCATGCAGGGACCTCAAAGCAGCCCCGTGTGGGACACAGGAGACCAGGGACAAGCCGAGTGTCCACCAGGGAGGAGCATTAAGTGAATAATTAAAGGACAGCCACTCAGCCATGAGCCTCATACCACTGCTCCCGCCCCCCCACGCCCCCACCATGTGGCGATGACCCCACCTGGTCTGGTCTTTGTTTTGAACTTTTCACTGGAGCAACGTGTACCCAGAGGAAGGGGCCCAGCACAGATCCTTATACCCCTGGACAAGGCTACATTTCAGAAAATGAGCACGCCAGTGAAACCTTGTCAAGAAAGGGCACGTTTCCTGCCCTCTGTGCTCCCACATCACCACTGTCCCTGTGCCCACCCCAGGGGTCTCGCTGGCTTCCACCACCGAAGGCTGGCTTGGCAGCATTTCAGCTCCGAATTAAAGGTGTCCCCCCTCAGCAGGTGCACTGTCTGAGCCTTCTCTCCACACAGTGCCTGCGAGATTCTCCACGTTGTGCTCTGTAGTTCCTTGCACAGCTGATAGTGTGTCCTTTTATGTGGGAAGATACTAGCTTTGTAAATGGAAATGACCAGAAAGAGAACTTGCAAGACTGGTCACACCCAAGGCTGGTGACCTCTTGATGGGGGCAGGGCAGCAGTGACAGGCGGCACCTACCAAGCAAATCTTTCAGAGTGAAAGTGGACCTGAATTCTTAGAAGGCAAAGCAGGAACAACCTGCTAGCCATTGTTCTAGAACCCCCCACTGCCTCATCCAGATGCCAACCATAGTCCCCACTAGCCCAGGAAACCTCTGGCTCTCAATACTTGTCTGTCTTTGCTACCAGGTCTCAATCTTGGAATCTGCAGCTCAGGACCACAGACTGGCCCCATCCAGACTGCCTGGGTCTGACTTTGGACCAGCTCTCCACGGACCTAGCCTCCCAGGCCCCACCTGCCTGCCTGAGCAGCCAGACTAAGTGAGGGAGACCGCAGACTCTCCCCTGGCACCCTACTGCCCTCCCTCCTGACCTCTTCCACCCAAATCTCCTTTTCCCAGCACCTATGGTCCCGCTTCACTGCGCGCCTCTGAGGCCAACTCTTTAATCAGGACTGGAACTCGAAGTCACTCAAGCTCTGTCCTGGCTGCTGCTGCTGCTCAGCCACGCCCACATGCCGGAGATGTGCACCTGCTAGCCCACACTCACGGAACAGCCCATCCACTCTCTCAGGAGCACCTCAGTCACTCCCCATGTGTGTATGAAAGGCCCACAGTGTGCCAGGCACCAGCTCAAGGGCTGGAGTCCTTCCTTGCCGAAAGAGGCCAAGCCCTCATGAGGCTCATGTCCTGGTAAGGAGAAACATTTTTAAAAGTAAAATAAAACCAGTAAGAGGCCAGTCTTGAAAAATGCCCTGAAGAAAAAAAACAGGGCGGGGTGGGAGCGTGGAAAGTATAAAGTTTTGGTACTTTATGTGACCTTATCAAGGAAGGCTTCACAGAGGAGGCACCATTCGAGCAGAAACCTGTAGAAAATGGAGGCTGGAGAAGAGGTTGCAGGTGGAAGGCGTGCAAGGGCCCCGGGGCGGGAGCTCCTGGCTGTTCCAGGAGCGCAGAGGGAGCCAGGAGGAGAGGGCGGTGATGGGCACGGGTCGCTTGCACCCCTTGGGACCTGGGGGGCCACGGGAGGACAGGGACAAACACAGCCGCCTCTTGGGAGCTCGAGGAACCCAGAAGCGGAAAGCAGAAGCAGAACCTTTTTGTGCGCCCTCCCTGCCGGGTCCTGCCCCCAACCCCAGGCGCCAGGCCAGAAGGCACTTCCTCTTTCCAGCCCATTTAAGCCCGCGCGGGAGCGCCCCGGGGGAGTGGGCCGCGCTCAGCCCCGCGCTCGGCCCCGCGCTCGGCCCAGCCATGGGCGACACCTTCATCCGCAGCATCGCCCTCCTGGGCTTCGAGAAGCGCTTCGTCCCCAGCCAGCACTACGTGAGTAGCCGCGGGCGCCCCGGAGCGCGGGGACCGCCGTCTCGGGGGCGGGAGGCAGGTGAGAGGGCCCGCGCTGACCCGGGGTCTGGGCCCCAGACGCGCGCGCCTTGGGCGGCCGCGGGTTGAGGATCGCGGGGGCCGCTGCGCGCCTCAGCCCTGGATGTGGGCCGCCCAGAAGAGGCGCGCCCCGGAGCCCCGGGAGCCCCATCCCTGCATGGGAGGACAGCCGGCCTCCGGTCCGCCTCACTCCCTGACCCCCGCCCCGCCAGGAGGCCCCTCTCCCTGCCGCGTCCTCTTCCCCGAAACCCAGCGCTTGCCTCCAGGGGTGCGCCTCTGGACAGCCCTCCCTGGGCCCGGCTCTCAGGGAGTGGGCCTCTGGGGGGTCGGGGGAGGCTGGCAGCGCTCTCTGTCCCCCCAGCCGCTTGTGGGGTCGGTTACATTGGAGTTGTGTCACCACAGGGGCCCCAAGTCTCCCCACCTGTCCTGGGACTGAGGAAGTGTCTGCCCCATCAAAGATAGGGTCCCCAAGTCCAGAGGGAGCCCAGGGAAGAACTGGCAAATTGTATGGCACTTTTTAGGGTATATTTAATATTCTGTGCCAAGACCTTTCTTCCTTTTAACTTTTTAATTTTGAAATAATTTAAAATTTAAAGAAAATCTGCCCCCTCCAAAGTACCAATAACTTAAACATTTCTTTTTTTTTTTTTAAGATTTATTTATGCATACAAGAACTGGGGTGCAGGCCAGAGGTGCAGGGGGTGAGAGGATTCACCAGAGACAGAGTGGGGAACAGAACAGGCAGATGACTGAAACACACTGCTGAGGGGAGCAGCGGGTGAGACAGGAGAGGTCTGCAGCGCCATGTGGGTATCTCCCTGGCCGGGGATCGAACCGGTGCTGCAGTGGCTTGTGCCACCAGAGAGGTCCAACTTTAACATTTCTTCACCCACATTCTCTCCCCTCTTTTCTCTCTCTGTATTTTCTGAATCTTGTAAGAGGAAGTTGTTTCTTTACCCCTAAATTCTACCAGGTGTATAATTTCAAATCAAGGACATTCCCTTATACAACCACAACGCAGATATGTCAAAACCAAAAAATTAACATTGACAAAGCTCCATTATCCACCCACAGACTTTATTCAGATTTTATGAACTGTCCTACTTGACCACGTTCAGGATCCGATCCAGGACCATCTTTTGCGTTTCATTTGCCTACTTAACCTTTAATCTGGATGTTTTCATCACTCTTTCCCTGATCTCAACTGTTTTTATGCAGTGGGTTATAATCCATTGCTACTGTTACTTATTTGAATGCTCAGGTTGTCCAGACTGGCCAGTCGGCGGCGCTCCTTCAAGTGGCTTCTATGCCCCTCTGACACATTCTTACTCTGGCCCGAGGTGTCTTGGCTTATCTTGTTCTCTCCCAGACCAACCCTAGAATTCAACCCTTTCCCTGAGGACTCCGGGTTCGTTGTAGCGGGGGAGTGATATTAGAAGCCACGCTCTGGAAGCTAGACCTGCTCATTGCTAGGGAAAATGGCCACTTGACGTCACTCTTGTCTTTCACCACTTCATGCTTGTGGCGCCGTCTCTCACTGTGGGAACTCTGGCTGGCGCCCAGCAAGGTGGATGGACTTGCTTCTTGGCTCAGTTCTACAATACACATCAACGTCCTTCAGAATTATGGCACCCACACAATCAACAATACACCCATTAACCTAGGAAGACAAATTTTTATTTTCTTTGCAGTTCTTTTATCTTTAGACTAAGGGTAGGAAAAGTACTGTAATAAAACTCACTTGCATTTTTTTCTTTCCACTTTTCTTTGATATGGTTGCTACCCATTTGATATATAGTTAAGTTCGTTTCTGTTTATTTCCAATTTTGAGGTTTAAAACAATATTTTCACTTTTATCTTGAAATATGCAGATATTAATACGTGATTAGCCATAAAAATTTTTATAAAAATGTATGCTCAAAGATATACTCATTCTAGTTCTCATCTTTCCTGTATTTCTCTTTGCAAATATAAGTAGGTACACACATGAATATTTTTTTCTTCTTTACTATATACAGATAACAAGCAAGGTGATGTGGGTTTTTTTTAAATATTTATTTATTTATGCATACAAGAGCTGGGGTACAGGCCAGAGATGAGGGGGTGGTGAGAAAACTCACCAGAGACAAAGTGGGGAACAGAACAAGCAGACTGCTGAAATACACTGCTGAGGGGAGCAGTGGGCGAGGCAGGGGAGGTCTGCCATGCCATGTGGGATTCTCTCTGGCCAGTCGCTGTGGATTGCTTCATAGTGCGTTGCTTAACCCCTTGCACCACCAGGGAGGCCGATTTTTTTTTTTTAGATTTATTTATTTATGCATACAAGAACTGGGGTACAAGCCAGAGGTGGGGAAGGGGTGAAAGGATTCGCCAGAGGCAGAGTGGGGGTGGATCTACTGAAACACACTGCTGAGGAGAGCAGCAGGCTAGTCAGGAGAGGTCTGCTGTGCCATGTGGGTAGCTCCCTGGCCGGCTGGTGAGCTCATGCTGCATTTGCTGCAGACTGCTTCATAGTGCTATGTCTTAACCCCTTGCGCCACCAGGGAGGCACCCAAGGTGACGTGTTTTTGTTTTTGTTTCTATTTTCTTATAACATCCTGGAGTTTCCCTCAAATGAGCTCATTTTTTTTTTTTACATCTCTATAATATTCCCTTATGCAACTTCTGCCATTACTTCTTCAAACATCCATTTAAAAAGATGAAGTATGTAGTGACACTGTTCCTATCAGGTATTAAAACAAAACAAAAAAATTTTTTTAAAGAGAGAGGTTTTATGGTGAGAGGATTCACCAGAGACAGAGTGGGGAGCAGAACAGGCAGATCTACTGAATACACTGCTGAGGGGAGCAGCAGGGGAGACAGGAGAGGTCTGCTGAACCATTTGGGTAGCTCCCTGGCCAGGGATCAAATTTGTGCTGCAGTGGTTGGTGATAGCTTCGTAGTGCCGAGACTTAACCCCTCGGGCCACCAGGGAGGCCCCAGAATAAAATATCTTTTATAATTAAAACTGTTTCATACCCAGTAGGAGAGCTATTATTTAAAAATTTTAAAAAGGGGGCCTCCCTGGTGGTGCAGCAGGTTGAGCACAGCACTGTGGGAGCTGTCTGCAGCCTCTCCAGTGTGGGTTCCATTCCCGGCTGGCCAGGGAGATACCCACGTGGTGCGGCAGTCCTCTCCTGTCTCTCCCGCTGCTCCCCTCAACAGTGTCCTTGGTCCATCTGCCTGTTCTGCTCCTGTTCTCACTCTGTCTCTGGTGATTGTATGCATAAATAAATCTTTAAAAAAAATTTAAAAATGGGGCCTCCCCTGGTGGCGCAGCGGTTGAATGCTGGGCTGCGAAGCTGCCCGCAGCCTCTGCAGCGCCAATTCGATCCCTGGCCACTGGCGAGGGTCCCACATGGTGCACAGACCTCTCCTGCTGCGCCCGCTGCTCCCCTCAGCAGTGTATTTCGGTCCATCTGCCTGTTCTGCTCCCTGCTCTGGCTCTGGTGAATTCTCTCACCCTCCCACGCTTCTGACTGTACCCAGTGCTTGTATAAATAAATAAATAAATCTTAAAAAAAAAAAAAAAAAATTTAAAAATGGGGGCCCACTTTTCTTTCTAATATTGACTTGATTGAGATATAATTCCCATACCATACGGTTCGCCCAGGGCACGGGTATGACTCTATAGTGTGCAGTGTAGTCACAGAATTGCACAACCACCCTTACAGTCATTGCTAGAAGATTCTCACTGCTACCCTAAAGAAACTCCACACCTGTTAACAATCACACCACAACCTCAGTCCCCCAGTTCCTGGCAACCTCAAATCTACTTTCTTTTTCATATCAATGGAGCGTGCCATATGTGACCGAGTTCTTATACTGTGTGAGCCCAGCCTGTTTGTATCTCACCTCCTGTGCTTTGCATCCAAGCCCCAAAAGGGAGCCCCAACTTTTATCTCCAATTTACAGATGAGCATTTTTTGCTCATATGTGAGAAGGTCTTGCCCTGGTCCTCGGCTAGGTGGTGGTAGCTGCTGGTCCCTGGAGTTGGTGCCCTTTCGATGGTCCAGAGAGCAGGCTCTCATCTGTCCCATTGGCCCCCAGGTATACATGTTCCTGGTGAAGTGGCAAGATCTGTCTGAGAAGTTGGTCTACCGGCGCTTTACCGAGATCTACGAGTTCCACGTGAGTGTGGGCACGTGCGTGCCAGGGGTGGGAGGGTACCCAGTTCCTGCTCTTTCAGGGAGAACAGGCCAGGTGCCCCCAATGCTGGAAGAACCAGAGTCCCCCCAGTCTCCCACCCACCAGCTCACAGAGAAGGCGGAATTATTTTTTCAACTAAACATATAGAACATAAATTTACCATTTTAACCATTTTTAAGTGTGCAGTTTGGTGGCATTCAGTAGTGCATCCACAGAACTTCTTCCATCTCCAAAGCTTTTTCATCTTTCCAACCAACCTCTGCCCCCAGGCACCACTAACTCAAGGGGGCATTCTTAAGGGACAGACCTCCTCTGTCCACTCGGCGGCAGCCTGGCCAGTGTCCCCAGAGGTGACTATCCCAGGAGCTGGCTCTTTCACCCCTGGTCACTAAGGCCCCTGGTGGACCAGAGGGAGCATGATGATTGTTTCACCCCGAAACTGGGTCACCTTGCTTTGTGGGTGTCTACTCTTGCCAAGGTTTACATGAGAGAACCCAGCAGGGTTCCCCACGCCAGTGACTGGTCAGACTGAAATGAGGGCCTCCAGGGGGCCATGGTGTGCAAAGCGTGGCTGCCAGGTTCTGGACCTGAAAGAGGTGGGTAGCAGGTCCCCAAAAGGCCACTCCGTTTGCGGGGCCCTCCTTCAACCAGGGAAGGGAGTCCTGGAACTGTGCGGGTTCTTGCATTTCTCTCGTGAGAAGAATGGGCAGTGAAGCACAGGTACCTGCAAAGAATACCAAAGCCAGCTTTGTTCACCCAGTGCCCCACACGATGAGGCTTTTTCAAGATACAGGAAGTAAAATATTATAAAAGACATGGAAGGCTCCCGTCATCCCACATCCCCATCCCAGCCCCTGCCCTGGGTGACTGAGTACGCACACACATGTCCAAGAACAGCACATAGCAGTGCTGAATGTGCATTTTCAGTCTTATGAAAAAGTCCTTGCGTGCTGTTAGCTTCCTTCTCTATCTTCTTACCACCACGAGAGACATTTTTTTTGAGCCAGGCTCATGCAGCTATGTATGTAACTCCAACTCACCTCGCTCAGCTATTCTGAGCTGCTCCATTGTAGCATTAGCCCATTTTATTAGTTGGTGAACTCATCATTTATCCAGCAACTATTTATTGAGCAACTGCTAAGTGCCAGGCAGTTCCATGTGGTCAGCAGGGAAATGCCACTCAAGGTGGTATAAATGCCAATCCCAATCCTTGCTTGTAAGGAGGTGTCAGGAGGATAAATAAACAAACAATAAGTAATTAGAATGGTGGAGAAAAATAAAGCAGGGAAGGGAGCCAGGGAGAGCTGGTTAAGGAGGGGAAGTCCTCAATGGGGGGTTGGTAGCTGAGCAAAGACTTGAGAAAGAGAAAACGCTTAGTGTGTGTGTGTGTGTGGGGGGGGTGTGAATACAAATAGCAAGTGCAAAGGTACTGAGGCATTATTGGGTCTGGAGTAGCCACGGGTGGCTGGGGCAGAGTGAATGGCGCAAGGTGGTGGCAGAGTGAATGGCGCAAGGTGGTGGCAGAACAGACAAGCGAGGTAGGCAGTGTAATCCCCAACTCTGTCTACGCAGCGAGGCACGTGGGCCCTTGCAGGCTAGCCTGACGCCTGACTTCCACTCTGAGTTGAGAGCAAGAAGGGTCTGAGCAGAGAAGGGACAGGATCTAACTTAGGTTTTCAGAGGATCCCTCTGGGTGCTGGGTTGAGGCCCCACAAAGGTGGAAGAGGGACCGACATAAGCCCAGGGAGAGGCTGCGACTCCTTAGCCGCAGTGGGAGCAGTTAGAAGGGTAAGGTTCTGGATAGGTCTTGGGACTCAAACCAGAAGTACTTGCTGGTGGCTTGGATGTGCCATGGGAGAGAAAGGAATGGTGAATGGGGAAGTTTCTAGCTGGAATGATGAGAAGTGTATTTAGGTTGTTTCCAATTTTGTGCTTTTACAGTGCTGTAATACAGAATATTCCTTCCAGAATGTTCCTTCACATCTTTTTTTCCTCTTCTGTCTAGAAAATGTTAAAGGAGATGTTTCCTATAGAGGCAGGGGACATCAGCGCTGAAAACAGGATCATCCCCCACCTGCCAGGTGAGGAGTGGGTGTTGGTTACCTGTTCCAGCCCCTCACACCTGCCCTCCAAGCTGCCCTCTCCACTCCCATCCCCACTGGGCCTTGACCTTGCCAATGTGCTCACTGGTTCTCTGCTGCCCTCCCCGGCTGACCAGCCCCAAGGTGGTTTGATGGGCAGCGGGCCACGGAGAACCGCCAGGGCACGCTGACCGAGTACTTCAACGGGCTCATGGGCCTGCCAGTCAAGATCTCCCGATGCCCCCACCTCCTCAACTTCTTCAAAGTTCGCCCAGATGACCTTAAACTTCCCTCGGACAACGAGTGAGTGGCAGGAGAGGGGTGGGGTGGTGAACCTGGCCTCCTGGGGGGGTGGGACTTTCCCCATTTTACAGATGAGGGGCCTGTCAGAGAGGGGAAGCAACCAAAGAGGGGGCAGGACTCCAGCTGGGGTGATCTGAACCACCCAGCACCCCAGCCTAGTCCCCACCTGCACTCCAGGAGGGCACTCTGGACTAGGGATCCAGAGCCCTGAGGTCCTCATCCTGACCCTGGTACTGCCTGGCTGTAGGGCCTGGAGCCTCTGGAAACAGTGTCCCCCGCTGTCCCCTGCTCACAAGCTCTGAGAACTGGGAGAGGAGCGGGGGTTGGTGGCCTTTGTTAATTGCTAAGCACTTGCCTTGTCCCCTCACCCTCCGCCGGTGCTCGCCATCCCCACACCGGGGCCAAGCAAGTCCTCAGGGGTATGTACTTTCTGCTTCAGTCAGCCTGGGGAAGGGCCTGCTCTCTCCTCTGGTCACTGAGTGTGGGGGGAGGCACCCACATAGCATTGCTCTGGCTGGTGCTTAAGGGCCCCTGAGGCTCCCCAGGAATAGGGGAGGAGGGCGGCTCCCCTGCCCTCTCCCAGTTGCTTGGGAGAGCCTCCCCTTGGGCTCCGAGGAAGATGGCCCAGGATCTGCCCTCACCCCGCCCCATCTGGCTGCGAGCTTGGGGTGGAGGGCACTCTGCAGCTGGCACCTTCTCCTGGGTCTGCAGTAGGTGGGGCCCCTCCCTCGACTGGCTTGTCCTGTCCTTGTTAGTCCAGACCACCTTCTCTCTGCCGGGCCCCCACTCCTGGCGTCTGCCTTCTCTTGGGAAGCTCTGTAGGGCTGCAGGCAGCTTCCTTTCCCCAGGGGGAGCTAGTGTCTAACCCACACTGTTACTTCCACAGGGTGAAAAAGCCAGAGACATACCTGGTGCCTAAAGATGGCAAGAGCAGTATAGCTGGTAAGAGGGCAGGAGGGGGGATTTAGGGGGGCAGTGGCCAAGTTGAGCCACCCAGGGGGACTGTTGACGTGATTGAGACTCTGACTGCAGGAAAAGAGCAGCTGCGAGGGTCTTGGTGACCTCACTAAGGAGTTGGGATCTTTGGGGGGGGTCACTGGCTAGCCCAGGGGGCTCCTTGGGAGTGACAGTGCTGCCCTCCCTGGGGCTGCAGAGCCCACACAGACCCGCTCCTGACACCCAGGGGATGCCGTGGCGGAATGAACCAGCAGGTTCCGGAGGGTGATGCAGGGGCGTGACTGTGTCTAATTTTTTTCTTTTTTTTCTATCAATAGTTTTTTTTTTTTCCTACCAATAGTTTATTTGAAGTGCAAGTGCTTCTCTCTGTGACTTTTAGTGATCTAGTCTCTTTTTTCCTGAGATAATGTTAGTGTGCAACACTGCACGGCCTTCAAGGGTACAGTTCCTAGCCCGCACCGCCGGCTGTCCGGCCTCCGCGCTGCCGGGGCCTGTCGGGGCCTGTCGGGCCTGTCGCTGTGGTGCGATGATGGTTAGTGACCCCGCTTCACCGCCGTGGAGCGCGCCCCCAGCGCCGGGTGCTGGCTGCACTGTTGCCATGTTGAACTCACGGAGTCACCGCTATGACATTGACTAGGCCCGCTGTGCTCTGCCCCGTTTCACAGTCGGACACATTGAGGCTTGGCTGAAGTTGAGACTCTTGCCAAGGGTCGCACAGCTGCTGAGTGGTGGGGCAGGATTCCCCCGGGTCAGGGGGACACCCCTGCCTTCTGGGCCGCTCAGCGTGTGGTCCAGGGACCAGCAGCGTCTTGTCAGCCGGGGCAGCTTTCCCAAAGTCCCGGCCGGCAGGGGTGAGCTCGCTCGCAGTTCTGGAGGCCGACGTCTAAGGTGACGGTGTCGGCAGGTGTGGGTTCGGCGGAGGCTTCAGCCCTTGGCTTGCAGGCCGCTGCCCACCCGCTGCGCCCTCTGTGCAGCTCTGGTGCCCCCGCCCCTTCTTAGAAAGACATCATGCTTCCCGGACGGGGCCCCCCACTTGTGACCTCTCTTGGCCATAATCACCTCCTGAAGGGCCCTGTCTCCAAACACAGCCGCAGTCTCAGGGGCCAGGGCCAGGGCGCTGCCCGCACACCTGGGCGGGGAGGACACAACCCCAACCCCGCCTGACAGGCGGCTGCGGCGCTGCCTGGGGCGGGTTGGGATTTTGGACTCTCGCTCCACGGCAGACCTGCGGGGCTGTGTCCAGCCAGCTCCCCGCGCAGTCCGCGTGCGCCTGGGGCTCCGAAGGGCTGCTTGGGCCCCTGGGTACTCAACAGGAGAAAGAAGGGAAGTGGGTCAAACGTGTGGCCCCAGGCACCTGCCGGCGCTGACGGTGCGGGGCCGGCGCTGCTGCTCTCCACCCTGAGGTGCCTGAGCTGGGTGCCGGAGCCCCCGTGGGGGATGCAGGGGTTGCCGGGACGAGTCTGGCCACCCCTCAGTGTCAACTCGCCCTGCCGCCCCTCTGCCCAGACATCACAGGCCCCATCATCCTGCAGACGTACCGCGCCATCGCTGACTACGGGAAGAACTCGGGCTCGGAGATGGCGCTGGCCACGGGGGACGTGGTGGACGTCGTGGAGAAGAGCCAGAGCGGTCAGCCCCCAGCCCTCCGGGCCTTCCTGTCCTGCTGTCTGGCTTATGGCCACCGCCCCGACCAAGGAGGCCTCCGGTCTCTTCCCTGCCCGACCCGGGGTTGAGGGGAGCTCTAGCTCCCACCAGGGGCCCCGACTCTGCTCTCCATGCTTCCGTCACCGCCCCTCTGAGTGTGCACCCGGGGTGACTTGGGTTACCTGCACATACTCCCCGCCGTGACCGTGCGTGATGGGGTTGCATGGGGGGGTGGCGAGCCTCTCTTCATGATGCGTGTGAAGCGGGTTCCGAGCCACGACTGTGTGCACGAGGTGTGTGATTTGGGCGTGGGATGTGGGGAAGGTGATTTTCTTGAATCCGAGTGCTGGGTGTCTGTGTCGAGCGTCTTCACCACCCCTCCCCATGGTGACTTACTGCTCCACGCCCCTGGCACAGGCTGGTGGTTCTGCCAAATGAAGACAAAGCGTGGCTGGGTCCCGGCATCCTACTTGGAACCCCTGGACAGTCCCGATGAGGCTGAGGACCCGGAGCCCAACTATGAAGGTGCCTCTGCCCGCCATGGCGGCAGCTGTATGGGGAGACAGGCAGGAGGGGCGCCCAGGGACACCGAGAGGCCGGAAGTGACTCCTCTGACAGGGGAGTCAGGGCTGAGCCCTGTTGTCTGGAGGGCCTGGCAGGCCAGGGACAGGACACGGCCTTGGTCAGGACAGGGAACCGGGAGGTGGAATAGAGGTGGGCAGTGACTGGGTACCTGGGACATGTGGCAGCAGCTGAACTGCGCCAGGACCTGCAGGAAGCTGAATGATAGCAGACCTGAGGGTCGTGAAGGAGGGCTGGCGGGAGGTGGAGACATCATTACTGCCTTGAAGGGGTAGACTGGCGACCCTGAGGCTGGATGTGGCCCAGGTGGAGTTTGAAAAAAATTAGAATTGGTTGCCCAGATCTCAAAATGGTGAGATTTCACAATTTTGTCTGGCAGTATGGCTCCTTCTGAACATCCGCAGGAAGTGTGTACACTGAGCCCAAGGTGCTGATAGTTGGTACCTGACTTCCCACCTGGTCAGGCCTTGACCCTGGTCTGGATGGTGGTGGCTGGGAGTAGGCAAGCTCCCTGTAGACAGTGGGAAGAGGACGGAAGTTCAGGGTCCCCCCACGAGTGGATGGGAGGAGGCTGCAGAGAGACACCAGAAGGAGCAGGCAGGGAGGAAGGAGAGCTAGCTGAGGGGGTCCCAACAGCAGGAGTGGCAAGCCTGGGGCTAGGCAGCCCCTCACACCACATACCCTCCCACATGGCTCAGGTGAGTGCTACGTCGCCATCAAAGCCTATGACTCTGTGATGGGGGATGAGATATCCCTGCAGGAGGGTGAAACCATCGAGGTCATTCATAAGCTCCTGGACGGCTGGTGGGTCATCAGGTAAGAGTGTGCCCCTCCCTCCCACGGCCCTACCCCGAGAGTCATTGCTCGTGTGGGGCAGGACCTTTCGGGCTCAGTGCTGGTTTGGCTGTGTGACCCTGGGTAAGCCACTACCCCTCTGGGCTCCATTGTGGTAGCCGTTGCCTTTTGTTAGCAGGTGATAACCCCACTCTGCCTGTCTCGAGAGGTTCCATGTCCCTGTGTGAGTGGGCACATATTCCTTTGTTACTTGGGGCCATGCCCATTATTATTCTTTCTCCAGCAACACTTTTAATCTTTGCACTAATTGTTATATTTGAAAACTGGTAGAGCAGACCCTGTCATCCCTTTTCCTTTTAAATCCTTCATTGCAATTTCCAATTCTTCAAATAAATGTAGAAATAGTAATTTTTTTCTGATTCTGGGAAAAGCAGAAACACCCAGGGGTTTGCAAAGCTGTTTCCCTGAAGCCACTGGGACTCCCAGGTCCTTGCATACATTTTCAGGGTCCCAGGGAGTTTGTAGCTGCAACACCCACCCTCAGCATGGCCCTGGGTGGACACTTGGAGGCAGGACTTGGAGGCAGACTTAATGTCTTAGACTCACATTCTGTTAACCCCACCAGGTGCTCTTGAGAATCTGCTTGATTCTCCCACCAGCCAAGAAGAGTTAGACTTTTACTGAGTGAAGTTTGTATTATGCAGTTTTTTTCCACCCCCAAATATAGTAGTAGATTGAAAAGGCAAACCTTTTCAACAAATGACGCTGTAACCAATGTCCATATGGGGAAAAAATTAACGAGATCCCTGCCTTACACCATATTTATTTAGGATACATCACAGGTTTTATTTTACCAAGGCCAAAACCCAAAACTAAAGGTTTGGGAAGAAAACACAGGAGGACCTGGTGAATAGAAGAAAAAGCTGACACATACAGTATGGCAGAGGTATAGAGAGATTTGGGTCTGGGAACTTCCTTCCCCTCCAGTGTCACAGCTGAGAGGTCCTCCCTTGCACAGATGAGGAAACTCAGACGCAGAAGGGCAGGGACTAGTGTTTGCAACCCCAGCTGCCTTGGCCCGAGCTATTTGGTGGAACCCCCTCCCCTAGCACCCTCCTCCTCTGCAACTGCCTTTTGTTGCAGGAAAGACGATGTCACAGGCTACTTCCCGTCCATGTACCTGCAGAAGTCCGGTGAGGACCAGGCCCAAGCCCCTCGCCCGATCAAGAGCCGAGGGGCGCCACCTCGCAGGTGAGCAAATCCCTGGAGCTGGGATGTGAGATCCGCAGCGTGTCTGCACCAGGAGGAGGTGGGGGGGAGGGGGTAGTGGAGCGGGCAGCACCGGGTCTAGAGCGCCGAGGGCTTGCCACAAGAGGGTCGCAGGAAAGCAGGGGTGTGACCCAAAAGTGAAGGCACGCCCGGTGTCACTGGGACGGCGCCTGGGCGCTGTCCTAGACTTGAGGACTTCCTGGGGGTGGAAGCAGCCAAATTCACGCCTCGCCCGGGCTGTGCGGGACCCCAGACCCCCATCCTCTGCCGCTCCCCACTTTCTCGGGCCATTCAACCCGGATCTCGGGGGGTAGGGGTGCGGGCGCCGCAGGGACGCCAGGTCACTGACCAGCACCCCAAACCCGCTGGGCCCAGGTCGTCCATCCGAAACGCGCACAGCATCCACCAGCGCTCGCGGAAGCGCCTCAGCCAGGACACCTACAAACGAAACAGTGTTCGCTACTTGCAGCAGCGGCGCCGCCAGGCGCGACCCGGCGCGCAGAGCTCCCCGCGCCCGCCGCGTGAGTGCAGGGAGGGCGGGGCGGGGCCAGGTGGGGCGGGGCCAGCCGGCCGGGGGCGGGGCCAGGTGGGGCGGGGGCGTGGCCTGGCCAGGGGGCGGGGCCTGGCCAAGGGGGCGGAGAGCGCCGGGAGCCGCGGGAGCGCTCACCTCTGGGCTGGGTCAGGCAGTAGGGGAGACCCGAGCGCCGCGGACAATGAGGCGAGGCCAGGCACAGGGGCGGGCCAGGCCCTCTCACCGGCCACTGTACCCCGCAGAGGAGCAGTCGCAGACCGACCGCGCGAAGCCGCAGCCCGCTGTACCCCCACGGCCCAGCGCAGACCTCATCCTGCACCGCTGCAGCGAGAGCACCCGACGGAAGCTGTCGTCCGCCACTTGACGCCGCCTCCAGGGGGCGCCCTCGCCCGCTGCGCCCATTCCCCGCACCCTTGCGGCGCCTGAGGTCTGGTTCTCCAGGGCAGCCCCGGGCGCCGCCCCACCTCGCTGTCTGTTCCCCTTAATAAATGTTGCTTGGAGTGGACAGAGGCTCTGCAGAGACGCGGGGCAGGCGGGGCTCGGCCTTTGCGGGTTTTCTAGCCTTGTGCTAGGACTGAGGGGTGTGGACGCTGCTGGAGGAAGTTGCAAGAGCGACTTGCACAGTTGTCCATTGCATACTGACCTGGCCTTGGCCAACACCAAGTTTGCACAAGGCCAACTGCAAGTGGAACAAACGGCCCCTGTTGGCTGTTCATTTGGACAGAAACGGTCTGCTCTAACCCTGGCCCCTCCGTAGAAGAGTCCTGAAGAAGGGTAGACACTACCGTCAGGGCGGGATGTGATCTTGTGTGCACACCTTCGTAAGTTGACCATATATATATAATAATATATATATTTATAATATATATTTTATATACAAATATATAATACATAATATATAACGTTTATAATATATTATATAGAAATATATAATATATATCCAATAAATATATATAATATATATTTATATTATATATATATAATTTAGGTATTGGGAGGGGGCACCTCTGATTACTCACTTCGAGCTTGTCCATTTAGAAAGCAAATACACATCACCACCACTTTCTCCAGCACTGCTGCCAACCATGGCCTCAAAGTCTTTGCTGGTGGTTCTTTCCCAAAATGCAGACACCACAGTTTAAACTGGAGCTGGAAATCTTGCAGAAGACTCAGCTTGTCAGGAAGGCCACGAGTGGCAGGAAGAGCTCGGAGGGAAATGGCACTAAGGACAGGCAGTTCTGGTCCCTTAGATACAGGAGAAAGTTTGCCAGGTGAAAGATGCTTCTCAAGAGAATAATTTGCCCCCAAAATGATGGAGACCTTGAGAACTTAATTATTTAGTTTTTTTTTTAATATTTATTTATTTATTTATACAAGCACTGGGTACAGTCAGAAGCTTAGAAGCGTGGGAGGGTGAGAGAATTCACCAGAGCCAGAGCGGGGAGCAGAGCAGGCAGAAGGACCGAAGTACACTGCTGAGGGGAGCAGCGGGCGGCAGGAGAGGTCTGCGCGCCATGTGGGACCCTCCTCCGGTGGCCGGGGAGCAGCCGGGGATCGAACCAGCGCCGCAGAGGCCGCGGGCAGCTTCGCAACCCAGCGCCCAACCGCTGCGCCACCGGGGAGGCCCTATTTAGTTATTTTTGCATTTGTAGACCACAGTTTTGCTGGAAATGTCCAACATCAAGGAGTGTCATAAGTCACTGTGGAGCAATTAACTGTCCAACTCCTTTGCTTGTTTAGCTGCAATTGTAACAGAAAGTCTTAAAAAATATGTAGATATGCTGTGATGTTTTCACAATTTTTAGTTTCAATTTTTTCAAGCTAAAGTGCCAATCAAGTGTTTTCTGCGGGTTTTTTTTTTTTTTTTTTTTTTTTAATTTCCAGTCCCCCGGCAGTGGCTTGTGCTGGCCTCACTGTCTCTGTGCTGATGTGGACCATGGCATGTGAGTGAGCCCAAGGTCCAGAGGGCCTGCTTGCAGTCGTGCGTGCACAGGGAGGTATATGATGGGTGGGGGTGCCGGCGGTGCCTGGGCTAAGGCTGCATTCTCTCTGCAGCCAGTTTTCATGCTGAGCTCCTTAAACAACTCTTGTTCTGAGAACAATCCCATCAGGTATGTTACTGAAAAGGAAACCAGGCCTTGGAAAATGTAGGTGACTTGTTTAAGGTAATACAGCACTTTAGGAGGCAGAACTGGGAGGCAGAGTCAGGCTTTCTTTTCTGATTCCAAAGCCCTGTGGGATCCATTACATTGTTCTGACCCCACGGAGCTCACATCCTAGTGTCTGGTGGATGTGGTGGCTGAGGGCTGCTCAGAGGAGGGAGTGTGACATGCATCCTCTGTAGCCCTCCACCCCTGGATCCTGGCAGGAGGAGTGACCACCCTGGGATGGGAAGACAGGGCCTTGGCACAGATGCAGTGCATCCCCCACCGCTGGGAGCTGACAGGGACCCACCAAATCCAATGCCCAGGTCTTGATTTCATCTCTCCACTGCTCACTCCCAACTGTTCCCATTTGCTGACGCCCCATCACCATAACTATTGAAAATCACCTGGTATCAATTATTTCCTCCAGTCCTGGCTTCGTAATAAGAGTGACAGTCTTGGCCAAGCCACCCTGGTTCCACCACACATTGCCATAAATGGACCAGTCAACAGAAAGCAGTGCAGCTGAACCCTTCTGTCCCCTCCCTGTCACCCACTGGCTAGTCCCAACAAGGAGCCACACATGACAGATGAGGAGCTGGGGCAGCGTGACAGACACTGGCAGCATCTCCATGTCTGCACAGCGGCTGCTCAGACCAGGAAGAACATAGTCCAGGCATCGCGCAGACCTCCATTTGCATCCTGGCAGCTCGGGCAGGGGACTATTTTCCAGATTGGAGGGACTGATCTGACTAGGGTGCAAAAGGAGCGGCAGCTCAACCACTGAATTCCAGTTGCCCGTCTATAAAACGAGGGGCTGATTTTTGTCTTGCCCACCAACAAGGCTTCTTTGAAGTTTATGTGATAGCCCCACATCCAAGAGAGCTGGGAGTCCCAGGCAAGTCTGGCCTGATGCAGGGCCATACCTCTGATGTTTGGGCTCAGTATCTGTGCAGATGCATCAGGAGCTGGCCGTCCCTCCCCTCCCCCAACCCATCCTCCCAGTATAAACCAGAACACCCCGCACTCCTTCCTCAGAAAGTAAGCCTCCAAGCTGGCAGGGCCCAGCTGTGACTGCATTCATTCCCAAAGATAGCCACTGGCAGGACTGGGTCATTCCCCAGTGTCTGATGACATGCGCTCAGGCTTGGGGCCTTGCACAGGTAACCACCCAGAGCTCCGGCTCTCCCCGCTGCAGCCTCCCTTCGCTGTTATCACTGCATCTTTATTGAGTCATGGGTCAGCAGGCTTGGCATTTTGCACCCTAGTCAGACCAATCCCTCCAATATGGAGGGCCACTAATTCCAGTGACTAATTGAGATTAAGAACACAGAGGTCAGAGATACACATGTGCCTCCAAATGCCAACCTTCTGGGGTGGGGAGGGAATGCTATAAAGGAAAAGGACATCATGGGTCCCTTGATAAAACTGGAGTATGAAGAGAAAACTAGATTAAAAAATTATTGCATCAATATTTGATTTACATTTGAGCTTAGCCAAAAGGTCGAGGAGCAGTAACACTCGATTACTCAAATTGGTAACTAAATCATGGTTATGTAAGAGAATATTCTTACTCTTAGAAAATACTGTCCAAAGTACTTAGGGGTAAAAGATGTCACTTCCCTTCACATGGTTCAGGAAAAAATTATGCACATACATTTATACATACAGAGGCTCAGAGGCATGCCATTACTCAGGCAATGTTGAATATGACATACACAGGAGAGGGAGGGAGAGAAAGTAAAAAAATGATAAAACAGGGGTGAAATATTAACATGAAAAAAAATATGGCTAAATGGTATGTAAGTGTTCTCCATACTAATTCCATTTCTGCACCTTTTATATAAATTTGAAATTATTTCAAAGTAAAGAAAAGAATCTCCAAAACCTCAGTTAACTTTGCCTTTTAGAGCCAATGTTATTTGTGATGGGGGTTTCCATTTTAATTCCTACCCTTCTGGATTCACATGGAGGCAGAGAAAAGATGATAGAAGAATACACCCCCAACCGATTCACCTTACCTTGGAAGCAAGTTATACCATAAGGGATACCCGGCAAAAGGCAGAGACAAATATGTGGGCATATTAACCCCTCCATGATTATACCTATCCCCCCTATTTCTCTGTTGATCTATTTGAATTTACAGCCCCAAATGCTTACAGAGGTCAAGCCAGTTATCTGATGAATGAAACAGGCCAGGCTTAAGAAAAGTCAATTACTGGAAATACAATAAAACTTTGATTTTTACTGAACTATATGGTGAGGCATAAAATGTCATACAAACAGGTATGTTACTGCAAGTTATATTTCTGAGTCAGAGTGGGGGAAAAAAATGGAAAACCAGAAATATTTGGTAATTCATTTTCTCATGTCTCCCCCGTGTCTCGTCCCATTCCAACCTCACACGCCTGGGACATGCTGGGAGCACCCCTTTTATCACCCCCCTTATCATGCTGAAATGTGGAGGACAGAGTCCCACTGTGAGTCCTTTAACTGGGAGCAGAATTTGGTTTTACTCAGTTTCATAATGGAAAACAGCTGTTCACAAATGTAGGTACTCCCGAACATGGAGAGAATCTTTGCACAGTGATTTTTATATTTCGGATAGCTACTCCAGAGGTATTTGTAGAACTCCGGTATCCCGACCTTGTCGTATTTCGTTTTCAGGACCGTATTACACTGCAGGTCGATAACTTCCATCTGAAGTGCTTCATGGACACTCTCGATCTTCATGGAGAAGGGAGAGCTAAACAGAGTCAGTTCACTTTCATAGAGTTTGAAATCAGACAACCTCTTCTGGAATTCAGTCTTTAATTCCACAATTTTGGGAATGTAGTTCAGGCCATCATTTTCACTTTTGGAAACTGATTTCAGGGTGGGAAAGTGGGCCAGATTATTCCTTGCCAGATGAGTTTCCCAAAGGCTCAGTTTTGCCAAGAAGGCCCGAATCAAGTCGTACATTTGCGTAACAATTTGTGAATGCCCTTGGAGAGAGATGTTCAAAGTATTCAGATGCATTGTCACATCCACCAAGAAGGCCAAGTCTTTGATCCAGTCTTGAGAACTCAGTTGAGGCAGGGGCTTTCCTCTCGATGACATGAAGGAATCAATTTCTTCCAACGATTCAAAAAATCTCTTTAGCACCAGCCCGCGGCTGAGCCACTTAATCTCTGTGTAGTACAGAAGGCTGCCGTATTGGCTGTCCAGCTCATAGAGCAAAGTCGTGAACTCACTGTGGTTCAGCCCACGGGAGCATATCCAGTTCACAGAGTTCACTACCACACTCATGACGTGGTCCATCTTTAACTTTTGAGCACAAAGCGATTCTGGGTGAATGATGCAACAAATGGACTTTAGATCTGAGCCCTTGCAGACCATCGCCACCTTGGACTTCAGCTTGGTAACAAGTCCGTCATTTGCATCCACCATCACAGGCGTGCCAGTTGAGGCCACACTGACTAATTTTGACCAGTCGATATTAAACTTCTTAAGACTTTTCTCAACCCGCAAAAATATCTCATTTCCAGATTTTGTACCTGTCATAGGTACAGTATCCAGAAGTTCTTCCGACGCATCAAAATTCTCATCGACACCACGGATGAATATGGCCAACTGGGTGGTATTATTTATGTCTGTGATCTCATCAATCGCAATAGAATATGCCATAAATGATTTGATTTTTTCACGTAACTTCTCCCACAAGTGCCCGGCTACATCCTCTACCGGCTGCACGGCTGTATTTTTAGTCGGACTCACGCTGGCAAGTGCATGCTTTTGCTCAGGACACACCGTTTCTGATGACCCTGAGAGATACTTTTGGAGTCCCTTTTTCAGCTCCTGGAGTTTCTCGTCACGCACCTCCTCGGTGTACTGGTCGTAGTGCTTGCTGTGGTTGGTTTGATAGTGGCGTCTCAGGTTGTACTCTTTCGACACAGACATGCTCTGCTTGCATATTAAACACGTAGGGATATTCTGCACCTCCACGAAGAAATACGCCCTCTCCCACTTTTCTTGAAATACACGTCCCTCTTGGTCTATCTTTCGCTTTCCCACTTTTGACAGAAACGTGGAAATAAGAAAGATTTCACTTTTGTCTTATTATTACTGTTGAAAAACAGCAGCAAAGCGTGATGACAAGCCTGACAGAAGAGGCTGGGGGTGCGTTAGCTCCTGCACAACATTGCCTGAGTGAACGTGGGCCAGCTATGGCCAGATCTTCAATTTTCTACAGAAACTGGGAAATCAGTATTTATGAAAGAGACCCTGACTTTTCAATGTTGGCAACTATTTCCCATTTTTAAAAAGAATACCAATCAAATAAAAGACATCTTTGGTGAGTTTCAGCAAGGAGCTGTATCTGCCACATCTGGTATAAACAGGGATGATTTGAAACCATTTTTGCATTTTTTTTTTCATTTGATTCTCAAGAGAACTTTGAAATAACAGAGAAGGAAGTGAGCACAAAAGGCACATGATTTACCTGCTACGAGTCACCAAAGACACTGGGGATAGCCAAGAACTTCTTATTTTAAATTTAAAGGATCTGGCCACGATGCAGGTAAGCTTAACTTCAAGGCAGCACAGATACAAAAACTCAAAGAAAATGTAAGTGGAGACAGAAAGTTCATTTAGTTCATTCAGTCATTTCGGGAAATGACTCAATATGAGTAGAAGGAATCTTTTGGGGGATGATAAAAAACATTCTAATATTAGATTGTGGTGGTAGTTGTGAAACTGAATTTACTAGAAATCACTGACTTGTGTACACTTCACACATGTGAATTTTATGGTATGTAGATTATGCTTCAGCAAAGCTATCTTAAAAATGCAACAGATCATTTAGAAACAGATGAGTTTAGGAATAATAAGTGAGCATTTTAAAAGAACACTTTCATTTTCAAACTTCTACTGAGAAGGTTCCCTTGTGACTCAAACTCATGAGACCATCCTACATCTTCTGCTTTAGCCGCCCCCCACCCCCAATAAGATAATGACTTGTGTGCACTTGTCTCCAGGGGAGACATCAAAAACACTGAACAAGGAACTCCCTGGTGGTGCAAGGGGTTAAGACACAACCTATGAAGCTGTCCGCAGCCTCTGCAGCACGAATTCGATCCCCAGCCAGGGAGATACACACATGGCATAGCAGACCTCTCCTGACTCGCCCGCTGCTCCCCTCAGCAGTGTATTTCAGTCTGCCTGTTCTGCTCCCCACTCTGTCTCCAGTGAATCCTCTCACCTCCCTGCACCTCTAGCCTGTACCCCAGTTCTTGTATGCATAAATAAATAAATCTTTTAAAAAAAAAAAAACACTGAATAAGAAGAGTGGCTGGAGCATTGCTCCATCAGAACAGATGTCACTCTCCTCATTGGAGGGGCTACTGGGAGCTTGTTCTCCGCCACATCTTAGCCTTTTGGGTTCTGAGCTGTGGGGAGGTCAGCAGTGGGAGATGTGGGGCCTGGGGTGGCCAAGCAGACACTATCTACCAACTGAGACAGAGTAGCTCGGTGTCAGCTCTGAGTCCCCGCTATAGAGGTCTCTGGAATAAAGTATGCTATCTCACTCATCAATAGTCTGAAGTAGAGCAAGCTCTACCAAACTGTTGCATGAGAAAAAAAGGCATGGCTAACAGAGCTCAAGCAACAGAATAAAGAACTTTAGAGCAATCAGGGAAAATAAAATGCATATAAAGAGCAGCATGCTTTGCTCTAAGGCTGAGTGTTCTAGAAGCAAGGCTCCCATGGTGAGTGCCGTAGGAGACACTTCACGTGACACAGCGAACCATCTTCCCCACACAAAATACTCACCATTGCTGAGCTCAAAGCCTGGAAGTGGTCTGGAAAGAAAGAGACATTGGTAAATGCATGGAGCTCAATTTCCCTCTCTTGCCATTTAGTTCTATTTGACAAACTTTCATGTCACCTCTATGCTAGGTTTGGTGGGAGGCAGGCTGCCCACGATCACCAAGAAACAGGAACACAGACACACTGCTGGCAGAAGCAGAATAGGATAAAATGAGCACACGAGGCAGTGGGGCACAGTGGGGGGGTTGCAGGGACCCTCTGCTCCCACATGTTCCTCTTAGGCAAGTGACATCTGCAGATCGCATCTCCTGACCAAGCAGGGAGCTCTCACTTACCTAATGACCGTGAATTTGATAAACTCTGCAGCATCCAAGATCCTTCTCATAGAGCTGATCTCCAGATAGCCAGGGGCTTTGAACACCACCCCCGGGGGCATGCCATCAATGACCACGCAGCCAGGGTTGAATGTGATTTTCCTGTAGGGAACTTTCACTGGGAAATCCACTCCAATTGCTTCACCTGTGAGCAAATGGATGAGGCAAACAGCAAAAAATTAGTTCAGTTTGTCCCTTATTTTCCCTAAGCCATGTTTTATCTTTAATGTCAAGGTTTTCAAACTATCCGCATCGAGTGACAACAGCGGCGATCAGCCACTATGACTTTATTTGCAAGTGGTACTGAGACGTGTGAATAATTTCATGATTTTGAAATTGGCAATGGGTAGTGCAGCTGACTCAGGTTCTTGGCCCAGTAAGTAGGGATTATTGTAGCAGCTACCTGAAAGACGTTTTTATGAGAATTAAATGATTAATCACATGTTGAGCATTAACAGCGATGCTCAGCCATGGCGGGACTGCAGTAAGTCAGAACCAGCTGCTATCTTTTACTTTTATATTGAGATACAACTGACCTATAACAATGTATTAATTTTAATTTTACAAAATAATGATTTGCTAAAGAGGATTACTGTTAAAGATGATAATTAGTGTTTCTGTATAAAAGTTCTTCAGAGATTATACATACTAATTTTGATGATAGCTCCTTCACAGAGAGATCAATTTCTTAGATAAAGTATTCAATGAAAAAGAAGTATTTCAAGTACATAATATTGGATATGTAATGATATAAATACTTACCAAATTTTCGGCTAAAGAGGTCATTGACTTGTTCTCTTAGTTGTTTTATCTTTTCAATGCTTGATAATCTTTCCTTCTCATTATCTAAAAATAATTAAACAGACAACTAGGATTATTAATATATTTTCCCCCAGGAAAGCTATTGGAGGATGCCTGTTAACACGTGAGAAAACACTTTACCTGGCTTATTCCTTTAGTTTTAGCAACAATTAAATATTTTGGAATGTTTTATAAGTGGGAGCCATTACAGAGAATAGAAAAATTTCTCAATAATTTCTAAGTACCTCTAAATTTCTGAATAATTGCTCTATGTAAACACATTATATGTTAGGGTACATTTTCAATATCACACAAGACAGGGATGTCCACTTTCCCCAGTACTCTTCAACTTCAAAATGGAGATCCTAGTTGGCGCAATATGATATATACAAGGAGTACAATGAAATGAGATTGGAAGAGAGATTTTTCAATACTTAAAAATTCTGTTCTAATTACATGGTTCCAAATCCATGAGATATAAAACAGTATGTAATGAAACATCTCTCCCATCCCTGACTTAACCTTGCTTCCTTCCTTGGAGAACTGTTACTAGATTCTTTTGTGTCTCTGCAGATATATTTTGCGTATCCAAAAGAGAGGATTGAGGTACAAGTAGTATATTTCACTTCTGTGGCCAGTTCTAATTCATTGGTGGCTGGTGCTGGGAGTTGCCTGCCCTGGTGAGGGTTTTCCAGTTTACGCCAGTGTATCTGGATAACAATGTCTGCTATAAGGAAGATATTGACTATGTGGCAATCTGCAGCGTATTATATATCCCTGGATTGTCATTCCTTAGTTGTCAGGGCGAACTAAGCAAAAAATAACAGTTCCAAAGAAACTCACCTATAAAATGAAATATATAACATAAGGTAAATTGTGGTAAAGCCAGATAAACTTTCATACCTGGAATTGTCACTTGAACAATGTTAAGATCTTCAACACCTGCTGCAGAATTTGTGATATTGGATGAATTGGTGTTTCCTTAAAACAGAAGTGGAAATTTACAACTTGAAGAAGATGAGGCCAATTCTCCTCTAAAAAGGTCAAAGTGCCACTTTGATCAGAAGCACAGACTGAATTTTAAGAAATTTAGAGAACATTTAGCTGCAGTATAACAATAGGAAAATCCATAGCGCCAAAGTAGCCTGGTGGTTGCCAGGGGTTGGGTGTGAAGGGATTAGGAAGTAACTGCTTAGTGGGTAGGGGGTGTTCTTTTGGGGTGATGACAATGCCTAGAAGTAGAGAGATGGTGGTTGTGCAACTTTGTGAATGCACTGAAGCCACTGGAGCTGTTCTATCTGAAATGGTCAATTTTATGAAATGTGAATTTCACCTCAAAAAAAAAATTTTTTAAGTGCTTTAAGGGTATCCTTTCATGGAAATTTTAGGAAAACAAAAATCTCACGGTATGGCTCAGAATGGTGGTATCTGATGCCACAACAAAGCTTTATGGCTTTGAAACTCCTGTGTAAATAATCACACTCCATCCACAAAGCTACTCAGCCCCAAGTACTCATTTGTACTCAAGTACAAATGAATCCTCACTAGTGGAAAATCCACCCAAAATCCATGTCCTCTTGGCTGTGGGTCCCCCTGTAGTTACACTGATGGTATCACCATATCACGTCCAATAAAGCTGTCAGGCCTGACTCCACAGAAACACTGCCCATTCCCAGTGGGCACCTGAACATTTTCTCTTAACGCTTCAATAATACATGCTGACTGTGGAGAGTCAGGGAGAAGTGAATATAAAAGGAGAGAAGTAAAATCATGCATAATTCCAATACTGTTGTTGGAGTTTTGTTTCCTATTTTATTGTACTTCCTTTTCATTCTATAGAATATTTTTTCTAAAAAAAATTGACCTCCTACCATGAATTATGATTTCTTATTGTCCTCCCCTTTGCATTTATAACTTGTCTGGAATTAGTTTTGTCACTGGATGTGCTGTCAGCATCTTTCCAAACAGATCACCACTACCTATTCTCTGACTGCTGGACTCTTAAATTGCACCCACTTTTCTGTTATAAATCATTATAAATATTGATGACAGAGGTATCTCCCTCCTTAAAATAATCAACTTGATGAAACCATTTTTACAATTCCAATGAATGAAATACAATGGAAGAATTATGTCAGTCTGGGAACAGTCATTAAATCTCAAAGTTCCCCAACTCATGGAAAAATAGTTCAGACCCCATGATGTGTTTCCTGTGAAGTAATATCTCTAAATAAAAAGGATTTATTGAGCCAAAAAAAAAGTAAACAACTTCAAGGGGGTGTTTATTTTATAGCTTATACTCTATTATCCAAATACTTTTGTCTTCTTGTTAAATCATGTTTCTAAAAACTGAATTTATTTAATACTATTTTAAAATTCAGACTTTACTAATTCAAAATCATGTCTGTTTAACAGGTGAGTGAGGTTAAATACTAAGAGAATTATATACCCAATAACATTGAAACCTTATATAGTATTATTAAATATATAAAAATCAAAGAACTTCTCTTACTAGGAAGATACTATGGAGAAGTTCATAGTTCAGCATGAAGAGATAAAAATAGTTTTTAGTGTATTACTAAATAGATCACAAAGAAAGAAATTAGGCACATTCATTAACTAAATGGACTGAAACCCCATACATTCTAGGATAAATGGTCTTACTCATGTCCCTGAAAAAGCAAAAAGGTTTCATAAATCTTTTAATTGTAAAGAATGGATATGATTTTTAAACATACAAACAAAAAACAGATTACAGGTCAATTGGGTAAACAGTTCAGAGAAAACACAGTGGATCTTAAAAAATCATAACTAAATCACGCTTGGAACTTGACTTCCTTTAGATAGTTGCACTCCCATGAGCTCGCTGTTCAGCTGTTCTTTTGTCAGCTGTTCTTTTTGGATTCTGTTTATCAAGCTTGGCAGGAGAGGGAGTATGTTTCTGAGTGGACTGGTCTGCCCTTCCCTTACTGCTCCTGTCCACCCCCACCCTGCTTGGTTCCTTCTTCCTCCTAACCCAGTTTGGTCCCCCTGGGGCCAGTGATAACTTGAATGGCTTAGTTCCACTGTCTGAAAAACCCGGAGCACTTGGGACTGGCTGGGAACATGGACTGCTGTGATCACACAGACACAGGTTCCCACTTCAGATTTCTGCCCAAAAATATCCCTTAAGAAAGAATGAAAACTATACTTAAGTGTTGGGCAGATGGCAAGGCTTTGGTAACTAACCTTCAATTTTCACCTCAGATTCAGGGTCCTCACTCCTTTCTGAAGAGACAAGCTGAGTAGAATCTTGAAAAAAAAATTTCTAAAATGACATTCATTATTATATATCCTCATGTTCCAACATTTTGCTGCTTCTATACCAAAAAAGTAGCTTATCCTGACATTTAAAGTAGACTTCATATTAAAGCATAGAGGTAAATTTAATTTTAAAACAGATAGTAATAGGAGACAAATTTTTTTTTTTAGGAGACAAAAATATTAATATTAATTTTATCTTCTAATAGTGAGGTCATCCTGCCTGTAAACTGGCAAAGTTTACAAACTGCCTGGCTGTGTGGAGAGGAAATGTTCCTTAGTCTTGTCTTGGACAGATAAGCCACAGTAGTAATTTTGGTCTTACACGTGACACTCAAAAAATTTACATATTAACAGAGGGAGGTTTTATCAAATTTTATAGCCAATTCAAAAATTTCCAAAAAGTATATTCAAAACAAAACAAAACAAAACCTAATTCTATTCAACTCTGTTCAAAAGAACTTTGATAGGAAGTAAAGGAGCAAACTGCACTGGGTGGGGGTTTATGTCCAGGAGCTTTAAATAGAAACACAGATCAGATCAGAAAAATAAGAGTTGCTAACATTAAAAGGGCAAGCTAGGAAGTCACCTCTTTATTTCCAGGCATGTGTTTGAGTGATTATATTCCCTATAAAATACTGAAAACTAAAATTTAAAAAAAGAGATAAAGTGCTTCATTTTTCTAACCTTCCATTGGTAATTCCATTTCTATTACTTCATGGCTTGAGGAAGGATGATGGCTTCCTGGAAGGGGAACAAGCAATATATCAAAAAGGCAGGGATATAGAAAATATTCCATTGCAGATAACTTTTGGAGAGGAAAATGATTCTAAAATGGTATTACCTTGTGTATTATATGCATAGTAATTAGGATCTTCTGATTCTTCCTTGACTGACACAGCTGTTACTTTCAGTGATACACCTTTGAATGCAAAGAAATGATAAAGTGTTGGGTCAAAAAAAAAAAGTGTTGGGTCAAACCCACCAACAGAGAAATGTGACAACTAATATCACTTCTAGGTTCCATTTTGATTAACATAGCAATATTTTAATCAGCGAAAGAACTTGTAGCTCATGTATTATGAACAAATACCTTATCAGTATAAATTTATGAGCAATATAAATTAAAAGACTATAAAATCAATATAAAAGGCAGAAGGAAGGAGAGGAAGAGGAAAGAATGGAGGGAAGAAAGGATGGAAGAGAAGCAGAAAGTCTAGTTCCCAGTTGGGGGAAATTTTCCTTTTCAAGATGCTGTGCATTTATGAGAAATACCGTAAATATTCTTCTGCAGTGGGACCTGAATCGACCCGTATAATCTTAACTTTGGGTTAGCTCAAGGGATACAAGCCTGGGCATCAGTGCGGGGGTTGGCTTGGAGGTGCCACGTGCACGTGCAGGACCAGCCACCCCCAGACGCAAGGCCCTCCCTGCTGAGGTCTGGGACCCAGGGCCATCTCAGACCATCAGGCCCTAGCAGAACCCGCCCTGCCCGGATGGCCTGCCAACACACAGACTTGTGAGAAAGACTAAAGCACTGCATTCAGCCTCTAGGTTTTAGGGTGAGTGAAAAAATATTATTATGATTCGAAAGTATATATATAGAGAGGGATATATACACACACTCTCTATACGAGTATAGGGTAAGGTAAAAAAGCATCAGGCTTTTCTGCCTGTCGCCCCCCCACCACCCCATTAGGATTGATGATGGAACCCTGTGGTCCTGAATGCATGCCTGATGGCGGGCACCTGGAGCAAGGTGTTGGCATGCGTAAGTGGGTACACCTGGGCTGAGAGACTCGGCTTATAAAGGTGGTGTCACGGGGACACCAGCAGAAGAGAGCAGAACAGAGAGAGTGGAACGGCAGAGCAAAAGAGAGACGGGAAGAGAACAAGAGAGAGAGGAAGCAAGGCCACGAGAGAACACCGGAGAGCCCAGAAAGAGTGAAGACTTGCTGGGGGCTGGGAGGCCTGCCAGCCTCCCAGTCCCCCGGCACCCCTGCCTGCCATGTACCTGGTAAATCTCAATAAAAGCCTGAAAAAGCTACCGAGGGCTCCAGGACTCCTTCACCTGTCTGCTCGGATCATAGATATCCTGCTCCTGTGCCCCTCCTGCTGCTACAATGAGCCATACGTATGATTATATATGTCTATATATATATAGTGTGTATGTGTCTATATAGATATAGTGTGTGTTTGTATTCTATATAATTTAACCCAGATTTTTTTTAAAGTTTTTTTTTTTTTTTAAAGATTTATTTATTTATACATGCACTGGGTACAGTCAGAAGCACAGCAGGGTGAGAGAATTCACCAGAGCCAGAGCAGGGAGCAGAACAGGCAGAGGGCGGCAGGGGAGGCCTGCGCGCCATGTGGGACCCTCACCCAGAGGCCGGGGATCGAACCAGTGCAGCAGAGGCTGTGAGCAGCTTCGCAACCCAGCGCTCAATTGCTGTGCCACTGGGGAGGCCCTAAACCAGATTGTTAATAACATCAAAAGCCGGGCCTCCCCGGTGGCACAAGGGGTTAAGCACCACACTATGAAGCAATCCGCAGCCTCTGCAGCATGAGTTCGAACCCCAGCCCGCTAGGGAGCTACCCACATGGCTCAGCAAACCTCTCCTGGCTTGCCCGCTGCTCCCCTCAGCAGTGTACCTCGGTTAGTCTGCCTGTTCTGTTCCCCACTGTGTCTCTGGTGAATCCTCTCACCCCCCGCATCTCTGGCCTGTACCCCAGCTCTTGTATGCATAAATAAATAAACCTTTAAAAAAAATAACATCAAAGGGACCAGGAAAAAGAATAGCTGTAAGAAAGAAAAAACTCAAAATCAACAAACAACTATGAACCAGAGACACACTATGCGGGCGCAGGGAGGGGGGATGGGGAAAGGAGGATTTGGGGTCAAAATAAGGGGGTTGCAATTGTATGGGGAATATAAAAATAAAAAAAAAATCAAAAGCCTAGGACTCACTGTTGACATTGATTTATAAGTTTTGAGGGGGTCTTCTGAAAATGTTTACCAGCAGTTGGTACAAGGATAATGAGACTAGATAGTAAACAACAGGATTAGCAAAAAGAAAAATTTGTTAGAAAACCAAGGCACAGAATAGTCACAGATGAAGTGGTAGATGAAGTTGAGGAGATTGCTCAGAAATGGGACAAAAAGGTAATCTCATGGGAAGATTAAAGGAAAGTTGGCAAGTAGAAGCCTACTTATGCCTAGAGAAGGAAAAATGCTTCCATTGTGTTTATTTGTAGGTAATCTGAAAGGATTTTCACTAATGGGTTAGGAATTGAGGGTCCCAAAGTGGGGGTGGAATTTGAGATGTGCAGGAGCTTAGGGTAGGGGATGGAGGAGTTTGAAAGGGGAGAGTGAAGGCTGAAGAGGAAATTCATTATCACTTACTACGTGCCTGAATTTGTAAAAATTTTAACTGTCTAACTTTTGTAATATTGTATAATGAAGTTTTAATTAACGCACAAGTTCCAAGTTAACTAGGAACTAAAGACTCTAACGGAAGCATTTGATAAACGTGTGATAGCTGGACTGTCAAGGAAAAATTGTTTTTAATCCAGGCAGCGGGAACCAGATTTGACAATGCAGAAATGTAATACTGTTTTGGACACAGATTTACTTCAGCCTTTCCTCCTAATGAGCGAGGGAAGAAGGGCGAGGCAGAGGTGGGAGGTGGGAGGTGGGAGGGACAGAGAGACATCTGAGAACCATTTCTGTGCCTGCTCTGTGCAGCCACTCTGCGCAGACAGCGTGCGCAGCAGTGACTGAGGGCCGGCTTGCTGAAGTCTGCGGGCAGCTGGCTGTGGTTCATATTGCATCATGAAACCCACAGTACAAAGTCCCACTAATAGGAAGCTTATTTTTGTTCAAATAAACCACATCTCCAAAGTCTTAACAAAAGAGGCCTGTCTTAAGGTGGGAGAAGCTCATGTGGCCCAACAGCTGGGAGAAGGGAGACAGGGGCTGTGGACCCCCAAAGGGCCCTGGGGGAAGCCAAGCACTCCCACCCTATAGGGTAAGGAAAAAGTTATCAGGTTTTTCTGCCCTCCCGCCATTAGATTAAATGCATGCCTGATGGCGGGCACCTGGAGTAGGGTGTGGGCATGCGTAGGTGGGTGCACCTGAGCCAAGAAACTGGGCCTATAAGGCCAGGACACCAAAGGAACAGTAGACCAGAGCAGAATCACAAGAAGGGAACCAGCAGAGAAGCAGAGGCCATAAGAGAAAGCCAGAGAGCCCAGAAAAGTAAAGATTTGCAGGGGCTGGGAGGCCTCCCAGCCCCACTGCCTACTGTGTACCTGGTAAACCCAGTAAAAGCCTGAAAAAGCCACCGAGGGTTCCAGGACTCCTTCATGCATCTGCTCAGGTCACAGAGATCCTGCTCGGTGCTCATCCTGCCGCAACACTCCCCTTCCACAGCGTTAGTCTTCCCAGCATCTAAGAGGAGACTGACTGTGGCTGGGGGCTTTAAATCTCCGGTGACCATCTGAGACACAGAACATTCCTGAGCTTTGAAAAGCATCCAAAGGTAAGAGGAAACATGTAAGGCTTGTCGTGTGTGAGAGGAAGACTCCACAGCTGAAATCTGTTCAGCTGAAATACATGATTCATTTCATTGACTGGTGTTGGATTTACTTAGAGCGGCTAAAGTGGACAAGCACCATTATCTCTCAGACTCTGTGATGTAAGGTGGTGCTTCTATGCACGTGTTCACATGTGGATAGGGGTGACGTGAGCATCCACAGTTGTGGTGGGAGGACCATTGGGTGTGAGAAAGGAGGGGCCCCCAGGAGCTGGGAGGCAGCTGAGTGCAAACCATACCCTGAAAGCCTTAGCCATCTTGGCATCTGCTTTCTAGTTTACTTGGCTAAAGTCTCTATTTTCCTTCATGTTATACCTTTCCTTCATATTGAATATTGCTTTTCTTTTGCATTATCTCAAATTTTAACTTTTGAACTGGCGATTTCGTGTTTCTATTTTTTTTAAAGATTTATTTATGCATACAAGAACTGGGGTACAGGCCAAAGGTGTGGGGGATGAGAATTATTAAATACAACTAAATTTATTAACTAGATTGATTTTATGTGGAAATGCAAATATTGTTTTGAAGTGAAATCAACAAGTGAGACGAAGGGAATGCTAGTTAGAATGGGTAATGAACCCACTTACTGTGTTTTGTTTTTTTTTTAAAGATTTATTTATTAACAACAAAAAAAGATTTATTTATTTATGCATACAAGATCTGGGGCACAGGCCAGATATGCGGGGGGTGAGAGGATCCACCAGAGACAGAGTGGGGAGCAGAACAGACAGACTCACTGAAACACATTAAGGTGAGCAGTGGGCAAGACAGGAGAGGTCGGCTGCGCCATGTGGGAAAGCCCCCTGGCCAGAGATCGAACTAATGCTGCAGTGGGTGACAACAGCTTGATAGCGCTGTGTCTTTAACCCCTGTGCCACCAGGGAGGTCCCTAGAAGGCTCTCTTCTAATATTTGCATAAAACATTCTACAAGTAAGACCCCAGTTGAGGTTAGTGTCCTTGTCCCTAGTTTTTGTTGTTGGTGGTTCTTTTTCTTTTTTTTTTTATACAGAAAATCTTATGTGCTAAGTTTTATTTTGTCATTTTAAACCTGTGTATCTTTTGTTTCCTTGTCTTATTGCATTAGCTAGGACACTCGGCACAGTGTTAAAAGGGAATGTTAGAGGGAGCATCCTTGACTTCCTCCTGATCTAAGAAACCTTCTAGTTTTTCACCATTGAGTACGAAATTAACTGTGGAGTTGTTTTTAGATTTATTTATTTGTGCATACAAGAGCTGGGATGTTAGCCAGAGGTGTGGGGTGGGTGAGAGGATTTACCAGAGACAGAGTTATCCAAATGGAGTCAATCTGTTCAGGCAGATTGACTGAAATACACTGCTAAGGGGAGCAGCAGGTGAAACAGGAGAGGTCTGCTGTGCCTGGTGGGTGAGTTCCCTGGCCGGGGATCAAACTCATGCTGCAGTAGCTGGTGATGGCTTCATAACGCTGAGACTTTAACCCCTGTGCCACCAGGGAGGCCCTAACTGTGGAGTTTGCATAGATTTTTTTTTCAAGTTTCAGAAGTTTCCTTCCCTTCCTAGGTTACTAAGAGTCCCACCTTTTATTTTAGTAAAAAAAAGAAAGGAGTTAAACATGCTAAATAGTTGATTCTAAAAGTATCAGTGTACATACCAGAATCTTCCATGGGTTCAGTTTTCACACTGATGGGGCCACCACTGAAAGGAGAAGGGAACCCTGGTCAAGGCCAGCAAGGCGAAAACCTACCACAGGCATTTGGACAACTGGATTCAAACGCCTTGGGTCCCTGTGCATACCTCTTGCCTTCAATCTGAATGCAAAAGGGACTCAGTTTTAACATTGACTTTTGTAATAATTAAGGGTGTCAGTGGACTATAGTCTTATAATCCCAACCATCCTTTTGCATAAGAATATATAACAAAATAAAGAAGAGTAGTAAATTAATCCTTTACAGTACACATCACACGTGCTACACAGACACCTTTCCAGTCTAAAATCTAACACTTTGGAGTTAGATATGGATTTTCTTGTTTATCCCTTACCTTTCACTGGGTGATGTTACTGAGCCTTCAGCACCTTTTACCATGCCAGGTCCACCTGTGCAGGAGTAAGAAGACACACATTAGTGCCTTTCCATACCTTGAAATATGAAAACAGTGAAGGCAGATAAAGTGAAAGATACAAAGAGAACAGAACTCAGGTCATCACAGGTTAGCATGGGGGACCCCAACCCATATCAGGCCCAGTATTCTGGGCCATCTGTGTGGACAGAATGGGGCCAAGGAGCAGACTGGGGCCTGAGCCACCTCGAACAAGTTAGTAAAACTCCCTGTGTTTCAGTATCCTCATCTGAAAATGGTAATTGGGTGAGGATTCACTAATATATGCAAAGTGCTTAGAACAGTGCCTGCAAGGCATCAGCGATCAGTGTCAACATGATCATTGCTATTCTATAATGAAAATAAAAGCCACCTGGCACAACTATCAGCCAGTCATTCCCCACCACTAATCCTCCAGCTGCTCCTCCCCATCCCACACTTTAATGTGAGACTCCAGGAACTCACAACTGCTCCAGAAATAGACTTTGCTTTGGGGCAGTCCATGTTCAGAACATGTCACCTGGGAGTGAACCCTGTGACCTGTGCAAGCCCCGCCCAGCACACCTGCCTATCCCATCTTGTTTCTCTACCGCTGTAGTCTCAGCATAACACCCTCTTCGGACCTGGTCTTTCATGAATGGCTACGGCTCTGGAACTATGTTCCAGAGCAAGAATCTGAGAAAATAAGAAGTGGGCATAGGTGGTCTCTAATCGCTCTGGTGAAGTTCCTTTTTTTTTGTTTTTCCTTTTTATCCATTATGTTAAGGAGATTATGGGGTGTCCTGGGTTCTCAGATATGGACTCAAACTCCTTTCCAAAAAGCTTCCTGCCAGACCACCTGGTGGGCTTTCTGGAAGAACCCACTAGTGCAGTCCTTACTTATCCTGAGGGCCAGCTTCTCCAGGAAGTGCACTGTCACACACTTCTAATCTCCTCCCAGGGACTCAAGGGGCTTTCCTCCAGCCAGCCTGAGGGCACCATGGGTTACCCCTCACCCTCTGCTGAATGGGCTCATTCCTTTTCCTGAACCATGAGTCTCAGAAGCATGAAATGGCTGCTCAGATCCATTTCCAAACCTAACAAAGCCAGGCGTGGGGTTGGTGGTCCAGGACCATGAAGTGTCCCCCAAAATCCTCAAGCTCTTATACACTAGGATAAGGCAGGTCTACTGCCTTCTGTGAAGGTCTGGACACAGAAGCTCGCTGGCATGTGAGCTGGGAGGAGGGCTGTGTCTCAGCTCCATGTATCCTCCCTGAGTCACATACTTTCTATATCACAACCCCCCACCCTGGAATGTCAGGGGTTGCCACCTCAATGGGGAGAGGGCAAAGAATAAACAAACTTGAGAATGTGCCAAACTGGCATTTAAGAAAAGCAGAACTGGTTTAGCAGCCAAGGCCAGTCACCAAGTATGAGATGCTGTCACTTACCTATAGGACTCGCTGGACCTAGGAAAGGTCTGCAAGAAAACCGATACTATTACCCATTGTGAACACACAAGAATGACAGAGCAAAAATCTGAATAACCACTTTAAAATGTAATGACATAATTAACAAACTGAAAAGAAGCCATAAGTTTATCTCCAAATTAATTTGCTGTTATGATGAGAGAGAGCCTGTCACCTGTTTATGATAAATGAAATCCCTGCTTTGTTCTCCAAAATCCATTTTAGGGTTGCAAGATCATAGTTCTCAGGGTGCTGAAAGGCAACTCCTTCTGGAAGCCCCTGCACCACCACAGCCGCCTGGTCTCTCAGCATCTTCTCATATGGAACAGGCACCACTGCCCCAGTTCCTAAGGCTTTACCTGGCAGAGAGGCAAGATATTTCATTTGCATTAGAGCATGTGTCCAGGCAGCCTGGTGCCCCACAGGCTCTGGAGGGTTTCTCTGATGATGAAGTGTGTTGACAATGACAGAAATCTTTTCGAGAGTAGCTGACGGACAAGCTGATGAGTTAACTAGCTAGCAGACTAACTAGATAACCAGCCAACTGACTAGTTGACTAACCAGTTAACTGATTAGTTGACTAGTTAACCACTTAGCAGGCTGACTGACTCATTATCCATGTGACTAGTTAACTGGCTGGATAACTAGTTAGTAGCAGACAAACTAGTTAGCTAGCTAAATATCTAGCTGGCTAAATAGCAGACTAGCTAACTAGCTGGTTAAAATTTAGGATAAAAAGGGGATGGGATTCTGATCTGGTCAGCGCCAGGTTAACCAGAGGCACTGGTTTAGAGTTCAGGAAAGGAAGGAGTGAAGGGTTAACAGTGCAGCCTGCAGGCAAAGGGGAGCTTCTAACCTGGACCACACATCCACATCAGCAGAGGACCAGCCAAGGGTCCCCCTTGGGTCGTTCAACAAAATCAAGACCCAGATAATACGGCCAATTATGATTGTGAGTAGTCTATTAAGGAGTCTCAACTCTTTGGGGGATGAACGTGAAAAGGTTTCATTTTCCCCAGAACTGTGCCCTGGAGAATCTCCTAATCTGCTGGATTCATGTAATAATAGTGTGATTCTATAAGGTATTTGAGCTATTGAAAGAGCTTCATTTTTTTTTAAAGACTTGGTCTTACTCATTTTTTTTAGTGTGAGCATAAAAAAACCCCTGCCAATCAGTTTCATATCATGTTGTAAACACAGCTGGTGACATCTGGTTTGATGTATTAAAAACACAGAGCATCCTGTCCCTCTATATTGCAAGTGAATAAAATTTCCAACTAAACAAAGGCAAAAGAAAAAAAACTTATAAAATGTTTTCATTTAATCTTCACACAGAAAAAGAAATTGGCCTTTTTTTTCCCCATTTTCTTGAAGATTGCCCAAATGGGTGTACCCAGGTCTGCAGAGAGCATCCTGAGGTTACTCAGGCTGCTGTCAGGAGAAGCTGAGAGCCCCACCCCAAGCTTAACTGTCCTCTTACTACACAGCACAGGTCAGGCTAATATGCCTGTGGAAGTTATGACATCAGCTTGCCCAATAGCGCCCTCTGGGCTGTGTCCTTCTCTCTGCACTGGCTGGCCAGCCCTAAGGGGCTAAAGTCTCATGCTGGATGAGTATGTGGATTTTAAAATATTAGGGACATTCTAAGTCATGTCAATAACGTGATCTGTAACACCGACCTACTTGGTAGTGTACTATCCAGAGAATGAATGCTTCAAGTGAACTTTACCATAACACAAGCAGAAATAGTCCCCCACGGCTTTTCTGAGTATTTCTGTTTCTCCTGCAGGGATCTGCATCCCATTTGCAGGGCACAAGGGTTCCCCCTCAGGCAGCTCTTTGGCAAGACCTGCAAACAAATGATGGCGCAAAGTCAGCATTTGAGCATGGACATACTTTCTCAGTGGCTGAGTTGCTGGCGTTGAAAAGAGAAATAAACACAAGACAAGATCTTTTAATACACAAAGGACAGGGTACTCATGATGGTAAAACGATGATCATCCCTGAAATGTATTTATTGTTAAAGAACTATAAATAATTCTTTTCATAGGAAATATTAGTAATAGGAAGGAAAGTATTTTTGTAACAGATGTTATTTGCTGTGCAGTGTAAAAGTAACAGCCTTTGTCCAGAGACCATCACCACTGATCACATTCAGGTCCAGTGCCCCAACCAGCTGCCAAGGAAAGAACCGCACAGGGAAGGTTTAAGGAAAAGGAAAAGAATCACAACTAATAACATGGAATGTAGTGTAAGGGGTGAAGGGAACTCTAAAGATGATACAAGTGTCCGGAAGCTGAAGCAGTCCCCACTGCAGGGATGAGACAGAGACCAAGGGAAGAGACTAACCTGCAATTCTAGAAATGAAAAATCACTGGAAATGAAAACTTCACAGGATAGAATTAACAGTACACTGGATGCAGCAGAAGAAATAATCAGTGACCCTAAGAAAAGGTCAATAGAAATTATTTCATCTGAAGCTCAAATAGAAAAAAGCATTAAAAAAAAAAAGAACAGAGCTTTAATGTCTGTTGGTACTATCTAAACTTTCTTCTATATGTATAAATGAAGAAGAGGATGGATCAGAATATATTTGAAGAGAGAAGAGATAATGGCCAAAAATGTCCGATATTGATGAAGATATCAACCTGCAGATTCAACTCCATAGACCAAGCAGAGTGAAAACAAAGAAAACCACAAATAGGCAAATTATGACCAAGTATGGAAAACTTAATATTAAACAGAGCTAGGGAAAGAGATACATTACCTTCAAAGGAACAAAAATAAGAATTCTTCTTTCTTCCTTTCTTCTTGCTTTTCTCTTAATTGTATCTACATAAGATGATAGATGTTAGCTGAGCCTATTGTGGTAATCATTTTGCAACATATATAAATCAAACCATTATTCTGTATGCCTTAAATTAAACAATGAGGTATGTCAATTATTTCTCAATAAAACTGGAAAGAAAGAAGAGGTAAAAAAATTCTAACCTGATTTTGTATCTAAAATAGTAGATGCCAGAAGGTAATGGAATGAAAATTTTAAAGTACTACAGGAAAAAAATTGTCAAGCTAGAATTCTGTATCAAGTACAAATATTCTTCAAAAACAAAGCATGAGAGTGATGTAAGCAAGATGGGAGAGGAAGAAGCAATAGGCATTCCTTCCCCCACAGATACTCTGAACTAACACTGCACAGACTAGGATACCTCTGTGAGAGCTCTGCAGACCAGCTGAAAAGCTAAAGCACCCAAGCCCTTGTTAAACCAAGAAGGGGCAGTTTCTTCAAGTAATGATGACAGAAAAACTGGATATCCATGTGGAAAAAGTAAGTTGGATCTTTATCTTACACCACATACAAAAATTAACTCAGAATGGATTCAAGACCTAAACATAAGACCTCAAACTATAAAAATCCTAAGGAGAAAATAAAAAAAACAGGGCAGAAGCTTCATCATCACATCAAACATAGCAGTGATTTCTTGGATATTACACCAAGAAGCAAAAGCAACAAAAGCAAAAATAGACAAATGGAATCAAAACAACTTTAAAAACTTCTGGGTATGGAAAGTCATGATCAACAGTTAAAAGGCAATCTACTGTATTTTGGCAAATCATATGTTTGTGGGTTTTTTATAAAGATTTATTTTTATTTATTTATGCATACAAGAACTGGGGTATAGGCTAGAGGTAGGGGTGGGCATGAAAGGTTTACCAGAGACAGACTGGACAGCAGAACAGGCAGATCTACTGAAATACACTGCTGAGGGGAGCAGCGGGTGAGACAAGAGAGGTCTGCAGTGCCATTGGGGGATGGAACTTGTGCTGTGCCTGTTGCAGTGGCTGGCAATAGCTTGATAGTGATGAGACTTTAACCCCTGCGACACCAGGGAGACCTGGCAAATCATGTTATAACTTTGAATCATGTGTTTGATAAGGGGTTAATATCCAGAATATAGAAAAAACTCCTATAACTTAAGAACAGAAAATTAAAGGATTCAATTTAAAAATGGGCAAAGGACTTGGATAAACATTTCTCCAACGATGATATAAAACTGGCCAACCAGCATATGAAGAGGTTCAACAACACTAATAGTCAGAGAAATGCAAATGTAAACTACAATGAGATATAATCTCATACCCATTAGGATGGCTACAATCAAACAAGTAGAAAATAATAAGCATTAATAGTAAGTGATGTGGAGAAAATGGAACCCTTGGGCATCGTTAGTGGGAATGTAAAATGGTGCAACATACAGATTCCTCAAAAATTTAAAAATAGGGGCCTCCCCGGTGGTGCAGCGATTGAGCGCTGGGCTGCAAAGCTGCCCGCAGCCTCTGCAGCGCCAATTTGATCCCCGGCCGCCAGCGAGGGTCCCACATGGCGTGCAGACCTCTCCTGCCGCCCACTGCTCCCCTCAGCAGTGTATTTTGTCAGTCTGCCTGTTCTGTTCCCAGCTCTGGCTCGGGTGAATTCTCTCACCCTCCCGTGCTTCTGACTGTACCCAGTGCTTGTATAAATAAATAAATCTTTAAAAAAAAATTTAAAAATAGAATTACCTTATCATCCAGCAACCTCACTTCTGGATACATATCCCCCCAAATTGAAAGCACAGTCTCAGAGGTATTTTCATACACATGTTTATAGCAGTACTACTCACAAAAGCCAAAATGTAGACGCAATCCAAATGTCCATCAATAGATGAATAGATAAAATGTGATATATACATATGGAATATCATTCAGCTTTAAAAAAAGGACATTCTGCAGCAGGCTATGACATGGATAACCTTGAGAAAATCATATGCTAAGTGAAAGAAACCAGTCACAAACGTTGTATCTACAACTGTACATACAAATATGTATTTCCACATATATAGGTATCTAAAGTAGTCAAATTCATAGAAGCAGAAAGTAGAATGGTTGTTATTAGGGGCTGGAGATCTGTTTCACAACATGAACCTACAAGGTAAATTTTATGTTACGGGATTTTTTTAGCTACAATTTTTTTCAAAAATGAAGGCAAAGTAAAGACATTTTCTGATAAATAGAAGCTGAGAGAATGTGTTACCATCAGACCCACACCAAAAGAAATATTAATGTTCTTCAGACTGAAAGAAAATAATCCCAGATGGAAATGAAGATTGACTAGAAGGAATAAAGAGCATTAGAAATGGTACATATAGGTAAATATAAAGGACTTAAAATTTTTGGAAAGAAATTGCTTAAAGCAATAATAAGGTACTTTAGTATTATAACATATTACAGCTAGAGGGAAGTATACAGAATTATAATTAATGTTCTTACATTATAGATATAGAATTAAGACATTAATTTTAGATTCACTGTGACAGGAAGGCATATTGTATGTAATCTGAAGAACAACTTATAAAAATCAAAGAGCTGGGGGCCTCCCTGGTGGTGCAAGGGGTTAAGACGCAGCCTGCGAGGCTGTCCGCAGCCTTTGCAGCGCAAGTTCGATCCCTGGCCGGCCAGGGAGCTACCCACATGGCGATGCAGACCTCTTCTGTCTTGCCTGCTGCTCCCTGCAGCAGTGTGTTTCAGTAGATCTACCTGTTCTGCACCCCACTCTGTCTCTGGTGAATCCTCTCACCCCCCCCCACACCTCTGGTCTGTACCCCAGTTCTTGTGTGTATAAATAAATCTTTAAAAAAAAAATAGAAGAGCCAAAAAGTCAGCAGAGGAGATAAAATGTAAGAAATAGCTCAGTATTAAACAACAGAGGAAAGTAGGCACAGAGGAAGAATGAATATGTGAGACAGATATCAGTAGAAAAGAAACTGCAAGCTAGAAGCCTAAGCCAATAAATAATTACATTGAAAGGAAATAGACAAAATGATCTGAGTAAAAGTCAGATACTTTCATATAGACTTTTTTTAAAAAAAGGACCTAACCGTATCATTTACAAGACACTGTTTAAATATAAAAGTACAGAAAGCTGAAAGTAAATGAATGAAAAAAAAATATATCATGCAAATAGTAATCACAAGAAAGAAATGTGGTGTGTCCACTTTAATACAAGACAAAGTAGACTATAAGATTTAGAGTATACATGAAAACAAAGAGGAACATTTTATGAGGAAAAAAGGGTCAGTTCAATAGGGAGACATGATAATATAAATGTGTATGTTTCTAATAACACTCAGATTCCTGACTTCAACATAGGTGCAGCAAAAAGTAGAAACCATAAGGAGGAACAAATACACAATATATTTGTAGATTTAAATGTACTTCTGTCAGTAATTGACACAATAAGTATGCAAAAAATTAGAAATAACATGACTATAGATGAATTAAATACCATTATTTAACAACTTGACCTAATTGGTTTATTAACTGCAGAATCCAAAATTCTTTTCTAGAGCATATAGAATATTGACCAACATAAATTATGTGTGAAGTCATACATTAGGACTTGACAAATGCAAAAGCATTTAAATCATTCTTTTGGACTACAATGGCATTTAATTCAAAAGCAATAACCAAAAATATCGCCAGTATTAGGATATAAAGCAACATGTGTCTAAGTAAGGAGGAGTCCAAAAGAGAAATATTAGGGGTGTTAGAAAGTATTTTGAACTAAATGATAATGAAAACAAAATATCAAAGTCTCTGGGATACAATTAAAGCAGAACCTAAAGGGAAACCTATAACTTTAAATTTATACTAAAAATAATGATGTAAGTTACCAAATCAAGAAGCTAGAAATGCAATTAAATCAAAAAAATTATAAGAAAATAAAAAAGAAACAAATGCAAGAAAATACACAAACAAGAGAGAAAATCAATAAAGCTAAAAGTTGGCACATGGGAAAGATAAGTAAACAAAATTAATCCATTGCAAGTTCTGGGGCACAAAGTAAATTATTGTGCACTCCTTGTTAGAAATAGAAAAAAAGGGTCATAATGGAGTCGTTGGCTGAGGTCATCCCCACCCAGACTTAATACCTACCTCAGTCTCAACGCCTCCAGAAAGTGTAACCTGAAACCAATTACTCTGGAGTTTCCTAATCAGAACTAGCGAGGTGATCCGCTTACAACCCCACTGGCTTCCCCCAAGGAAGGTGGCTTTACCTGAAATAATCTTTTCTTTGCCTAATAGCCTGCCCCATCCTTGTTCTGTCTATAAATCCCCTCCCATTTGTTATTAAGTCTAGAGGGATGCTGCCCAATTCATGAATCATTTAATAAAGACAATTAGATTTCTAAATTTCTAAATTTTGTTTTTAAAACCCTCTTACACACACACCTTATAGGAGATGCCTGTGTATCTCTAGACAACACATAGATATATGGATAGGTAGGCAGATAGGTGGATGGAGTGGTAGATACATTAGTCCTTCTGATAAGCCTTTCTGGCTTTTTTTTTTTTTTTTTTTTTTTTTCCTTTATAGTCACAGGGAATACTACTCGCGGGGAATACTACAAAGTGCTAGCTCAAAACTTGGTAGATAACCTGCAGTAGCAGAGATAATCACTGTACAAGGTGAAGGTTTAAACCTCCTAGAGGAATTTCCCTCATGAATGGCCAAATATGCTCACTGATGCTCTTGGCCACTCGCAACATGTACTGCACATTGTAGATTTTGCAAGTCCAATAGTGAAAAAGGGAAAAGGAGTAAAGTACTACCTGAAAATAGTACCTAATAAGCTCTGGAAGAGTTTTTCCTTTTCCTTTGGGAAGGAGTAAAATAAAAGGGTTTTACATGTGGGATTATTTTAGGAATCAAAGACAATTTATTCTACAGTCTTCAAATGTATTCTATAAACCAGAGAACTGCAGAGGACACGGCACAAAATACAAAGTCCATTTTCCCTTCATTGTGAAGTAGCTATTCATTGGTAAGCCAAGTCAAAGGGCCTATTTTTAAGAGTGTACCTATGCTATATTAGAAGAAAGTAGTACATAAATCTTAAATGCAAGTATCTTAAGAATTAAGAATACAAAGGAAAAAAATTATTAACACCTACAGTATTTTGCAAAATCCTTTTGCAAATCCGTCCTGGAATTGACAAAAGCACATCCTTTCTCAGTGCCAACGACAAACACGTCTGTTTCATACATTGCAATGCAGGCCACTTCTGCCTTGGACTTGGCCAGTTCTTTGCACTGAAATGGAAACAAAAAAGGAAGAATTATATACAAGGACAGATTCAGATTTTATGGAGCCACAAATACTGCCCTAAGAAGACAGATGTTTGTTTAGACTCAGAAAAATCATCAAGAAAAAGAATATGGCAAATACCACAAGCACCTTAAAATGCAAAGAAAAACATCTTTATTAACCCAATGTGATAAAATTGTGATTCATAGTAAGAAATATATATTTGCTTTTCATCTTCACTGACATTCCTGGCACAGAGCTCCAGAAATCCTTGGTCTTTCCTAAGTTAAGAGAGCAGTGATAAGTGCCTTTGGTTGTTAATAAGGTGACAACGGAACCTTAGAGATGGGGGGGAATGGCTGCCAGTGGAACCAATCATGTGATTAGAGTTGGAACTTTCAGTCGCATTCCTGGACTTCAGGAGTGTCTGCCACAGGGTTCTCTGGTAAACAGAATAGATGTGTGTGTGTGCATATAAATTTATCATGATATATATATATATATATATATACACACACACACATAGCTATCTGTAAGTTTATTATGAAGATATGTAGATGTAAATTATGAGGTTTATTATGAGAAATTGGCTTATGTGATAAAGGAGGTTGAGAAATCCCACAATCTGCCATTCAGAAGCTGGGGGCCCAGGAAAGCTGATGATACAGTTCTAAGGTCCAAGTGCTACATGAAGGGTCCAGACTCCAGTCTGATTTGAAAGCCTGAGAAGTGGGAGTGCTGAGGGTGCAGTCAGACCCCGAGCTAATTCACCCTGTCTCCACCTCTCTGTCCCATTCCAGCCCTCAATGGAGTAGATAAGGCCACCCCCCACATTGGTGAGCGTTTCTTTACCTGGTCTACCCATCCAAATGCTAATCTCTTCCCACTCAGAAATATTATTTCACCAGCCATCTGAGCATCCTGTGGCCCAGCGAGGCTGACACATGAATTTACCAACATGTCACTCGTGGTAAGTCATGTTGATCATGCACCCCTGATGTGATGTGATGAGAGGGACATTTTACCCTGGTGGACTTCCCAAGACTCCATAACTCCAGTCTAACCAGGAGGGACACATCAGAGAATCTCAAACTGAAGGAAGTTTTATAAAATACCTGACTGGTCAAGGTCAAGGTCATGAAAAACCAGAGCAGATTGAGGAACTGACAGACCAGAGGCCCTAGCGGAGGTGTGATGACTAATGCGGTGTGGTGTCATAAGGTGGATCCCAGAACAGAAGAAGAAGATTTGCAGAAAAACTGGTGAAATTCAAATATGGCCTGGAATTGGTCAAATGTACCAATATTGATCTATTTCATTTTGACAAATGTTCAAGTTACAGTTATGTAGATTATGGGTGAGGAGCATACGGGAGCTCTCCGTACAATCTTTTCAACTTTCTTGTGAACCTTAGAAGTATTCCTAAACAAAATTTTGTTAAAATAAAATAACCCAACTCTTCATTTTCCAGGGGGATGGGCAGGAGCAAATGGGGAATAATTATTTAATGGGGGCAGATGTTTAGGAAGACAAAAAATTTCTAGAAGTGGATGGTGTAATGGTTGCACAATAACCAAATACTTAAATACCACTAAACTGTATACCTAAAAAATGATTTAGCTGGTAAATTGTATGTTATATACTATATACACTCATAGATGGTCTCTCCAAACCTTCCATCAGACTGAGGACAGAAGTCCAGAGCTCTGTACAATGTGATCTGGTTGCTACGTGTCTCTGGAACTTTGCCTCTGACCCGTTTCTCTCCTCACTCTGCTCTAGTATTACTGAACTTCTTGACTTCTTTGCAAATACCAAACTTGTTCCCACGTCAGGGCCTTTGCACAATCTGTTCTCACTGCCCTAAACACTCTGCTCCCAGACACTGACTGGGCTAGCTCATTTCCTTACTTCCTTGAGATTTTTGTACAAAAGGCAAATACTCAGAGAATTTCCCCTAGACACCCTAAGCTAACCATCTGTTCTCTCCCCTAACTGACCCTGCTTTTCTGATATGTATTATATTTATTGACGCAAACGTATACACATAGAATTTCTTTTATTGTCTGTCTCCCCAAATAAACATGAGGGGACCTTATCTATCTTATTGAATTTTGGGGCCCCAACACCAGAGGAGAGCCTGGACATAGGAGACGCTTTCACAAACATATGTCAAGTGAACGCACGTGTGATCAGTTCTGGGGTAAGTACCCTTTAAACAGATGCTGATGCTGTCTATTAAAATCTGTTCCCAGTTTTTTTTAAACAGTATTATTTATTCTCAGATAGTCCAGGATAACCTCTCCATCTCAAACTCCTTAATTTAGCCACATCCAGAAGGCTCCTTTTGCAAATAAGAGCCTCTGGGAATGAGCACATGGACTGAGGGGCATTACTCAGCTTACTGCGGGTGTACACTTTGCTTTCAGTTTAGATATGATGGGTCTGGGCGTGTGTGTGCACACACACTTGTTTGTATTTTCATATTTTGTCCATTGACCCAATGATGTTCTTTATAGAAAAAAAAGAAATATCTGTATCTATTTTTTCTGGTTCAGGATCCAATCCAATGTCTCCCCTTCTGTGTGCCCTGTCTCTTGAGTCTCTAATCTTTTTCTTTCATGGTATCAACATTTATTTTTTTAAAGATTTATTTATGCATACAAGAACTGGGGTGTAGGCCAGAGGTGGGGGGATAAGAGGATTCACCAGAGACAGAGTGGGGAGCAGAACAAGCGGATCTACTGAAATACACTGCTGAGGGGAGCAACGGGTGAGATAGGAGAGGTCTGCTGCGCCATGTGGGTCAGCTCCTTGGCAGGGACTGAACTCATGCTTCAGTAGCTGGCAACAGCTTGATAGTGCTGAGACTTTAACCCCTGCACCACCAGGGAGGCCCCCTCATGGTATCAACATTTATGTGAACCTAGTCCATTTATTTCATAAAATGTTCTTTCCTGGTGCGAGATGTCAGCCTGGCTTGTGGCTGCTGCTGCAATCCATGATTGGGGGGGCATCTGTCAGGTCTCTCCACTTTTATAAAGTTATTAATTTCCCCTTTTAATCAACAAGTATTTTGTGATCAGGTACTTGGAGGGCATATAAAATTCTCATCAAATGTACACAAAAGGTAAAGTTTACATTATGGATGTAAACTGATCCACAATGGATTATTGATTTACCTTTGAATTGAAATAAAAAATACCTTTAATAATGTAACAGAGATTCCATCATTAAACTTACAGATCTGGAAAGCTTAAATGCATATAATTACATCCATAATATAAGGGGAGAAAATCTTAATTATATGACAAACCCATTATTCTCTATGAAGGATACACTTCAACAAATAGGACATCAAACTGAAATCAAGTATGAACATGTCAGTGAAGTGTTTCTCAGTGCAGCCATTTCAGCAGTCACCCAGCTGCAGGACACCTGACAGAGCGGTAAGGCTGTCTCACCATGGACTCAAGGGCAGACATGAGGAACGTCACCACCATCCTACTCTCTGAAGACTCCTCATTTTTGACAGGCAGGGTAGAAACGGCTACTTGGGCCATGATCCCTGTGTGAGAGAAGCAATGAGAAAATGAGTGGCAGAAATCCACAGTGTCCCTCCAAACACAGGATTAGAGCTATGAGGATCCTCACAGAGGACAAAGTTCAAACCTTCCTTTAGAGTTGCTGAAACTGACAAAGACATGAAATGATTTGCCCAAGATCTTCTTATAGTAATGCAAACTTTCATATGGAGTAAATCCCACTAAGTCTAGACATTTTCTCCTCTAAAATAAATTTCAGGAGTAACACTAGATGAGGGGGCCAGGAAATGTGCCTCACGGATCCAACGGTATTTTCTCAAATTTCAGCACAGCAGCACCACATATCACATTCTGTTTCACATAAGCAGAAAAAGAGAGAAGTGGGTTTGCATGCAAAAGATGAGAAGAGAAAAATCCCCATTTCTTTCCTGCTAGGACTTCTGCATAAAAGCTCACTCTAAATTTCACCGAACTCAGAACTGTAATACAAAAAGATTTATCTATGTTTATGTACATAGAAGGACGATCCACAATTGCCAAGTGACAGAACTAATCTAAGTGCCCTTCAAGAGACGAAAGGATAAAGAAACTGTGGAATATATACTCGATGGATTACCACACAGCTGTGAAGAAAGGTGAAATAGTGGCATTTGGGAGAAAATGGATGGAAAATTGAGGTGATTATGTTGAAATAAGTCAAAAGTGAAAGATTATCAGATGGTTTCATGCATCTGTGGAATATAAGTAACAGTAACAAAACAAACAAACAAACACAGGCAAAATACAGTAGGAACAAATCTTGAACACAGAGAGAGAATATAATGGTTACCAGAGGGATTGGGGCAGGGATGGGGGTGTGCGAGCAGGGGCAGGGACCACAGTGGAGGAGAGGACAGGCAACGGAAGAGCACACAGAGCCTGGATAGAGACCTGACAGGGACAGGGTCCCATGATCCGAGTGACACATCCTTGGACAGGACAGTCCTAGTTCACACCTGCCTGAGGGTGAGATTATTAATAGTGCTCCCTTCCTCGAAGTGGCTATAAAATGGATCATAAAATGCTTGTGTGAGAGTGGTTGTCTGACATGAAAAAAAAAATCATTACGACATGGATTTTTGTGTCCATGATTTCTTTGTTTAACGGATCTTCTAGCTCTTTATCAGCAAATGCCACTATGCCAACACTGCACTTTTTTTTTTAAAGAGGCATGTATTTTTATTTATTTGTTTATTTATTGATTGATACAAGCACTGGGTACAGTCAGAAGCGCGGGAGGGTGAGAGAATTCACCAGAGCGGGGAGCGGAGCAGGCAGAAGGACCGAAGTACACTGCTGAGGGGAGCAGCGGGCGGCAGGAGAGGTCTGCGCGCCATGTGGGACCCTCCTCCGGTGGCGGGGGAGCAGCCGAGGATCGAACCGGCACTGCAGAGGCCGCAGGCAGCTTCGCAACCCAGCGCTCAACCTCTGCGCCACCGGGGAGGCCCACACTGCACATTTTTTCAGATAAAGTAGTTCTGTAATCTGTCAGTCACCCTGGGCTGGCTTTGAGTTGTCTATCAGAAAGTTATCCCTCTTTGGTGTTGTTTGGGGGTGCCTTTCGTCTTAGAATTTTACCACTGAGGATATGTCTTCAGAATTCATGCCTTCCAGCCAGAATGTTAATACTTTCAGTCTCTACAATATCATCACATACTGGGCTAGCCACATAGTAGTGCCCTGACCATCTGATGTCACACTTTGATGGTCTAAGCACGGGAAGCATTGTGACCTCTCACTGAGTCCCCCAGTTTCCCTTGCAATGTTGACACAGATTATTCTTTCTTCCATTACTCATCTGATGAAGTAGTTTAGGTGCCATGAAGCATTAATCACAGTTTTAATCACTAGACTTACACCCACTGTTAGATGTTCGTGCTGAGATGTCCCAGAGGACTGAGACCATTTATGGGCATATGCCAGGCTCCAAGCATGCTTTCTCCTAAGTCAGATGCTCTCACACACTGCAGTTAGAAATTGCCTACGATATGTAAATAGCTCTTTTTTTTTTTTTTCATTTCATTTTTGCAGGGCAACCATGGTTGAACTCTCCTAAGCTGAGTGTATGTTTGGTACTGCTCCACTGTATCTACTCTTTCACACAATTTCTTTCATACGGAAAATTTTAACAAAGACATTCTTTAAAACACAGTCTTAACTGACAACTGCTAGTGCCAGTGGTAAATGCATCATTTCTGTTCATGATATCACAGAAATCCCTAAGAGGATTGTGATGTCAAAACTATGGTTTTTATTTTTTTATATTTTTAAAAGTTTATGCATACAAGAACTGCGTTACAGGCCAGAAGTGCAGGGAGTGGGGTGAGAGGATTCACCAGAGACAGAATGGGAAACAGAACAGGCAGTCTGACTGAAATACATTGCTGAGGGGAGCAGCGGGTGAGTCAGGAGAGGTCTGCTGTGCCATGTGGGTCACCTCCCTGGCTGGGGATCGAACTGGTGCTGCAGTAGTTGCAGATAGCTTCATAGTGCTGACGTTTAACCCCTTGTGCCACCAGGGAGGACCAAAAACCATGGTTTTTAACAGGAAAAAATAGGTACAACTAAAAACAGGTATCAGTTGGTGTAAACTGTGCTAATATTCACGATTTTCCTAAGTTGAAATACAATCTACTTCTCTTAGAAAATCTCTAAAATCTTGAAATAGAGGCCTGGATTATTTTTAAAATTGTGTCAAAGGGTTAATTTTTCAGGTATGAGCTCCTGATTTTAATTAACAAGTTTCTGGGGTATCACCTTCTCCACAGCTCAGCCCAGGCCTACAGTAAATAAAAACTGCAAACCCAAGTGACCTATTCACCATTCAACAAAGATGCATTGAGGCCCCATTATGTGGAAACATCGACAGCGGGGAGGGAGAGCTGGGAGAAATAAAGGTGAATGAATCTAACTCATGTGCTCTCCAATGAGAGACACCGCATAGACATGACAGAATAGCATGTAATACAGGGAAAATAAGTCAGACACCCTTGAAATGTCCCAAAGCATATGGTCCAGTGTGGGCTGGACAGGAGGAACAAGTGGAAGCATGTGAGAATTACTTCCAAGGTCAGCATCCTGAGAATGAGGGTGTGACTGTCAAGGCTGTGACTGGGCAAAAGCCAGAGCCCTGGGCAGCAGGTTCAGGAACTAACAAGCAGGCTCTCTAAATTGCCACTGCAGATTAACACAGGTGACGTCCAAGCGCTGTGTGCACCAAATGCCCTCCTTGCATTTGGGGGAGAAAAAGGTGGAAAAATGCTTCTTCAATTGCAGCAGCGAGCAATATCTAATTTGCCTACTTCCAAGCTTCTATCTAGAAATGTTTACTTAAAATTACCAGAAAAAAATGAAACATGGTCTAACAATTTAATTCCTTGGTATATACCCAAGTGTTGAAGACATGCCCACAAAAGACCCGAGCAGCATTATTTACAATAGTGAAAAAGCGGAAACCATGTAAATATCCATCAATTGATGGATGGAAAAATGAAAATATGCTATATCCATACAATGATTATTCAGCCATAAACAGGAATGGAAGATGCCAGACATAAAAGATTCCTTAGAAAGATCCCACCTATAGGGCTTCCCTGGTGGCGCAAGGGGTTAAGCACCGCAGTAAGAAGCAATTGCAGCCTCTGCAACAGGAGTTTGAGCCTGGGCTGGCCAGGGAGCAACCCACATGGCGAGGCAGACCTCTCCTGTCTGGTCCGCTGCTCCCTTCAGCAGTGTATTTCAGTCCGTCTGACTGCGCTGTTCCCCACTCTGTCTCTGATGAGTCCTCTCACCCCCCCCCATCTCTGGCCTCTACCCCAGCTCTTGTATGCATAAATAAGTCCTAAAAAAAAAAAAAAAAAAGACCCCACCTACAGAAAATGTGCAGAAAAGCACAGAGGGAACCAGAAAGCCGATTGTCAAGGGCTGGGCTGAGAAGAAATATTTATTCTTCCTGCCTATTGGGTATGGGATTTTTTTTGGGTGATGACAATTTTGTGGAACCAGACACTGGCGATAATTCTACAGTTCCAGGAATAAACTAAAAATAACTCAATTATACATGTTCGAAGGCTGAACTTTATGGCGTATCTCAATAAAGCTGTCATTACACAAAGTTTGGGTTGGCAAGGCGGAGACTACAAGGCCCTGAGAATCTTTTTCACAGGAATTGTGACCGATTGTAGGCCTTGGCCCAAAGCTCTTATTCTGGTCTCTGCATTAATTTTCTGCGAAGAAACTAACCTCTGAAGGCGGCCCTTGCCAGCCAACCCAACACAGCCCCCGCGCGGGGCACCCTCCCGCAACACGCGACCTGAGAGGCGGAGTCCGGGCGTCCGGGCAGGGAGGCGGGTGCAGTTACCTGGCAACAGCCGCAGCCCCGCCCCCTCACTAGCCAATCCTGTGCCTCCGCTCGCCGAGAGTGCGTCTCACGTAAGCCAGGAGGCGCGCGACCTCACGCCTCCGGACCCAAGAGAGAGCCCAGTCTACAGCCCCGCCCCCGCCAGCCCCGCCCAGCCAATCAGGAGGGAGAGGGATGCGCGTTCCCTGCGTGAGCCGTAGCCCCCAGCGGCAGGGCTTTCCCGCCCCACCCCCACTCCTGGGGCCCGGCCCCGGGGCAATGCGGGTCGGGGCCCGCGGGGCGGCGAGGGGCGTCGCCTGCCGCGCACTGGACGGGCGGCCTCCCCAGGACTCCCTTCGCCAGGCCCGCGGGAGGAGCGAGTTCCAGGAAAAGCCCCCGCTCTTAATGGCGGCTGCGGCGGGGCGGGGTACGCACCTGAGGTCCCCGCCGCGGGCAGCGCCCGGCGGGCCGCGGGGCTGAGGCCTGGGCCCCCGGGAAGCCGCCGGGGCCCGAGGGCGGCGGCCGGCGCGGCGAGGAGGCGGGGCGCGGCGTGGTGCGGTGGCCGAGGCCCTGCGCTCCTCTATCCCTCCTTTTTCTTTCTTTCTTTTCCCTTTTTTAATTTTTTTTGGCTTCCTGGAGGGCTGCCTCGGCTCGTGTGTCCGCAGCGCCCCAAGTGGGAGTCGCCGTTTCCGGTGCTGTGGAATCCAGTTCGGGCGCGCGCTGGGTGTGCTCGGAGGCTGCGGGCTGTCCAGCGGGAGGCCGGACCAGCAGATCCATCTCCAGCCTTTGATGAGTGGCTGGCACGTGCCTTGTCTCAGCCCCAGACACCGCCCCCGGACGTGGACGCCCGTCCTTGCTGATATTTGATGTGATTGTTTGGCGTGAGTGCAATTGTAGCGTTAGAGCAGCGAGGCCAGCACTGGCGACCGTGGGTGACTCGCCCTTAAAGCCGTCTGATTACTTGCTGGAACAGCCGGGCCTGACCTTTTGATGGGGTCAGTGACATCCCCAGAGAGTCATGAGCTGTCTTCGGTTGGTGGCATGCAGCAAATAGACGAATATTACAGTATCATTTAAGTGACACTTAAATTTTTTTTTAAGATTTGTACATACAAGAACTGGGGTGTAGGCCAGAGGTGGGGGTGCGTGTGAGAGAGGATTCACCAGAGAGAGAGAGGGGAACAGAACAGGCAGAGTTACTGAAATTGTTAGGGGGAAAAGGATGTCCTAAAGCTAATTCCATACAGGCTTTGTGGACTCCACCCCCGCCCCAGGCCAAAGCCAAAGACTCTGGGAACTCCAAATCCCATCACCACCAAAGGGAAGGTGGCTGGGACCTGAGGGTGGGGTTAAGCAGCCAGGTTGGTATAAAGCCAGACACGTGGGCTTTGGAGGGGGTCCCCCATTTTGACTCTCCGCCAGCTAGCAGCGTCTGGCCAGCTCGGAGAGTGCTTTTTGGGTTTCCAGGTCAGTGGATCGGGTAGGACGCATTAAAGACTTTATTTCCTTATTTTCTCCCTGAGTTGTACATTTTCCTTATTTCCTTTTCCCTTGTAAATAAACCTTTTATTAACCTTTTGTGTATGCCTGTAGTGGAGTATTAATAAGTCCCTTGTAAGCGCGCGGGTGAGGACCTACAGCCAGGCAACCCGTTCAATATCGGGGCTGCCCTATAACAAAATGGACTGCTGAGGGGAGCAGCAGGTGAGACAGGAGAGGTCTGCTGTGCCATGTGTGTTAGCTCCCTGGCTGGGGCACTGAACTCATGCCGCAGTGGCTACTGATAGCTTGATAGTACTGAGACTTTAACCACTGTGCCACCAGAGAGGCCCAGTGACATTTTAAATATGCCCAAAGGTAACAAATAGAAACCATCTATTTGTTGCTCAGATTTAAAATAGCATACTTGGTCTCCTGCACATTTTAAGGAAATGTTATAGACAAGGAAGGCACCCTTGTCATTCCTCTCTCCTAATAAATACCACAACATGAACCTTGAAGACATTATGTTAAGTAAAATAAGCTAGCCACAAAGGAACAAATACCGTATGATTGCATTTATACAACATACTTAGAATAGGTAAACTCACAGAGACAAAGTTGATTGAGAGACTACCTGCAGCGGGATGGAAGGAGCGAATGGGTGGCTATTGCTTAATGACTACAGCATTTTTGCTAGGGCTCTTAATTTGTGGGTTTTTTTTTTTTGTCCTATACATTTTATTTTACAAAAAGAAGTTTTGTAAATAGACATGATGGTTGTAAAACATTGTGACTGCAATTTGTTCCACCCCATTGTATGTTTACAAATTATTGAAATAATAATTTTTATTATGTATATTTTACTGCAAAAAAACTTTAAGATGAATATCCTCATACTTCGTGATGCAGCCATTTCACCCACAGTTATTTTCCCAAGATAAAAGGAACAAATGTAAATACAAGGATGTTCATACATGAATATACATGAACATACCTGAATGTTCATAGTAGATTAAATCATAATTGGATATGGGAAACAAATGTCAGTAAACAAGTAAGTTGTTAAACTAGTGGTGATACTGCCATATAAAGCAATGCTGCTTAGCAGCAGGAAGAGTGAATTGTTAGTACCTGCAAAAGCACAGGTTAATTTCCAAAATTATGCTGTGTCAAAGAAGTCAGATATTCTTAATGAGTCCATATTTTATGACTGTATATAGAAAGTGCAAATGGTTGCATAGTGGAGGAAAACATCTATTTCCTAGCCCCAGGGGTGGGGAGGGTGTCGGGGAATGGAGTTATGATATATCTTAATTGTGTTGATACTCACATATGTGAATAGATGTTTCAAAATTCATCAAACTGGTTTAAATGAATGCAGTTTATTATGCATAGATTATACCTCCATATTGATTAAAAAGTCAGCCTTTCACACTTTCTGTGTTATCAAATGTTAAAACTATTTTAAATTAAGCACATGTAGTCACTTTGTTCTTGCTAAAATCATCTTAAGACTGCTGTTTTCCTACATTTTTAAAACACAAAAGAAGGGCCTCCCTGGTGGCACAAGGGGTTAAGATGCAACCTATGAAGCTGTCCTCAGCCACTGCAGCACAAGTTCAATTCCCAGCTAGAGAGATACTCACATGGCACAGCAGACCTCTTCTGGCTCACCTGCTGCTCCCCTCAGTGTATTTCAGTTGATCTGCCTGTTCTGTTCCCCGCTCTGTCTCTGGTGAATTCTCTCACCCTCCATACTTCTGGCCTGTACCCTGGTTTTTGTATGCATAAATAAATAAATCTTTAAAAAAATCAAAAAAAACACAAAAGAATACATTTGTTTAAAATTGTTTAATCATTACTTTAAAAAAACCTTCATGTATTTTATTAAGTACACATTAGTATAATATGTGTGTAATGACTTTACATATATATTTCATATAATTTGCTACTGCTTAAAAAAGTGGAAGATCCTGTTCTCAGAAAACTGAATTTATCTACAGAGGGATGAATTTATTCAAGTACATGACTGACACCAACAGCAGTTAGAGTATACCACATTCATGTGACATGGGAAGAGTCAAGATTGTAAAATGTCATTTCTCCTAGTTAATTTCTCTCAATTAACCCGTGAATTTAATGCAATTGCAATAAAAGCCCCAGTGGGACTTCTTTTTAATGCAACTTGACAAGATTATTTTAAGTTTTATAGGGAAGTAAATGTTATGAATAGCAAAGGCAATTTTGTAAAAGAACAAAGACCTGGTTGAATAAAAATCAGAGCACAGGGCCTCCCCGGTGGCGCAGCGGTTGAGCACTGGGTTGCGAAGCTGCCGGCGACCTCTGCAGCGCAGCGGTTCGATCCCCGGCTGCTCCCCGGCCACCGGAGGAGGGTCCCACATGGCGCGCAGACCTCTCCTGCCGCCCGCTGCTCCCCTCAGCAGTGTACTTCAGTCCTTCTGCCTGTTGTGCTCCCCGCTCTGGCTCTGGTGAATTCTCTCGCCCTCCCGCGCTTCTGACTGTACCCAGTGCACGTATAAACAAAACAAACAAACAAATAAATAAATAAATAAAAACATGCCTCTATAAATAAAAAAAAAAAGTGTTAAAAATCAGAGCACATTATAAAGCTGTAGCAGTTGAAACTTTGTCATATTAATTCAAGAACAGATCAATAGCAAGTTTCCAAAAATTGACCTATGTATATGGAAATTTATTATATGTTATAATTGGCATTTCAATTTTTCAGATAATGTCAAATTATTTTGGGGCAGTCAGATACCTGTTTGAAAAAATATGAAATCTGTAATCTGGTTTCATAAAAGTCAACTCCAAGTCTAAATATAAAATATTAAGTATTAGAATAAATGGTTTTACGAATAATATAGAACACCTTTATATTTTGGATAATAGTCTTCCTAAACAAGACACAGAAAGCATAAGCTCTAAAGGATAAGATTAATAAAAGTGGCCATGTCAAAAATATATACGGGCCTCCCCGGTGGCACAGCGGTTGAGCGCTGGGTTGCGAAGCTGCTCGCAGCTTCTGCAGCGCCAGTTCGATCCCCGGCTGCTCCCCGGCTGCTCCCCGGCTGCTCCCCGGCCACTGGAGGAGGGTCCCGCATGGCGCGCAGACCTCTCCTGCCGCCCGCTGCTCCCTTCAGCAGTGTACTTCGGTCCTTCTGCCTGCTCTGCTCCCCGCTCTGGCTCTGGTGAATTCTCTCACCCCCCCAGTGTTTCTAACTGTACTAGTGCTTATATAAATAAATAAATAAATCTTTTAAAAAAAAAAAAAAATATATATATATATATATACACAAAAACACCACAAAGTAAAAAGACAGGAGAAAACATTTTAACATAACAACAAAGGGTTTCTATACGCATCAATAACTTTTATAAATAAACAAGAGACAACTCATTAGATGTGAGGATTTGAATAGACCAGCAATCCTCAGTAGGGGAGGAATGAGATTATCCCACCTGTACTGGACATTAGATGTTCAACCTTCTTAGCAGTTATAGAAACAAAGTAAATGGACAACAGTCTGGTAAATGGTACCAGACTGACAAACATTTTAAATGTTTGTATTAGGTGCTAGGTGTATAGAAAAATGAATCCACTCGTTAAAACACAACTTTTGAAGAACAAATGGAACATCTATTTTATTTATTTTTTAAAGATTTATTTATTTATGCATGCAAGAGCTGGGGTGCAGGCCAAAGGTGTGAGGTGCGGAGGGACAGGGGGACAGGGGAGTGAGAGGATTCGCCAGAGACAATGGGGAGCTGAACAGGCAGATTGACTGAAAAACACTGCTGAGGGGAGCAGCAGGCAAGACAGCAGAGGTCTGCTGCGCCCTGTGGGTCACCTCCCTGGTGATGGATTGAACTCATGCTGCAGATAGCTTCATAGTGCTGCCACTTAACCCCTTGAGCCAACTGGAACATCTATTTTTTTAATGAGCCTTTTCTGTCTTTATTAGTACCTGCACTGGTGCAAAAGGAAACGTACAAGAATATTTACTGTAATTTCTTGTAATAGTAAAAACTAAATCCACCCAAATGTCCACCAAAAGAAGAATGGGTAAAGAAGAAGTTTAGTGACAGTAATATGCAAGAGTGAAAAAGAAAGGGGTAGATCTAAATTGTTATAAATTTTTTCCAATATAGATTTGAGTGAAAAGAAGAGGTTGCAGCATCCCATAGATATACCCTTTCTTTAAACACACACATGCAAGGAATAAAATGATTTATTTTCTATGGCAACAGATACATGTGGAACTATGGAGCTACAGGAGCTTTTAGCCTTATCTATATATAATTTTAAATTATTTTACTAAGGTAATGCAGCAGATATGAATTGTACATGTTGATAAAAATAAATTAAGTTCACTCTTCCAGGTTAGAGAATTTCATTTACCCTAAGTAACAGAGAAATGAGAACATTTACTGAAAAATGTCATTATAGGCAAAGTATAAGTTTAACCTAGGTAACATTAGGAGCCATTTTAATACTTTGGGGAGAGCTGGTATTTCGTTAGAGCACCATCCTTTCCAAGCAAAAATTTGGAGCAAAACGGAAGTATTCGTCAGCCAGCATCTGGCCAGTAGATAAAACCAACCAGGTTTTGATAGTAAATTATAAAAGCCCAGTTGGGACTATAAATCCCAACTGGCCAAAACCAGCTTTAGGCTGTTTTATCCTGTTTATCCACGAACAAGACCCTCGTCACTGGTGGGCAAGCATCGCCACCCAGTGGCTGAGGCGTACATTGCAGAGTCCCTTACTGGGTTCTTTCGTTGCCCAAATCTCAAACAGGTTGTTCCGTCTTTTGGATTCCCCTTAAAAGTAAAATGTTTTACAGAACAAAATAAAACAAAAACAAACAAACCATTCTAAACCAGAGTCATCCTGCAGGGGAGGAGGAGGGAGAGGGATCAGAGGGAGGGAGGGAGGGAGGAGCACAGGGCCTGAGGTGATGGTGCACGGGTGCATTTGTGAAGGAAACTCTATGGGGACTACACCTGAGGGGGTGGGGGGAAGCAAATATTGTTGAAAAATGAACAATGATGTAAAAAATATATAAATAAAAACAAAACAAAAAGTGAAATGTTTTAGAAATCAATAGACCCATATATGACATTCTAACAAAGATTTTTTTAGAACTTCTAGCTTTGCCAGGTTTTAAAAGAATAGATATTTGAAAGCAAAAAAGAACAAAACAAAACACAAAGACCATGAATTCAGATACATCTTCCATATGATCCAGCAATTCCACTCCTAGGTATTTACCCAAAGGACACAGAAACATCAATTCCAAAGAGCACCTGCACCCCTTTGTTTATAGCAGCAGTATTTACAATAGCTAAGCTTTGGAAACAACCCAAATGCCCAAAAATAGATGACTGGATCAAGAAGATGTGGTACATATACACCATGGAATATTACTCAGCATTCAAAAAAGATGAGCACATGCAATTTGCAGCAACATGGATGGTGCTGGAAGGGATCATGCTCAGCGAAATAAGCCAGAAAGAAAAAGAAAAATACCGGATGGTCTCACTCATAGCAGGAATCTAGAAAACTTAAATAAGGAATCAGGAAAATGAATATCTATAAGAAAGTGAAAATCAAAATCAACAAACAACTATGAACCAGAGACACTCCATGGGGGCTGGGGGGCGGGGAAAGGAGGGATTGGGGTCAAATAAGAGGGTTGCAATTGTATGGGGAATATAAAAATAAAATTAAAATTAAAAAAAGAAAATTCTACACACATTTCATAATTATTTAAATTATTTAATAACTATTAATACTAATTTATAATTAATAATAAATATTTATATATTCAATAAATATATTAATAATTGTGATGGTTAGTTTTAGGTGTCAATTCCACTGGCTATTGATAAATGGTTAAACACTATTTCTTTTTTTTTTTGCTTTTTTATTTATTTATTGATTGATTTTAAAGAGGCATGTATTATTTACTTATTTGTTTGTTTGTTTGTTTGTTTGTTTATACAAGCACTGGGTACAGTCAGAAGCGTGGGAGGGTGAGAGAATTCACCAGAGCCAGAGCCGGGAGCAGAGCAGGCAGAAGGACCGAAGTACACTGCTGAGGGGAACAGCAGGCGGCAGGAGAGGCCTGCGCGCCATGCGGGGACCCTCCTCCGGTGGCCTGGGACCAGCCGGGGATCGAACCGGCGCCACAGAGGCCGCGGGCAGCTTTGCAACCCAGCGTTCAACCGCTGCGCCACTGGGGAGGCCCCTAAACACTATTTCTGAATGTGTCTGTGAGGGTGTTTACAGAAGAGAATAGTATTTTTTTTTTTAATTTATTTATACATACAGGAACTGGGGTATAGGCCAGAGGTGTGGGGGGTGAGAGGATTCACCAGAGACAGAGTGGGGAAAAGAACAGGCAGATCTACTGAAATACACTGCTGAGGGGAGCAGCGGGTGAGTCAGGAGAGGTCTGCTGCTCCAGGTGGGTAGCTCTCTGGAGGGGGATTGAACTCGTGTGGACAGCTTTATAGGTTGTGTCTTAACCCCTTGTGCCATCAGGGAGGCCCGGGAATAGTATTTGAATTGATGGACTTGGTAAAGCAGAAAGCCCTTGCTAACGTGGGTGGGCTTCATGCAATCTGCTGAGGGCCTGAAAAGAGCAAAAAAGATGGAGGAAGGTTGAAATCTTTTTCTCCCTCTGCTTGCCTACCTGTTTGATTTGCGTTGGGGGCCCTGGTATTTTCCTACCTGCTTACTAGAACTTACACCATTGGGGCTCCTGGTTCCTAGGCCTTTGGACTTGGACTGGCTTTTCTGACCCTTTAGCAGGTGTGGATCTCCTATTTCTCCTATCAGCTCTGTTTCTCTGGTGAGCTCCAATACTATAATCTTTATATAATTATATAATTCTCCTTTATCAATATGTCTCAGCTATACCATTAAAAGCAGAGCTGGAAACAAGATCTTGTACACAGATACTTATTTGGGAGGTCCCAGGAGTGAAAGAGCAGGGATTACTCAAGAGAAAAACTGTCCTTCTTTATGGAGGCTAACTGTTGAGACTAAAATAAACCCATTCACCAGAACTGTATTCCACAGGAAGTTCCGGAGGTTGTGTGTCTGTTCCAGTAAAATACCACCCCCCAACACAGCAGCTGTCTTTGGGTTATGCAGTGGGCTAAGTTTACAGCACACTCACACATCACTTAACGACAGGGATAGGTTCTGAGGAATGTGTCTTTGAGCGATTTCATTGTGTGGGCGTCATGGACTGCTTACACAAACCTGGATGTAGCAGCTGCTACACTTCTAGTCTATGTATGGGGATCACTATCGTCATGGAACATGACTGAAGTTTACCATTATCTGACCGAATCCACCCGGTTTTTGCAGGAGCCAAACAATTGAATCGCGCGGGGGATATCATAGGGAACCACCACCCCTGAACTGTTTACAGGTCTGAAGAGCATTACATTTGGGGTGCGCAGAGCGGGCAACCCGTTAAGTTTCACCCCTGCTAACTGGCCACAAATACTTTGCAAAAAGCTTGAGTCTAGGCAGAAGCTCAGCAGGCCTGGGTCGCGCGGGGAGGGCAGTGAGTTCAGCCTCGCCTCTGGAGTCGGAGAAAGGTCGCGCACTAGGCGGGCCGGCCCAGGACAGAGTTCCCACGGTCAGCTCTGGGCCACACGGCCCCCGCACCGCCCAACTCAGCTCACACCTCCCGGTCACCCTGAAGCTGCCCTCAGCGCCAGTGCCTTCAGCCCGCAGTAAACGTGGCCGCAGCCACTTCCGCCGGGCGTGGGGTCAAGGGTCACGCAAGATGGCGGCGCCCAAGAGCCAGTGAGGCTTGCAGCGGAGAATGGCGTGGACGGCGCTAGCGGCGGGAGCACGGCTGGGGCGGCGGCTGAGCGCGCCGGGGCCGGGCCCCGGAGGTGGACTGGGGCGGGGACACTGGACGGCGGCCGGCCGCTCGCGGAGCCGGCGCGAAGCGGCGGAGGCCGAGGCGGCTACTCCCGTGTTCCAGTACGTGGGCGAGCGCGCGGCCCGCACCGACCGCATCTTCGTGTGGGGCTTCAGCTTCTCGGGGGCGCTGGGCGTGCCCACGTTTGTGCTGCCCGGCTCGGGGCCCGATCCCCGCGCCGGCCGCCCGCGCCGCAGGATCCAGCCCGTGCCCTACCGCCTGGAACTAGATCAGAAGGTGCGGGCCGCCGCTCCTTGTCTTTCCTGGCCCGCGCCGCACCTCCCGCAGCCATTCTGCCCACTTCGAGAAGTTGGCGACGCTGGTGGCCACGCTTCGGGAGGACGACTCACGAATGGGAGGGGAAGGCATTTATGGCTGCTGCCGACATTTATCGAGTGGCCGAAATGTGCCAGCTCTGGGTGCTCGGGTTGTGGCATCACGCTGGCAGTGGGGATTGTCACCCACAGTTACAGAGGAGGAAAGGGAGGCGCAGAGAGGTTAAGGGACAGGCCCAATGCCAGTTAGCTGGTGGATGTACATTATCACGCTCGGACCAGTGTGACTCCAGAAGTTCAGATGTTAGGAAAGCAGATTTCAAAAGGTCAGAGAAAATGTGGGATGTTGTCTGTGAAAAATCGGAAAGGAAATGCTTACTGGAGCAGTTAGGGGAATGCGAAAGAGAGGATGACAGGATGGCGTCTAAACATGCCAGAATGGGAGGGAGGCCTCTGAACTTAGATTTGAAAAAAGTGGGGGGAGGGAGTTTTGGGGGGAGGGAGTGGTGGGAGGGTTTATCTTGGTGGATGATGAAAAAGAAACAGATTTGACCAGTTTGACTTCTCACTTTCAATATTTTAACTGAAAAGGGGCCTTGAGAGAAAGGGAGTTTGACTTCAGTTTCCTCATCTGGTCAGTGAAGAGTTGCTAACAGTATGAATAAAATACTCAACACTGGCACTACTAACATGTTAAATCACAGTAACTGTGTACTGGTTATTTTTCTCTGTGGCAGTGGATTAAGAATGTAATTGTACATCATAAGGGTTAAGAGCATGCACTCTGGAGTCAGGTCTCCACTTACTAGCTCTGTGACTATATTAGACAAGTTACTTAATTACTTGATTTTCTCATCTATTTACTACTACAACTATTGATGACATTGTATTATGATAATAAATATGATGAAAATAAGTAAAAATTGTAATAATTATAAAGTTCAGGCATTATTATACAGGCTTTAGCTATATTATAACTAATTTAGTCCTCACAACAACCCAGTGAGAGAGACACTACTATTTCCATTTTGCAGTGAGGGAAAAAGATACAGACAGATTAAGTAATCCGCCTCAGGTGACACAGTTTATAATGGGTAGAGCCAAGATTACGCTAAGGCCATCTTCAACCTAACTGCTATACTAGCCTGTATCTTGGTGAATGGGGGGTTGAGAACCACCCTAGTTCATAGGATGATTGTAAAGATGAAATGAGATAATATATATCAGCATGCGCTGAATAGTAAATGTTTAATAAATGTTAGTTGCTATGTTAATAGTGTGTATTCTTGGAATCCAGCAGGCCTATCATTTATTGCTGAGAAAACTTTATATATCACATATCAATGAATACCTTATGGTAACTTTTTCAGATTTCATCTGCTGCCTGTGGCTATGGATTCACACTGCTGTCTTCAAAAACCAAGGAGATCACCAAAGTTTGGGGTATGGGACTCAACAAAGATTCTCAGCTTGGATTTCACAGGAGCAGAAAAGATAAAGGTGAATGTTCTCACTTTGACTTCTGTCTTCAGTTTACAAGAACATGATTGCATAAACCGAACCATAATAGCAAAAGAGGTGGCAGCTTTCAAAGGATATTGTTGAAACCATCCGGACTTGGTTATTTTTCAGACTGTGGTAATAATATTGAATCTTTAAGCAGAAGGCATTACTGATGTTTCTTTTTGGCCTCAAAGAAATGACCTTCCCTTCCTAGCTTGGAGCTAGCCTGCATACTCCATGGCACCTAGAATGTGGTCTAAAAATTTATGAAATACTTCAGATGGAGACTTTATTCCATATGTTTGAAATTTGGATTGTAAAAATGCTAGAAATTACCTACAATTACTTTTTAAAAAAGATTTAAAAAAAAATTATTTATTTATACAAGAACGGGGTACAGGCCAGAGGTGCGGGAGGGTGAGAGAATTCACCAGATACAGAACAGGGAGCAGAACAGGCAGATGGACCGAAAATACTGATGAGGGGAGCAGAGGGCGAGACAGGAGAGGTCTGCCGTGCCATGTGGATAGCTCCCTGGCTGGCTGGGAATCAAACCCGTGCTGCAGAGGCTGCAGATAGTTTCACAGCGTTGTGCTCAACCCACTGCCCCACCAGGGAGGTCCTAAAAAGATTTTCTTTATTTATGCATAAATAAATTTATGCAGGTACAGCTGTGAGAGAATTCACTAGAGACAGAGTAAGGAGCGGAACAGGTGGATTGACTGAAATACACTGCTGAGGGGAACAGTGGTAGGCAAGACACCATGTGGGTTAACACCGTGGCCGGGAATCAAACTCATGCTGCCGTGGCTGGTGATAGCTTGATAGCTGATAGCGTCAGGACTTTAACCCCTATGTCACCAGGGAGGCCCTACAATGACATTTTCAACAGCAGACTTTAGTCAAACAATATAAGTACAATAAGAAACATTTTTTGAACTAAAGCAATTACTTAGGGGTCTCCCTGGTGGTGCAGTGGTTGAGCGCTGGGTTGCGAAGCTGCCCGCAGCCTCTGCAGCGCTGGTTTGATCCCCGGCTGCTCCCCGGCCACCGGAGGCGGGTCCCACATGGCGTGCAGACCTCTCCTGCTGCCTGCTGCTCCCCTCAGCAGTATACTTTGGTTCTTCTGCCTGCTCTGCTCCCCGCTCTGGCTCTGGTGAATTCTCTCACGCTCCCGCTCTTCTGACTGTACCCAGTGCTTGTATAAGTAAATAAATAAATAAAATCTTAAAAAAATAAAATAAATAAAATCTAATCTAAAAAAAAAAAAGCAATTACTTAGAATCACACACTGGACAAATCTTTATTTTCTTGTTCATTTATGTACAAATTGATTTTTTTTTCAAGATTTATTTATTTATACATACAAGATCCGGGGTGTAGGGCAGAGGTGTGGGGAGTGAGAGGACTCACCAGAGACAGAGTGGGGAGCAGAACAGGTGGATTGCCTGAAATACACAGCTGAGGGGAGCAGCAGGGAGATGTGAGAGGTCTGCTGCGCCATGTGGGTCAGCTCCCAGGCGGCCAGGAATCAAACTTGTGCTGCAGTGGCTGGTGAGAGCTTCATAGCGCTATCTTTAACTCCTGCGCCACCAGGGAGACCCTGTGTGGATTGATTTTTACATAATTGTAATCACAGTGTACATTTTGTTTTCTGCTTTTTTTGCTTAGTTTTATGTCCATATTCTTTTTTTTTCAAAATTATTTATTTATATATATTTTACATCATTGTTCATTTTTGTACAATGTTTGCTTTTTTTTTCTTAAGATTTATTTTTTATTTATTTATACAAGCACAGGGTACAGTCAGAAGCATGGGAGGGTGAGAGAATTCACCAGAGCCAGAGCGGGGAGCAGAGCAGGCAGACTGAAGTACACTGCTGAGGGGAGCAGTGGGCGGCAGGAGAGGTCTGCGTGCCATGTGGGACCCTCCTCCGGTGGCCGGGGAGCAGCCAGGGATTGAACCGGCGCTGCAGAGGCTGTGGGCAGCTTCGCAACCCAGTGTTCAACCTCTGTGCCACTGGGGAGGCCCTGTCCATATTCTTTTATACATCAGTATTAATGTCCGTTAGCTATAAGATGACACTTTTTTGGTATACCTCTGTTGGAAACATGCACAGAAATGGACAGAATGGTGTCATGCCTCTAGTGCACTGTCAGCAGCTTCAGCCAGCATCAGTTCATGCCGGTCTTGTTTTACTCATTTTCCCTACTCTCTCTTAACCATAAATTTTTTTTTTTTTTAAAGATTTATTTATTGTATTTATACATGCACTGGGTACAGTCAGAAACACGGGAGGGCGAGAGAATTCACCAGAGCCAGAGCGGGAAATAGAACTGGCAGAGTGATGAAATACACTGCTGAGGGGAGCAGTGGGCGGCAGGAGAGGTCTGCGTGCCATGTGGGACCGTCGCCCGGTGGCCGGGGATCGAACCGGCGCTGCAGAGCCTGCGGGCAGCTTCGCAGCCCAGCGCTCAACCGTTGCGCCACCAGGGGAGGCCCTCTTAACCATAAATTTAAAACAAATCCCAACATTGATTTTATTCATAGTTATTTCAATATCTATTAAGAAAAAGTAAGAACTCTTAGAAAATGTAAGCACAAGATCATTCTCACAATTGAAAATAATAGTATAGGCCCTTAATGTTACCAAGTATGCATCAGTGTTGAAATTGCCAGTTGTCTCATAACTGTCATTAGATTTTTATTTTTAAAAATTGTTTTGGCTCAGACATTGTATTGATAAGACTTTTAGAAGTCTTTTAAGTCTATTTTAATTTTTTCCCCTGAAATTTATTGAGGGAGAAAAAATGCTATCCTATAGAATTTTCTAGTCTAGACTTTGCTGAATGCATTCTTGTGGTGCCATTTAACTCTATTCTCTGTCCTCCGTATTTCATGTCATTTGGTAGCTGGATTTAGAGTCATATTCCCTTTAAATGTTATGTACTTACTGCTTTCAGGCCTTTGGGGGTCTTTGTAGGTAGTAATGGGGAAAATAATTCACTTTTCAGTATTTTAAGGTGCTTTATATCTTCAGTAGGGCTGTATAAGCTAACAACATTGTCCATTTTCTTTGATTTTGCTAGAATCACATGGTCTCATTGTGATAAACCAGGCTTTCCATGCTGATCAACAGGAATATCTGAAAATTATATCAGTCACTCTTGAATATAAATGGACAAATGTATTTTAATAGTAATGATGTGTTTATCTGCTAGACAAAATCTTTTTAGACATGAGGTTCCTAGGAGAAAACAGTGATCATTCAGTGGGGAGTAGGTTGAAGGCCAGCGCATTTTGCAGGTTTCTTTAAATTCCAGCTTACATATTGGAGTTAATATTTGAATACATATTCAAAGTCTTACTGTTTAAAACCTGCAAGAGTAAGTCCCTACATGGACTAATCTGGCTTCTCCAGTAGGATTGTAAAGAACAATAAGGTTCGAGTGACTTCTAAAACATTTCTCCTTTATTTGCTTATTTAAATATTAAAATTTCCTTTTTTGCACAGATAATATATTTTTGTAGTTCTGAGTGAGTCTGGTATCCATTTCTGTTCTCCCAGCCTCAGTTTTTCTCCCTGAAGACAACCTGTTAGCAGAGGGAGTTATCGTATATGCAGGCAAATATACTTCTATATTCTTTTTGCCTCCTTTTAATAAAAGTGGGATCATCCTATATATGTCGTTCTTTGCCTTACTGAGAAATTTAGTATGTAATGCAGGAAGAAAATGCTTTCACTTTCCTTAAAGATTCAAGTTATGTAAAATCACATCTGAAGAGATCTAATGAGACTAAGTGTGCGCCTCGAGAATCTAATATGTAGTGGTAACAGAGTGGTACAATGGATTGGGAGGGGGACTAGGCCAAGCTGTGCCACTGATTTATGTGCCTTGAATAAGTGATTCCAGTCCCAGAATGAGTAATGACATGGGGTTGGACAATATGATTTTTCTGTTAGAAATGCTGTGATTCTCAGTCAGGGTGATGTCCTGTGAACCTAGTTGTTTTTGTTTCAGGGAGGGGATATGAGTACGTATTGGAACCCTCGCCCATCCCACTGCCTCTGGACAGACCTCAGGAGACACGGGTGCTACAGGTCTCCTGTGGCAGAGCCCACTCTCTCGTCCTGACAGATAGCGAAGGAGGTAGGTGTCTATTCACTGTTGTTGGAGTGGAGGATCTCCTGACATGACTTGCTTGATTGAGCCACATCTAGTTGGTGAAGGTGTTGGCATTTCCCAGGTAAATCAGTAGGATTGCTTAGAGAGCTGTATTTGGTGTACTTTGCTGACTTTTTTATGCCCTCTGTAGTTTTCTGTAAATCTCAGATGTGTATACTGTGACAGGGCACACCAGCCAGCCTTACCAAGTGCCCCGCTCTGCTCCCTTTGCCCTGAAGTCGCTGAGGTGGCCTGTACGTGTAGAAGGCTTTTTTTGTTGTACTGAAGGAAACGTGTTTGCTAACAGTTCTCAAGTGGTGGGGGACTATCAGAATCCAGGGCCCTGGGTAGCCCTGACATTTTCCAGAAGAGTGAATTCCAGGAAGGGCCTATTTGACTGACGTTTTCAAATTTAATTTTCTGGCTAAGTGTGCTCTAGAGGAAAAGGCGAAAGTGGGGCTGAGGAACTCTTTCAACAGGGCATTTGGCATCTAGGGCAACATGGTGACGGGATGGGGGTGCTGGGTCTTTTACTAGAGGTGCTCACCTCCTACCTTGGAAGTTCTGAGAGTTGGAACTAGGGCTGGAAGGGAAGGCAGAAAGAACAAGAAAGGCAGCCCAGGCTGTCAGGACTGGTCTAAACCCCAGCAGGCCTATGGTTGTGCCACAAAGCCTGGGAATGTTGGAGGAGGTAACCAAGTGGCACGAGGATGAGCCCTTAAACTAGGGCCACTTTTGAGAACCCCTCTAGCCCTGACATGCTAAGAGTCTGTGAACCAGTAGCACTGATTTCCTTCATGGTGTTATTCTTTAGTCTTCAGCATGGGAAACAATTCTTATGGACAATGTGGAAGAAAAGTGGTTGAAAATGAGATTTACAGGTGAGTTCCCCAAAGGACTACCCCTTTCCCAAGTTGTATTACATGTTGAACATTTATTGAGCACTTACGCTGTGATAGACCCAGAGCAGTGAAAAGCAAGCTCCTCATCTTGAGTGGGAAATCATCAGAAAGCTATGGCGCTTCCATTGCAGGTTGAGTTCCACACATCAGCTTGGTGGGAGGGGAGGGGAGGGGAGCCCTCATTGATTGTGATGTGTGGCGCTTCCTGGGGTTTTTTATTTTCCCCATCAAATTGATTAACTTAAAAAAAATTACTGTTTCAGTCCTATTCCTTTTATCTTTAAAAGAAAAACTCCTACTAGTTCCTCATATCATACTGGTGTGTCTAAGCATCACTCTCAGTACTAGCAGCATTTTAGGGATTTGCTTGGTTTGGTTTATTTTCACACCTGGGCTGAACCCTGTCTTGTATTTGATATTGAAGGCTTTTCTAACATTACTATGTGTGTCTGGGGGCTACCAGTTAGGGGTGACAGACTGTGCAGGGATTATACCACTGTATCTCTTGCTTCTCTCCAAATTGCTTCCTGCTGCAGTGAAAGTCACAAAATCCATAGAATGCAGGACTTCGATGGACAGGTGGTGCAGGTAAGAGACCTGGACGGAGAGCTGCTTGTCCTGTCCTCTGGGCTGCCTTTGAAAGGGTGAAAGTTGGGTGGGGTGATAAAATTTGTTAGGGGGAGTTTTCTGAATTCCTAAATTATTTTGGTGAAAATCATAGCTCCCCACCTGTAGAAAATCATAGCTCCCCACTAGACTGTGGGGGTACAAAAATGAGGTTTGCAGGAATAACACTGAGTGGGAAAGACAGTTTACAAACATGAACAGTGTCAGTGCATCGCAGCATGGTGTTCCGGACTGGGCTTGCTTTCCTTTGCTCACCATTTCATTCCCATTCCTGGTTCAGTGATGGCACTTGGTAAGTACTTCTTAATCTTGAAATACGTAAATGAAAGTAGATAGAAAGTGCTATGAGAGCAACAGAAGGAGAATTGTGAAGTCTGCTGGGATGGAATGGAAGGGAGAGAAGGCAGCATGGAGGAGGTGGCAGAGGAATTTACCAGATAGACTGGACTGGGTGCTAGGGAAGGTTTTATGGCAGTCCAATGTTCTAAGCCTGGTGACTGACAGCCAAATTGTGATTTGTTCAAAAAGAGAATTGATCATGGTTTGGAGTAGACTTAGGGGAGGAGGTGATAAAGGATAGTTGGGAAGCCACAGGGAGGAGGAGAATGTAGGGAGGAGACCTGACTGGATTTGGGGCTTGACTGGATGGGCAGGGAGTGAGCTAGAGGGGTCAGGTGTGGCGCCAGCGTCAAATGATTGGAAGCTGATGTCCCTGGCCCAATGGGGAGTCATGAAGAATTGGCAGGCTTTAGGCGGAAGGGATGGAGAGCCAATGTGTGATGGAGAAAGAGTGAATTTGGCTTTGTGGTTGCAGTAGAGTGTAGTATTTCTTACATAAACTTGAAAGTCACAAAGGTGCAAATTCAAGTCCCTGCTTCTCCACATACTAACTAGGTGACCTAGGGCAATTCAACAAATTTCTGAAATTCAGTTTCTTACTAGGTGATTTTGGGTATTTGACTTAGCACAGTGCCTGGCATGCTAAGTGTTCAGTAAAGGGTGCTTTTCATGAGGTAGTTAGAAAAACAGGTCTGGAATTCGGTAGCACTGAGTAGTGGGTCTGAGAAAACAGCATGGAGTGTTGGTGAAAACTTTTGGAAGTGTGAAGAGTGACAGACCTTGGAGAAGGATTCCAGACCTGAAGGGCACAATGCAGATGCTGAGCGCAAATGCTGAGCAAGTGACAACGATTGGCTGCTATTAGGGACAGCGGAGAGCGGGGAAGAGAACAGCTTATGGAGGACGGAGTGGGTCCTTGGAAGTGAAGCAGCATGAAGGAGCTCTAGGGTTTGCTCCTTCGGGGCCTGTCTCCTAGCAAGAGCAATTTTTGGGGAGTGGGAGAAAAGCCAGACTGTGGTGAAAGAGCAGAGGGATGCGTGGAGCCAGTGCTCTCAGGGTTTAGCAGTACTAGGGGATGGCACGAGCTTGGGGTCCATCAACTCAATACTGGGCCTCTAAGCAGCACTTCTCATTGACCTCACCTCTGTGTCCATAGGTTGCCTGTGGGCAGGACCACAGTCTGTTCCTAACTGACAAAGGAGAAGTCTATTCTTGTGGATGGGGCGCAGACGGGCAAACAGGTGGTGTGCTTTTTGCCCTGAGGATATTGCACTATGGGCTGTGAGCTGTAGGGCTTTCTGGGCTAGAACCCACTTTCCTTAAATTGACTCTTAACCTTCCTTATCACTTCCTGGGGAATACTGTTTGTTGTGTCCCCTGCCCCCCAACCCCCCCCCCCATTGAAATGAACTGACACAATGCATTGGAGGTAACTCCCACCACTCAGCAAAGAAGTTCTGAACCTGAACCTTTCTCAGACAGAGGGAGGAAACTTTGAACCTTTTAAAGAGGAAACATGCTACCCCCAAAGGAACTCCAGAATTAGGGACAAGCTCATATTTTATTGAATTGAAGTTGTGGAAACTCTAAGGGCATAAATTGGAGAGGCTTTCCACCAGGGAGGATTGGGATTGCTTTTGCCTGTTGCTAGGGGCGCTACCAGTCCCTGCCTTGGACCCTTTGAGAAAGCCTGCTTCAAAATGGAGCCCTGGCCCAGGATTACCCTCCTCATAATGCTAAGAGTAACAACTGTCCATGCAATACTTTCTAGCTTTCCTCCACTTTCTGTTTATCCCTCTCGTTTTGCCAGTTTTGGTTTACTGTTTTTTGGGGGGGTGTGGAGAGGGATGTTGGGGTGAGATGGGCTTTTAGAGAGCTCCTTTATTTTCTAGCAAACCAAATAGCGCTTTAGAAATTGTTATATTTTATATGTGTGTTCTGAAAGGTGTCTAATAGGTTGTGTAGTGATATTTCACCTTTCAAACATTTCAGGAAATTTCAAAGATTTTAAAAATAATTATTGAAGGAGTGAGAAAAAATTAAGTAAACTGTTACTGTTTTTTTTTTTTTTTTTTTCATTTAAGAGAACAGGAGAAGGAAATTATGTAGTATGCAAAGGAACAGGGTAGGATTTCTGAATTGACATCTGTGAAATGCTTAAAACTGCATTGGGCACATAGTAGGTGTATGTGAGTTTCTTCAAAAATAAACAATTATAACTAAATATTTTTCATTGTGTTAGGTCTGGGCCACTACAATATCACCAGCGTACCTACCAAGCTGGGCGGGGACCTTGCTGGGGTGAACATCATCCAGGTGGCCACCTATGGTGACTGCTGCCTGGCTGTGTCGGCCGATGGAGGCCTCTTTGGTTGGGGGAACTCTGAGTACCTGCAGCTGGCTTCTGTCACGGACTCCACGCAGGTATGAGGCCACCTAAGTGTGGTGCTGGGAGGTTGGGAATAAGAAGTGTTAAGGACCTTGATTAGAGGTATGTGTGGTGTATTAAGTCCTGCTTAGGTCTGGTCTGTTGTAAGACTGCCTTGAGGGTCTCCCCTGGTGGCGCAGCAATTGAGCACTGGGCTTCAAAGCTGCCCGCAGCCTCTGCAGCGCCGGTTCGATCCCTGGCCCCCAGTGAGGGTCCCACATGGCGCGCAGACCTCTCCTGCTATGCCCGCTGCTCCCCTCAGCAGTATATTTCGTTGGTCTGCCTGCTCTGCTCCCCGCTCTGGCTCTGGTGAATTCTCTCACCCTCCCGTGCTTCTGACTGTACCCAGTGCTTATATGTATAAATAAATAAATCTTTGGGGGGGGGGAAGACTGCCTCGAGGGACCGAGTTCTTGGCCATCTCATTGGAGCCTGGAAAGGAAGCTCAGGTTCAGAAGCCATCATGCTCACTGTTTCTGCGAGGTGGTACTGGTTTAGAGTAGCATTTTGGGTGTGTCTGTGTATCCTGTTTGTTTCAGAAGGGGTATGAAACTGTTGGTGTGAGTTCCCGTGGTGTCACAAAGTGCTTCTTGTAGCAGCGCCACACACATGCCTAGAGAGCACACAGATCATGGTGTTACAGCAGAATTCCATCAGGAAACCAGGCAGCACTCAGAGAGGAGGAGAGAAGTTCTTTATTAATGCCAGCGGGCTCAGAGGAGATCCTTCTCCAAAGTCTGAGCTCCGAACCATGAGGCAACAGGATATTTATTGCCTGTAGCAGGGGTACATTACCACTTTCAAGTCAGCTGGAATATAGAAGCAGGAGACTCCTAAGCGGTTTTCTGGGTGTGTGAGTCAGGTGTGTGGCCTTGAGAGCATTTATCAGTTGTTCCCTGGAACTTTCTAAAGCCTACAGTGAGGCTTTAGACATTTCCACATTTTTAGACATTTTCTTTTTTTTTTTAAAGTACTTTTTTTTTTTTTTTAAGATTTATTTATTTATTTATACAGGCACTGGGTACAGTCAGAAGCGCGGGAGGGTGAGAGAATTCACCAGAGCCAGAGCGGGGAGAAGAACAGGCAGAAGGACCGAAGTACACTGCTGAGGGGAGCAGTGGGCGGCAGGAGAGGTCTGCGCACCATGTGGGACCTTCCTCCGGTGGTCGGGGAGCAGCCGGGGATTGAACCGGCGCTGCAGAGGCTGCGGGCAGCTTCTCAACCCAGCGCTCAACCGCTGCGCCACCGGGGAGGCCCTAGACATTTTCCACCTAACCAGGTGGCAGCTCGATGAAGAGCTCTGCATCAGCCCACCCAGGCCAAGCAGGAGAACACCTCAGCACTACAGAGCCTTGCTTGTGGCCTTTCCCCATCTCTGCCATTAGCAATACTGTATGGCAGATTTTTACATTTTATTAGGGAAAATTTCAACATAAACAAGTAGAGCTCATAGCATAATTAGTTTCTGTGTATCCATCATCCGTGTTCAACAATTACCAACTAATGGCTTGTTTTTAAAGTAGAGCTATAATTCACTGCTTTTAAATACACAATTTAGTGGTTTTTAGTAGAGTCACAAGGTTGTGCAGCTGTCACCACTATCTAATTCTGGAACACTTCGTTACTCTCCCTTCTTCACCCCACCCCACCTCCCCAAAGCCTCATGCTTCTAATGGCCGATTGTGTTGCATCTGTAATTCCATCTGCTTCTTTGCCCTGGATTATTTTCAAGCAAACCCTAGATATCATACTTTGTAAGAGTTTCAGTATTACTTCCAGATCAGGACTGTTTAATAACCTGCCACATTCTTTAATATCAGACTTCTGACGACATACAGAAAGTTTTAAATATATATTAATAGATAAATCTGCATAAAGGGAGAGCAGAGGTCAGCTCATTAAATGGATAATGCACAGTGGCTACAAGTGGCTGCAGATTGTGTTCTGAGCGCTGGAGTAGCCAAAACAAAGAAGAAAACATGGTCGTTTAAATGATTTATTGAAATGATTCATTGTTTCAATAAGATAAACAGCAAATAAAGTGTTAAAGAAGAGGACTTTTCTTAGTGACAAGGTTGCTGGAAAAAAAACATCTCCCAGTGCCTTCCTGTCTGTCTTTTTTTTTTTTTTTAAGATTTATTTTATTTATTTATTTATTTATGCAAGCACTGGGTACAATCAGAAGCGCAGGAGGGTGAGAGGATTCACCAGAGCCAGAGCGGGGAGCAGAGCAGGCAGAGGGACCGAAGCACACTGCTGAGGGCTGAGCAGCGGGCGGCAGGAGAGGTCTGCGCGCCATGTGGGACCCTCCTCTGGTGGCCGGGGAGCAGCCTGGGAACGAACCGGCGCTGCAGAGGCTGCGGGCAGCTTCGCAACCCAGCGCTCAACCGCTGCACCACTGGGGAGGCCCGCTTTCCTGTCTTTCTAACAGTATGAACCCTTCCTTTGACCCAGGTGAATGTCCCCCGGTGCTTACCCTTCTCAGGCGTGGGGAAGGTGGAACAGGCTGCGTGTGGTGGTACAGGCTGTGCTGTGCTAAATGGTGAGACTCTCTTGGAGGCAGTATGTTCCTGGGAGCTGCAGGTGGGTTGGACAGGGAAGGGTCATGTCCATTGGCTCCCCAGGTGGCAACCTCAGCCTGCAGAAGGGAACATGACTGTGGGAAGATATAGTTGGACTGAATTCTGCCATTAACGGGTGAGGGTGGTAATTCCATAGCAGATCTCTGGAGTAGAGAATGAACTGCATTATCCTCCTTGCTCTGCCTGGGCCAAAGACTCCAGCCCTGCCTTCTCTGGGGATGCTGCGCCAAGAAAGCAGAGGCAGATAGGGTTTGGATGCTGAGAGCCATACCCTTGGGATTAAACATCTGGCACCGCCAATGAGCATTAAACTTTCCATAACCTAAGAACTGTTTCTGAAAGTTTTAGGAATCTGGCCAGAGTCGTTTATGAAGTTGGCTTGCTCTTCTGATCAGTGCTAAACTTCAGGCTCTTAGTAGAAAAACTCTCCTTCCAAGGCTCCCCTGTGGCCTGGTCCCATGCAGGGTACCCTCAGTGTGGCAGGTTGGTGTTCTAAGATTGGCTAGCCGTGCACATCCTGCATCACAAGCAACGATTTCAAAGAGGAGAGAAGAAACGTTATTTTAAATGTCTGCTGGCATGTTCTTGCCAAGCCAGGAAGAAAACAACCCATCTGGATGAGACACATTTTGGTGGCCAGCTAGAATTTAGTAAGGGAGGGCTGCAGTTGGTCCGACTTACTGACCGTGTTCTCACTGTAACATAGGAGAAGGCCGTGTTTTTGTCTGGGGTTATGGAATTCTTGGAAAAGGACCAAACCTCGTGGAAACGGCTCTTCCAGAAATGATTCCACCCACTCTCTTCGGCTTGACGGAGTTCAACCCTGAAGTCCAGGTGTCCCGCATTCGATGTGGACTCAGCCACTTTGCTGCCCTGACTGGTAAGTGACCAAGCCTGAATGGCCCCAGCAACTGGCACAGCTCAGGTTAGGTTCAACCCCGAACTGTGGGCAGCTCTTAAATACCCACATCCAGCAGAGTGGTGTCCTGCTTCAGATAATTAAAGAGCGCCTGTTCCAGAAATTGTTTGGCTTGAGGTTGGATAATGTGTATCTCTTTTTCATCCTGGAGTTTTGCTTTGGCTCATTTGGTTTGTGGTTAGGCTAACTTTCAGTGATCTTCTCAAGAGGATATGGGTTGGTCGGAGGAGGAGGGGACCCTTGAGTGTGTCAGGGTACTGGAGGAAAACAGCAGAGCTTTGGCAAATGCACTGGGTAATTAGGAAATGAAAGTGTGGGGTTTAATCCCAGCCTCTGGCCAAGCAAACCCCCAGACCGACCAGGAGGTGGGGTGTGGCAGGAGGCACATTTGTTAGATTGTCCTGTGGTTGTATGGAGGTAAGTCTCTGATTTCTCCAAAGTGCAGGGGAGAGGATGATCAACTGGAAGGTTGAAGTGGAGGTTTTCTCATAGGTCTGCCAAATTGCAGAGCCCTAACATAGCCAGTGACTCCAGGCCTCTTGCCTGTGCGCTTCTCCTGCCGGCCACTCAGCCTTCACATGGTGTCTCTCGGCTCAGGGTGCTGCTCTTTAGTGGACGCGAACAGTAAGGCAGTACTAAATTAATTTCATTTTGTGATTCCAAGTATATTTGCTTTTTCCTTGCAATTAAAAAATCTTTTTTAATCTCATACTAAGTAATTGTTTTCTTTTTAAACATCTCAGCCAACAGTCAGTTTGGTCCTCGTGTGTGTTCTCCAACCCCATCCTCAAGTGAGGACTTTTCTAGGGACTTCCTCCCCTATCCCCCGGCCAGTTTTATTGTGTATATCTCCGATTCGGGGGCCTCCAAATATCCACATAGAGGGTTGTTTATGAGGGCCGGGTGGCAGCAATGTTGGAGGTGGGGAAGAGCCACTCCCCACCACACAGGCCTTCCAAAGCATCTAGGTCACATGTGTTTTATTTATTTATTTATTTATTTTTATCACATGTGTTTTTAAAGCTATTTTGATTTGGCAAATAAGAGTCATTATGGGCTAATTCTGGAGGTAACAATAATCTCTTTTCCCAGAATGTTGTAAGGTTTAAACTATGTGCAAAGACATACTTGGGAACACATATGAAGTGTTCCACTGGAGTACTAGACTATTTTCTTTTCTTTTTTTTTTTAAAGATTTATTTATTTATGCATACAAGAACTGGGGTATAGGCGAGAGGTGTGGGGGGTGAGAGGATTCACTAGAGACAGAGCGGGGAACAGAACAGGTAGATTGACCGAAGCACACTGCTGAGGGGAGCAATGGGGTGAGTCAGGAGAGGTCTGCTGTGCAATGTGGGTTGCTCCCTGGCTGGCTCGGGGTGCTGCAGTGGCTGCGGAGAGCTTCATAGGTTGCATCTTAACCCCTTGCGCCACCAGGGAGGCCCCTAGACTATTTTCTCTTCGCTGTTATTGCCATGTCTATTTTGGATTACCCTGAAATGAAATCCTTATCTACATTTACCCCAAGTACCAACAGCCACCCTCCAGGTGCCAGTGAGTAGAGAGACATTACAGCTTGGCTTTCTCCCTCACCTTAGGGCCTGGCCCACTGGGAGGTGCCCCTGAGGTCTGCTGATGTTTCAGAGGGCTAGACTCAACTGCTCTGTTAAACATACGCAATCTAAGTGTGGAAGACCAAGGAAGATGGTCAGACCAGAGGGGCCTGACAGCCTAACAAAAGGTTTCCTATTAATTAGCCAGGATTTGCTTAGTCCTGGCTTTTCTTCCACTTCTTGGGACCAAAGCGTTTTGCCAGATGGTGGACGGCAAAGCTGGGCTTCCATGCCAAGGAGTGTCTGAAGTGGATATGGATGAAGCCTGAGCTGAAAGCTGCCCCACCAGGCCTGGGGGGTCTATCCTGGAGGGAGGATTCACCAAGCCCCAGTGCAGATTCCCTCTCAGGGATGCTCCTAGTACCCTGTTCTTGTCCTTCCTGGCACTTTTCACATGCTTCTGTGTGGGTTTGGTCATTTGTTTGTTTCTCACTCTTTAGCTCCGGCCCCATGCAGACAGCAACCACACATGTGTACTCACTGTCCTATCCCAGCTCCTAGCACACAGACCTACACTTGGCCCACACAGGGGCCTGATCATCATGTATCTGTCACTTGACTGAATGCTCCTGAGACTTGGAAAGCAGACAAGGAGCGACAGATCATCCTACTTCTCACACTGCAAGGATGTGGCAGGATTTGGGGATGCTCAGATTTCAGGATTTTCGGTTTGGTCAGTTGTAACTGTCGGTGAGGGGCTGCGCCTTAGGTCAGCAGAGTGAGCTGTTGGTGCCCACCTGTGTGTCTGCTCTGCTCCTGTGATAATCAGTGTGAGTCTGGGCTGGACATGTTTTGGTATGGGGACAGTGCACTTCCTTCCAAAGAAAGTATTAACGCCTCGTGAAATTGAAGTTTAACATTAGGCTTTGTTCTACAAAGCCTCTTCTCATGACCCTTCTTGGAGACTTGCCCTTGGTCTTGCCCCACTCAAGCCACCATTTTCCTTTCTTTGCAGACAAAGGAGAGCTGTTTGTGTGGGGCAAGAACATCCGGGGCTGCCTGGGCATCGGTCGCCTGGAAGACCAGTATTTCCCATGGAGGGTAAGGCTGGGCTTGGTGGGCTTGAGGGCATTACCTGGTGTGTCAGCACCACCCAGCTGGGCCAACCCCAAGGAATGCTCCCTTTCCTGGTATAGTTGCTTCCTCCTCCTTGGCTACAGGTGAGGCAGTGGTGGTGAGGAGCCAAGCAGACGTGGGTTTGGCCTTTCAGCCTGCTCCTTCCTGGGGCGGGTGAGTGAGCGGAGGGAATGAATAGCCTCCCCGAGGTTTCTGGCCCCACATGCCCTGTAAGGAGCCTTATAGGTGGTGGTCCTTGGGGTGCAGAGCAGGCAAACAGGCACACGGTTCCTCAGAGGGGAGCCAAACTGCTGCCCTCGCTCTCGCACAATTGTGGGCACTAAAGGTGCATTTAGTTAACTTGGTCCTGGACACCTTTTGATTGGGGTTAGAGGATTGGGCAAAGGCCTGAGAGGATGGTGTTGATGTTTGCTACCCGGCCCTGTCCTGCTCTGTGCAAGCTCAGAGATGTGGCGCAGCTCTGGAAGAGTGGAGGTGACAGGAAGTAGGCTTTTTCATCAACTAGGTTGGATTCCTCAAAGATTAGATTAGTCTCCAATCTGTTCTGTGGTACTTAGTTTAAAAAGAAATTACAGGTGATGTTTATTCTTTAAAAAAATGTATTTTCTAATTAATCTTCAATGGGGGATAGGTTACATCATTTAGAAAGTGTTCCAGGAAAGAAACAAAAAAGAATAAAGCGTTCTTTGTTGCTCTGGGAATGTTCCTGACTAGTTTTATAGACTCACAGAACCTGGGCTTTTCTGATGGGCTGTGGTCCCAGGAAGTATCCCCTAAGGCACCCAAGCTTCTCCTTCTGGGGCATTCCAGGATGTCTTCCTGCTATGCAATGACACTCAGAGCTTAGGTAGAGAGGGTCCGTGATTTCTTCAAGGTCACATGTCTAGTAAGCGGCAGAGGCAGAGAGTCAAGCTTAGGTCTGACTTTGAGACGCTGCTCTCTTTGCCATTCCTACTGGAGACTCAGGGTCCAGCGGTGGAGAGAAGGAAGCGTGCAGAGGCGGGTGGCCACTGACCTGGTATCATCTGGCCTTTGCAGGCCCCCTTGCCAAAACGGCAGCCCTGTGCTGGGAGCAGACTGCTGCTGGAAGTCCTTGAATGGCCTCACCCTTCCCACCCCTGGGAAGCGCACTCGATTTCAACAAACACGCAGCCTTTCCCAGAGGCAGCAGGGCTGTCTAGCACGCTGGGTGCTTTCCGTTCCTTCGCTCTCATTCTCAGAACCCCCCGTGAGGGGGGCGCTCCTCGGCAGACTGCACCTGCAGACGCCGACTGCAGGAGCCCTAGGGGCTGGCCAGCTGTCGGGCCCCTCGGCGAGTCGAGCTGTGATGTGGGCCTGGGACTGCTGCGGACGGAGCTGCCCTCCCCGTGTGCCTTTGGGTCAGGGCCAGGTTGAGTGTGGGAACACAAGCTGGGGAAACCTATGCCTTCAAGCCTGTCCTTCCGACCTCCTCAGTAACCACAGGCCCTGGGTGGTGCGGATGCCCCAGGAGAGAAGCAAGAAGGCACTTGTGGCAGAACTTTCTGCAGGCTGAGCTGTCTCTCTTTTCTCAGCCGGTGCCATGAAGGAAGTTTCAGGAGCAGCCAAGAGGGGGACGCAGGAGGTCCGGGCTCAGCCCCTGTCAGTGCTACCGCTCAGCCTCCCTGTCTGTCACCGGGTGGGCGTTGTAGGCACTAGTAATTGTGGAGAGAGGTTCCCAAGCTGATTCTGTTCGAACTCAGATTAAATATGCTTCTGGCTTTTAGAACTGTTTCCTTTGCATTAATGCTGTGAGTGTAAATTGGTTTAGAATAGAAACTCCTTTTAACCTTGATGAGGATAAAAATAAACCCTGGCCGAGGGCAGTCTTCTCTTGGACTCAGCTCAGAGGTGGTGAGAGGCTGAGGGACTGCTTCCCCAGGCGAGCTGCCTGCTGTGCCCCAGAGAGGGCGCCAGTGGCCTGGCCCGCACGTCTGCGGCCAGCCTCAACCAACACTGCTGTCTTGGCCAGTAATCCAAGACCAAGTGGTTTGCTCTACTTTGGGCTCTAATGGCCAGAGCACTCGGGGAGCAAGGACGTAGGTGCTTAAGTGCAGCAGCTTAGCTACCGATAGATAAGGGAGGAGAGTGGCGTTTTCCCGGGGAAGGTCAATAAAAGGCACTCTAACGGCCAGGGGAGGTTGCTAAGAGTTCATCTGGGCCTGGTCACCACAGGGGCGTTGTGTTTTCTGCTTCCATGGTCAGCCTGGAATGCTTTCTGCATCTACGTGCCTTTTCCATGAACTGAGGCACTGCTTCTTGTTGGTTTAGTGATTTCTCTAACAGGGTTTTGCTAAAGACATTTGTTTAGGGAGGGAGAGGTAGGTAGGAAGCGTGACATGGTTACTAGCATCCATTTGCCTTATGACCAGGATCCTTAATGGACCTGTCCCCTCATGCCAAAGGCACCCAGCTTTGGCATTAGCGCTGCTGCCTCTTGGCTTTTGGGCCAGGTCATCTGGATTAGGCCTCCCCCCCACTTAAGCTCAGTAATTTTCGAAGGCAGTTACAGACCCCTCTGCAGCTACCATGCACCTGGCTGGGTGCTGCCCCTCCCAGCCCCCCAGGCAGGATGTTAGGACTCAGATTGGCCAGAACAGCAGGAGCCACGCGGGTCTGAGGAGGAGGTGCAGGTGCATCGTCTTAAACATTCCACCCGAAAGCACATGGTACTTACATTTGCTTCTCTTTGTAGCAAGCACCTCTAGAAAGACTGAGAAACCCATTAAATGTGGTTTCTAGTTCAGAGGGATGGTGGGGAGTGGGGCAGGTGATGACAGGGGTGGGATTGAAAGGTGTTCCAGCTGTGTGAATGTGCTACCTACTCGGAATAATAGTCATAACAATTACTAGTAATGATCACGAAAGAGAAGAAAAAGTGTCCCTTTTTTGGAAAACGGGCATGGCCCTGGCTGTGGAAATCCTTGAGTCATGGGTGAGCAGAGCAAGGTCAGGTCCAGGTTGGGCTGCCGCCACGCCTGTCTGCCAGCCATTTACCCTCAGTGTACTGGGTCTTGTTTTTCAGGTGACGATGCCAGGAGAGCCCGTAGATGTGGCGTGTGGCGTGGATCACATGGTTACTCTGGCCAGGTCATTCATCTGAATCTCCTTCGTGACCCTCTGGGCCGCTTGGACTCTTGGCAGAGGCACCAGCTGGGGCTCTTGAGAGGGGTGAAAGAGGATCAGGGCTCATGGTGACGTGTGATGCTCCCTTCTCAAGCCCTTTGCGGGTACACGTTGGAAGTCCTGGGGATGTGGCCCTTCTCCACCTAAGGATGAGGCCTGTTGGACTCAGCACAGGAGACTGCTGTTATCGGGCCAGTTCCAGCCCGCTGGTGTGCCAGGGCTGTTGTGGTCCGGCATGTGAGAACCATTAATTTGCACGTTTTGACTTTCTGGGTAATACATGAAGGTTTCTGGTGTCATGTCTGACCTGAGAAACTGGTCTTAGGAACGTTTGGCTCTCACACATGCCATTTAGTTTGATCTTAAGGTGCCTTGACAGAATACAGTGCTCCTAGGGGCTTCCGAACCCTTCTGATCTCAGTGGAGCTCTGGGCTGGTGTTTGGGCATCATGGTGAGTCCCAGCCTAGCTGAGGGAGCCTGGTTGGCTTCAGCCTGGGGTTTTCATCAGGTCCCTGCTGCCTACCCACCATTCCCGGTCAGCTGCCTCATAGCCCAGCTGGGTGCTGGGACATAAGCTGAAATTCCTCAGAACAGGCCTGGAATCCTGTGGGCCTATGGCTGTCACCAGCCTTGTAACCATTCTCACTGCTTTGCTTGGAAAAGTGGAGGAAGAGGAAGTTGGAGGCCAAGTTCTGGTGGGCCTAGGACTCAGAACAGTGCCCTGATGCCAGCCTTGGAGAAAAAAAGATTCAGAAATTGTGAAAAACATTTAAGTTTGTAATGTAACTTATCTTTTTCTCCAAAAAAATCTCTTGAAAAATCTTTTGAAATAAAATCTATTTTCTGCCTTTTACTTTTAAGAGCCAAAGAAGTTTTTTTTTTTTTTTACCTGATTATTGGAAGACAGGCTTTCAAAAACAAGGCTTTTCATGGAGGCAACCAGAATATAGTGAAAAAAAACTTTGGAGGCCGGTCTTACTTGAAAGATATTTTCTGATCAGAGTCTACTCTTACAGTTCAATTGGGAGAAAATGACAAAGTTTAAAAATAACTGGTAATCAGATCACAGACTGGGGTCTCATTGCCAACAGCCCTTTTTATTCATTCTTTCAGCAAACACCTCTGTATGCCCCTATAGTGCCAGGCACTGTTCATCATGCTGGGGTGATGAAAATCCCCATTGGTGCCTGGCGAAGCTTCAGTTCTGGGGGTGGCGGGCAGGGGTATCAGCAAACAAGCCACTAGAAAATATGTCAGATGGTGAAGTGGACTGTGGAGAAAATAAAGCGGGGGTGGGGGGTGGAGTGTGCTGTCAACTGGGCTGAGTGGAATGATTGCAGAGCAAGTGACCTACTGGGACCTGGGCAGTGGAAGCAGCCAGTGGTGTCAAGGGCACCAGCCGGGACCTTTCATCTGGGCTTATGCTACCTCCGTTCCTATGTGGGGACACTTCTTATGTTTACTGTAGCAAAGCTTTTCCATAAACTTGCACTAGAAGCAGAACACCATCATCTTCCCGAAACTTCTGCTTGGACCACACAGCATGTCGCCCAGGGGTGAGCAGAAAACAACTATCTGCTCGCTTATACTGATTTCCAGCAGAACCCCCAGCAAGCAGGGACAGAGAGTGGTGGAGGTGGAGGGCCTCTAGCAGCTAAGAATGAATTTACCCCTCACCCAAGTGCTGGCAGCCAGGATTCAACCTGAGAACCACCTCTACCCTGGACAAACAACCAGGGTGGAATAGGGACGTCCTTGGATTTGCCCTACAGCCCAGTGTCTTCCAGCCGGCTTCATGGGCACTGCCACGTGGCGTGGCGCCACCGTCCCGTGTAGCAGGGCTTGTGTGAGTGCATGTGCCACCACCAGGCGCTACCCAGCCATCCTCCGTGCTTGTGGCCCTTCCCAGCTTCTCAGAGCCTCCGAGCATTTAACACACAGACATGCAAACCTTTCTATACTATTAGCTTGCTTACTGTGGTTCATCATTTTGCTCCTGTGAGAAATCGGTGTTTGTAGACTGTTCTCTCACTTTGGCGAGTATATGTGTGCACCCTGAATGATGTGACGTGGCCAACTCCAGTATTGCTTTCTACACTGACTGTCCATTTGTGTGCATTGGGATCAGCCCCTGAGGCTGGTGCAGAGCCTGAGTAGAAGGCGTGACCCAGGGAGGGACAGGTGGCCACCCACCACCGCTTAATGGACCGTCATTTTTTTTTTTTTAAAGATTTGTTTATGCATATAAGAACTGGGGTACAGGCCAGAGATGTGGGGGTGGGGGGTGGTGAGAGGATTCACCAGAGACAGAGTGGGGAACAGAACAGGCAAACTGACTGAAACACTGCTGAGGGGAGCAGTGGGTGAGTCAGGAGACGTCTGCCACATCATGTGGATCCCCCTCCCCAGCTGGGATCGAACTTGTGCCTCAGTGGCTGCTGACAGCCTCATAGGTTGTGTCTTAACCCCTTGTGCCACCAGGGAGGCCCTGAGGTGTCTGGGTTGCTGCCTTGGGTTCCCTAAGGCACTTCAGACGTACAGACCATCACTCCACAATGATTTTGGGGGCCTGGAGTGTGCAAAATCTTTAGTCAACTATGAAAGGCTGCCATTATTACTGGGTCAACCTCAGCCACTCTCAGTAGACTCTCTCATAACCATTCTTATTCTTGAATGTGGTTGGCTCTTGTTTTCATGATTTCAGGAAGCACTTCCCTATGCACTTCCATTGTGATGACAATTGTGAAAACTCCGCACCACTCTGTGTTACACCCAGGTCCAGCACCTGAAGGGGTCTGCCCACCTGACCAGCAATGTGAGTTCCTTGAACTGTTCCAAGGGCCTTCCCTCTGCAATTGTTGCATCAGAACTGATGGAGTGCCATGGCCTAACTGTGTACCTGATCTGCCTCAAGCCCTTCAGACGGCCTTGGGATGGCACACAGCACTGGCAAGACTCAGCTAGAGAGGCAAACAAATGCCCCCGGCCTGGCCTGCCCGGCCTTTGTGCGGCCTTTGTGCACCAGGAACCTCCTCCTTCCCTGAGGGCACCAACTTGCCTCTCCCCTCACAGCACATCACCCAGCTGAGATTTTTGATTAAGGAACCCCACCCCCTTTCTTTCACACACACGGTGACTATTGACTTGGGGCAGCAGCAGCCTGTGGCAAGCTTGATTTGGAGACTAGTGAGCTTTTCTCAGATCTGGGGCCACAGCGATGCAAATGCAGTCAAATTTAACAGGATAAATCCAGACACTGGGGGCATCTTCAACCACGTGTCATGGCAAGCAGATGTGCTATAGCTGCAATGGGGTTGGCTGTGGAGGAGCAGGGAAAATTTTTTTTATTTGAGTTCATCTGCTCCTTGTTTGCTAAACTGTTTTCCAGTTCTCATTAACAAGCCCACCTGCTCTTTGTTGGCTAACCTGCTCTTCCGGTTCTTGTTATCGAGCCCACCCGCGCCTTGTTGCTCAGGGAAACATTTTTGCTTTCACTGTGGTGGTAGCTGAAATACCAGGAGACCAGAGGGCAGGGCCTACAAAGCCATGACTTTCAGAAGATTGTCTTGCCTGAGTCCAGCCCTGAAGCTGGAAGACTGAACAGGCTCAGGTTCCTGGCCATGAGCTGTTCCTCAGTGGCAAGTGGTGACTGCACTCCCCAGGTAGAGTGAAGATGAAGCCAAGGTTCCAGGGATGCTTCCTGACGCCAGACCTCCGGCTGCCCGCCGGGACCTGCCAGAGATGGAGGTGCAGTGGTGAGGACGTTCATGCCCCCCTGTGCATCTCTGGGCACTCTGACCTCGCAATGGAGGAAGCCAAGGTGCGGCCACCTGCCCCAGAGCAGCTGAGGGAGATGGCAGACTCTACCCCTTAACCCTGGCCTTCTCAACCCTGGCTGGTTGACGGAATCCTCCAGGTAAGTGTTTTTATTATGACATACCACAATTTTTGTGGTCAGTTGCGGGACATCTGGGCTGGTTCCACTTTTTGGCTATTAGGAATAATGCCAAAATATTCATGTTCAAATTAAACATGGGCCTAGCATTTTATTTCTGGAACATTCCATTATAGTTCTTGTGTAGACATGTTTTCTTGGGTATATACCTAGATGTAGGCTTGATTGCTGAGTCATGTGTTTAATATTTTAAGTCTGGACCCTGTCTCATGCATTCCACAGCACTCTGCCATCCCGAGTTCCAAGATACTGAGTATTTCTTTCCCTCAGTACAGCTTGGGCTGTTCCAGGCTGGTGAGAGGCTCTTGCCTGCTCTCCCTGGCTCCCTGCTTCCCTCCCTGATAGGACCCTGTACATGTTCATCAGGGACAAGGCTGTGTGTGGCTAGCTGGGCCGTGGCTGTCGCTGGTGTAGCTTGGGCTCTGGGAAGAGTATCTCAATCAGGATGCCCCATTACTGACCTTGGCAAGGTGAAGCCCCCAGTCCCCCCTCTGTCTTACTCTTCCTGCTCCAGACTCCCCTCCGCTCCATCCTTGGGAATTTTCCTCAGCCGCCAAGAGCTGTCAGAATAACTCACATCATTTCCTTCTTGGCTGTCCCTCATGCTGTGCATCCAGATCTGGGGCTTTTTCTACCATGAACCTTTTTTTTTTTTTTTTTTTGACTTGAGACGTAAATCATGTAACACAAGACCACTTTAGAGTGAATAGTTCGGTGGCGGCAGCAAGCAGTCTCGGGTGCAGCCGTCAGCAAGGTCGCAGTGCCCATCCCTTTGGAGTGCTTCCTTTTCTTTTTTAAAAGATTTATGTATTTATGCATATAAGAACTAGGGTGTAGGCCAGAGGTGCCGGGGGTGAGAGGATTCACCAGAGACAGAGCGGGGAGCAGAACAGGCAGATCTACTGAAATCCACTGCTGAGGGGTGCAGTGGGTGAGGCAGGAGAGGTCTGTTGTGCCATGTGGGTCAGCAACCTGGCAGGTTGGGGATAGAACTCATGCTGCAGTGGCTGGTGATAACTTGATAGTGTTGTCTTTTTAAACCCTGCACCACCAGAGAGGCTGAGGGCTTCCTTTTCTCTAGCTTGCTTTACCATCATCAGACTCCCACCCCACCCTTGCCCCCTGGCTGAATTTCACATGAAAAAACCAGGGGAAGCAAAGTGACCCTGGATGATGCTCTTTCTCCTGCAGCCTTGTGTGGTTTTCATTACTTTTTGAGAGCAGGAGCAGGGGTAGGGGCTTTTCAACCTGTAATGAAGCCAAGATCCACTCTTTGGGGTGAAGTCCTGGAATGGACACCCCATCTCCAGAATCTAACGTGGGGTGAGACTGCCAAGAGGCAGCCAGCGCTGCTTTCCCTGCTTGGGAAGGGGCGCATTCATGGATCTGAGGGCCGGGGGACAGCAGCCAGCGTGCAATATTCACCACCACCCCCAACACCCAGACCCTGCTCTGAGCTAGCCAGGGTTGTCTCTCCTGAGAACTGAGGCCCTGGCTGCCTCTATGCTCCTCCAGTCAGCCATGTTCAACAACCCAGGCCCTTTCAGAGGCCAGATGATTCACCACAGACGTCCTAGCGGTTCCCCTGGCCTGCAGGAGAACAAGGCCCCTGGTGGTCTTGCATTTCAGCCTCATCCTGCATCAGTCCATTTCCTCCTACCCCCTTTCTGCGTATTTCTTCCAGCTGGTTACCTACAGGCCCCCTGAGCCCTTGCTCTGCCCTCTGCTTGGATGGCCAAGCTCAACCCTAATGACCGCCACCTTGCTCTTCCCCGGCGTGTGCAAATCCCCTAGCCCCTGGCACAGCACCCTCTTGTGGCCTAGCTGGGCACTGCGCTACCAGAATAGCTGTTTCTTTGTACACCCAGATCAGCTCAGGTGCAGGGGCCTTTGGAGACATCTGGGTCCTCAGCACCCGGTGCTGCCTGAGTAACAGTGAACACCAGAGTTGTGGGTGTGGAGGTCTTTCCCACTGTTTTGAGAGTACTGGAGCAATTGAGGTTATGGATGCCCCGGCACCATCTGAAGGATGCTTAGTCTGCTAAGTTGAAAAGCCTCACAACAGTCACAACTTTCTTGGGTTCAGGGAAGAGAGAGGGTACTTAAGTCCCCAATTTCACTCCCACCTGTAGGGTTGCTTTTCTTCAGGGCAGGGAAGTGATGGGGCAGGGATGGAGACGGCCAGGGCTTGCTCTGCTCATATCTGCCCTCCATGGAACATTTGGAGAGGGGCAGGAGGCAGGGTGTCCAAGAGCCAGGACTTCTGGTCTCAGGCCCACTTCTTATCTGGGAAGCCACATGTCCACCTGCCAAGGAGCAGGAGCCAAATGCCAGAGCGCTTGTGGGAGGGATGCTGGGCATGGGGCCTTCCCTCCAGCTACTGGGGATTTGGAGGTTTTAGCTCCTGAGCTTCTAGCATCAAGGAACCCTTCCTGGGGCTGTGATGCCCACAGCAGGGTTTCAGACTCAGGGAATAGGCCCTGTGGCCAGGCCCAGTCCATGATCTCCTGCCACCAGCAAGGGCCTGTCCTGCTCTGGGAGCCCTGACTCCAGAGGGTTGGGGAGATAAAGTGCAGAAGTTGCCAGCTTCCAAGAGGCCCCTTGTGACCTTGGCCTCTTGATTTTCACACCCTTGTGGTCAAATCAGAGCTGGGCTGCTGAGGACAGGAGGGTGGAGGTGATGGTGTGGGAGTTTGGAAGCTAGGCTTCTACCTTGGCCTTGAATCACTGCTTGGGGGGAGGGGGCTAGCCAGGCACCAAACTGTGAGGACACGCCAGCTGCCACATGGGGGAGGGAACTCTTGTGGAGGAAAATGGAGACTTCCAGCCAAGAGCCAGGCTCAACTCGCCAGCTGCAAATAGAAACCCCCTTGAAAGGAGAGCCTCCAGCCCGGCCAAGACCCAGCGCAGCCGCCCGAGGGCCGGAGCCAGGCTGTGCACACCACTCCCAGCTCCGAGCCCACAGAAACCGGGCACAGAATCGGTTAGTCCAGGCCACTGTGGGCTGGGGCAACTTGTTAGGCAGCGACAGGTAACAGCCCTTCTTGCTCTGGGGGCCGCTGCCTCTCTGTGTCTGGGTGTCGATGGGACAGCGTGTTCTGGGGCTCCCCGAGCACCACCTGGAGAAGGCGGGAAGAGATGAGCTGTGGCCCTGGGTCAGCAGAAATCAGCCAGCCACCCGCGACATCAGTTTTTCCTCCATTTTAATTAACACTTTACAAAGTACAAAATATACTGTCTTTTGGGGGGAACATTAGGTACTTTTCTCTCCGTCATACAGTACATGAATCTCGAGGGTTTTGTGTTTCAACAAAGAAAGTTAAGCGTGCGGGCCCTGGGTGCAGGGCTGCCCTGTTCTCCCATCACCCAGGGTTGGGACAGATGTAAGTGCCGCTGCTACCGCTGGGGACTCTGGGGCATGCCCAGACCCCCAAGCCGAGGCCCTGGGCAGGGCAGCAGCCCCTTGGGGCCCTGCTGTGCATCCAACATCCATGAACCCCCATCTCAGGATAACGGAAATGATTTTGGCATAGAGCGAGAGGAGGGCTTGGGGTTTTGTCAGTCCCCCCATGTTTTGGAGCCAACCCTGCTCAGTTCTTCCTGGACCATTTTCTGAAAAGATAAACTGAGGCAGTGGACAGGAAAACGCACTGAGCTTGGCCTGTCTTGGGACCCGAATTTGGCCTGTTTTTCATTTTTTTCCACCCCTGGGTCTCCGGCATTGCTGGACAGTCTTCTGGACGAGCCCCGGCAGGCAGGCAAGGGGGCGCCGCAGCCACCACTCTCCCTGTGAATACTGTCTTCGGGACTGGCTGTTTCTGAGGAGTCGGCTTAGCAGTTCTGGCCTATGTGGGTGGACAGGCCTCTTGGGCTGGGGAGCCGCTGCCCCTTCACAGAGCAGTTTTAACGTTTAACGAAGTCACATGGGCTGGGGCCCTACGGGGAGGCTCGGCTCGCCACCCCACGACCCACAGGGAAGAACACTGCTGAGGACTCACAATACTGAATGAAGCGAGTCGGCTCCTGAGCTCAGACCTGGTCTCTGCACACGCGTGCGTGCCCACACACTGCTGTGTAACAGCACATGCCCACACGTGTGTAGACCCACACGGGCCCACGCAGGTACAGAACAGGGTCCTGACTCGGCACAGGGGCTGCCCACCCCATATTAAACCAAGACTAAGAACTTTCTCACCAGGTGGTGCCCGCAGCGTCTGTCCTGGTCCCGCGCTCCCAGCCCTGCAGGCCCGGCTGCGGCCTCAGCACACAGTCAGGGACAGCTCCTGCCTCTGCCTTCCCACAGAGCAGGCTTCTGAGCTGAAGGCCACGGCCCACCCCAAGGGCAAAAGAGACAATTACCCTTGTCCTTTTGTTGCCCTTTATTTGAAAATGAGAGAAAACAAGCCTGAATGAGTTTTGAGGTGTGGGCAAAGGTATCTTTTCTAGTATCCATGGCTCACTCCCTCAGGACACCCCTCTTCCCAAGCCTGTCCCCTGACGGGCTGATAGCCCAGTCGGCAGACATACTGGGGGTGCTTCTTAACCCACCCTGAGCTCAAAGCGGCATCAGAAATCCCTTAGCTACTTAGTCAGCTGGGAAACCGCAAGCCCCTTTCTAGCTGGGGCAGGGAAGAGCTCTAGTTGTCCCCATTTCCAGATGCAGACAACAGCAAGGTGGCCCAGGGTGGCGGTGGCGGCGAGACTCCCCAGGATTGGTCTGGGCAACGCGGTCAGGGGAGCTGTGGTGGGCACGCAGGTTCATCTCAGATATCAGGCAGATGGTGCCTCTGACTTGGGATAGGGGGTCTGACCTTTCCCGTCTCCCAGAGCCTGCTCTCCACAGTATCCTGTCACCTCAGTGGCACCTCACTACCATCTCTGGTACACCTGACTAGTCACAGTGGCCACACTGCTTCATGGGGTGGTGGCAGGGGGCAGGTCTGGGCCCCACCCAGCTCCCTCCCTTCCTATCAGGGTTCTGTGGCCTGGAGGTGGCGGGAGGGGGACAATGCTGGTAGTTTTGGGGGCTCTGGACCCCTTGAATTTTGGGGGAGGTCAGCAAGTCTCTCTGGCTTCAATGTGTGCCTTAGGCTGAAGGCAGTGGTGTGGCTAGCCTCTCCTGTGCCACAGGGGGCTCTGAAGACCCCTGTGTGTGGAGGGAGGAGGGGCAGAGCTGGCACTGCCCACCTCTTTGCCAGGTCAGGACTGGGGACCAGGTGAGGGGGTAAGTCGAAGAGGCAGATTTTTTATAATGGTGGGGTGGTGGGCACAGCTCCGACTTCCCTGTGCTCACTCTGGTATGCAGCGCGGGCGCGGCTGTGACTATAGCATTTAGGTGCTTAGTTTTTCTTACTGGACAACCGCAGAGGCAAAGACATACCCTTCAGAGCTCAGGGGGCAGCTCCAGGCCTGCCTGCTCAGGCCACTTTCCTCCTCCTACTACGTGCCCCGCCAGGCACGGCTGCGAGACCCTCAGCCACACCAGGCACCTTCCTCGCGCGGCTTCTGGTGGGTCCAGCCGCATCAGCTGCATTAAACAGCACACACCCCCCAAGTGGACCCTTTGGCTAACAGATCCCCATCCAGCGAAACAGGAGATGGCTGGGGTAACCCCTCAACCTTCCCCAAAGAGCTGTGGTGATCAAACCACTAACTTTGCTACTCATAGGCACACAGACACCAGGATGCGTCGGCCTCGGCGCACACAGCACAGGGACTAGAAAACTAAATGGGTGGCCGTGGGTGGCAACTCCTCCCTGGACACAAAGTCAAGGCAAACATCCCTTTTCCAGTTAGAGGGGCCAGTCACCAGGCCTGGGGAGAGAGCCGGAGGCTTCTAAGCTTGCCAGTGAAAAGAATCAGCATGAAAACAGCCACAGGAGGGGAGAGGCCCCAGGGTGGACAGCCGGGGCGACCGAGCCGGCCTGGGTTGCAGGCTGAGACCACTGAGAAGGGGGCGCGGTTCTGTTAAAAAGCAAGAAGTTCCAAGTACTCCTCCCTCTCTGTACTACGGCCCCCAATAAAACAAGGGTGCAGGGGAGGGGCAAATCTAGATTTCAAGGGAGACTACAGGAGGGGGAGAGGGCAGGGACCCACACCCACCCAGGGCTCGGCTCCTGGGCTGCTGGTTTTGTTTTTCTCTCAAGTCTGAGCTGAGGGAGCCAGCGGCTTGTCCAGTCAGCATATTGCCTATATACTTGAATTAAAAATCTTATGGTGGCTCAAAACGTGTGTGCACGGCAGACACAGCAGGGTGGAGGCCCTCAGCCCACACGCGCATACACACAGCGGGGTCTGTGCCCACGCCCTGCGCACACGCGCGGCGTGCTCACACAGTATATATTAACATATATATTGCTCAAGTATATATGCTATTTACAGTATATATCTATATCGACATAAAACACAGGTATTTATAGGTGTGTACAATAGATACGTCCTAGGGGTCTAGGGAGCACACATTTCTGGGGTCACGGGGCCGACACTTGCACGGCGGGGTAGGGGCAGGTGACGCGATAGGGACGCTGACAGGAGGGGGTGGGTGTGGAGAGGCGCCCCACGGGAAATCAAGGCTTTCCGAGGACAAAAAAAGGACCCAGGGCGTCAAGCACTGCCTGCCCGCTCGGCCACCCAAGTTTTGGAACCAGCAAACAACAAACACGTTTTGGTTATTTTGGAGTTTTGTGCAAAATGAATTAACTTAATAAAGAAGAAAGTGGGTTCCTGATCAGTGCCTGGGCCCTGGGCGTCTGCAAGGATGCAAACTCAAGGCTCCTCCACAGGGGCTTCCAGGGCCCGGGGTCCCACACAGCGGGGTGCACAGACTTCACCAGACCAGGCTCCTCGGACCTTCTCTTAGGAACAGGTCAAGTCAGAGGCTGCCAGAGAAACAACATGAGGGCCTGAGCCACAGTGGGTTCTGTTTGCTCTGAAAACACCCCCATTGACGAGGCCTGGAGGCTGACCCCATTCTCTCTGTCAGAACAGACCATCTCAGCTGGTCTGCCCTCTGGCTGTCCACCTCCTGCGGCCCTTGGGTTCCGATGTTCGGTAGAAGCAGAATGCCTAGGCACCTGTCAGGAGAGTATGGGTGGCCGGTATGGGGCGCCTGGGGCCTGTCTTGTGACAGGACTCTGCTTCCTGTTTGAGAGGGCCACGGTACCTGGACAGTTCCCGATTCTCATGCTTGTGCCTGGAGTCAGGGTGCCAGCCAAGTGATGCTGGGCCTCCGGACCCCCTGAGTTCTATAGGCCCCATCCCCGAAACTGCCGTCAACCACAGCCTGGGCGCAAATACATTAAATAAGAAACTAAAACAAGGTACGATTTTCTCTATTAAGGCTCAGTTAAGCTGCCTCCCAGGTCAAGTACTCGTGAGTGCCACGGTCCCCATACTGGGTGGCGGGCAGGTGAGTTGGGGGCAGAGGCCTTCCATGTCCCCCCAAACTGGGGCGGGGGTAGGATGATAGGGGAGGCCTATGCTGGTCTAGTCAATTGTTGGGGAGATGGGGTGACCTAAGAAACCCCAGGTCCAGAATGCTGGGAATGCCCCCACTTGGAGGAAACTGAGGCTTTGCCGGCCCGAGTAGGGTCCAGGGAAAGCAGAGGGGACAGGGGCTCATGTCCCAGGCTGGTGGGCCCCTGAGAACCATCCCCAGGAGTGAGGGCTTGTGGTGGGGGAGGGTCTGGACAGGGCCCCTCTTGGCAGTCTTGCTGGGAGTTGGGGCACAGGCCCTGTGGTTAGCAGGTGAGGTTCTGGGTGGCTCAGGTCCTGGGTCTGATCCTCTGGCTCCTGGGGGAGCCTCACCAGCCAGGTGACCCGAGGGCTCCCCACTGGCCTCCACTCTGCGGGAACCAGCCCCGAGCTGATGGGAACAGAGACCAGCAACCACGGCATCCAGCTCCCACCCTCACGGGGGTCTTCTCAGTCTCCACAAACTCGGTCCCACTTGGCCAGCCCCCCAAGACAACATGAAAATCAGTACCCCAGTGTCTTGTGGGAAGTGCCAGCTTTCTTCGGCATCTGCCTCTAGCTGTGGGTGAGGCCAGAAGAGAAGGCGGTGCAGCTCACCAGCTCCCTGGGCCTCAGACACCATCTTCTGGGGTGGGGATAGGAGGAGGAGGAGGCAGGCGGCTCTCTGGAGTGTCTGGGGGCTCCAGGAAGGCAGGAAGGTATGGGGAGGCCTCGGCTTAAGTCCCAGGCCTGGTGGGGTCAGCGATCAGGGATGTCTCCCAGAGGCCTCCTCTTTGGGGACCCTGGGGCTGATTTTCCAGTCCATCGAGAAATACTGCAAGAAGAATCTTCAGGGTGGGGGCTGGGCCCAGGCCTGGAGGGCAGACAGGGAGGAGCAGAAGAGGCCCTTCTAATGCTTCTCTGCTTGGCTGACCTTCAGGGCGCTAATAACACCGTTGATGTTTTCTTCTGGTACCTGCAAGGGGAGGAAGCAAACATCTGTGAGCTGCTGGACACAGCTGTCCTGGGAAGGGAAGGGGCGTGGCACCGGGCACTCACCAGTGCATGGTCGAACTTGAAAGTACTGATGTAGTAGGCGGGGATGTCCGCAGCAGCCAAGGGCTCAGAGATCTGGGCCACGATGCCACACTCATCTAGGGGGAGAGGCAGGGACCATGCTCAGCCTGCTCTTGGCCTCGTTACCAAGGACCTGGCCAGTGCACCCTCTGTCCTCTTTGCTGCTCAGCCTCCCTCTATAATCTTGCTAGAGATTCTCTCCCCTCCTGTGAAAGCTCAGTGCAAATGCCCCTCTACCCAGGAGCTTGCTCTGATCTTCCTAGCTAGCAATGAGCTCTCCATCTACAGAACCCCAAGGACCTGGGTCTGTCCCACTCTGGTCTTCTGTCCGTTTCCATGCTTCTCATTTCAGATTGTCTTCCTGCCATCTTGCCAGTTCTCTGACAGAGCTGGGGGTAGGGTGGGAAGTCAGGCCTTCCTTTCTTTCTCCCTGTCATTTTCTAGTCAGATGACTATGGCCAAGTCACTCTGTGAACCTCAGTGTCCTCATTGGCCCCTGCCTGCCCTCAGAGCATTGTCAGGCATGCAATTGGGGCTGGAATGTGACTTCTCCCTCTGAAGCAGGGAGGCCTCCCCTAAACTTCAGCCAGTTTGGTGGACTGGGAGCTGGTGCTCCCTTTGTGCCTAGCTTCACCCTGATTTGAAGACAAAGCCCAGGCTTCCTCTTACAGGAAGACCTCCAGAATCTGAGGACCACTCTTCTCCAACACAATCCCCTGGGTTATTTCTCTTATAGCTTGTGCTCTCATTTTGGCTATAATGCACTTCCCCAACAGTGCCTCTGACCAGGTGAGAGAGTTCAGAACTAGTCACCAGTTCTCCAAGTGATTCTGAAGCTGGAGTCTGCGAATTAACCTGGGTGCCAGTCTCCCTTCAACCCCAGCATCTTCCCCGCCCCTGGTCCCGCTCTTGTCAGTCCACCTTGGACTTGGTAGCCTCCCCACTGGCGAGTTCCTCCAGGTTACTAGCTGCCACACCCTGCCACCTGCTTGGGCCTGGAGAAGGCGGTCCCACGGTTGGGCCAGGAGCTGGCAGGGTGTACCTCCCAGTGCTCCAGAGTAGCCCCTGCTCTCCTGGGGTGGCTTGGCCTTGCTGTGAACAGAGTGTGCAAATGCTGTCCGGCCTGCTAGCTAAAGTCCACCTTCTAGCTTGTTTGGGGAAAGGTAGAGACAGATAGCCATGATCTGGCCTGCTCTCTGATCCCTTACCCCCAGGTCAAGATGTCCTGCCACTTTGTGTCCAGGAGCCACTGTGTCCAGATGGCCCCTGGGCCAGTCTGTGCTTCATCTAGAACAGTCTGTACTATCATAGAAAATCAGGGTTCACTGGTTCTGACCAAGGCCTGAAGCCTATGGCTCCCCCAAAAATGCTTATGAAAAAACCACCAAAGATACTTTAAAGATAACTGTAGAAACTGAGGCTAGACTGGGTCCTAGGTAATAACTGCCCATTTCTTCCCCTTGGGGGCATGTGATCGAGGTTCTGTAGAGAAAGTGCTTCTTCCTGGGACAGAAAGAGGAATTAGGGGCGAAGGGTTGGGGTGCCTGGGACTAGCTGCTAGGTGTGCAGTATTACACTATTTATGTGAATGAAACTCATTAAATTTGAGAACAATCATTGCCTTTGAGCAGTGGGACTAAGGAGCAATTGTTTCCCTTTGTAATTCTTATCATGTCCCCAGCTTTCTAATCAGAAGCAGGCATTAACTTTCTACTGGGGAAAACTAAGAGTGCTTGGGTGAAGCCTGCTCTCCCTGACCCTGGAGGCCTGTGTACCCCCATCACACTGGGCCTGCAGGCAGTGGGGACCTGAGGCTCCCTAAGCATTAGTCTCCCCTCCTAACCTTGGGGTCCAGACATACGGGCTTTGTATTCAGAGGCACTTGGTCATGCTAGAGACCCCCCTTTGCCTTGCCCTCCCCCCACTGAACACCACGGGGCTCACCAAAACCCAGGGGCTGTCCTCCGATCCGCACCATCTTCCAGAGCTCTCCAGATGCGCTCGTGAACAACAAATTGCTAGGAAACCTTAAAGGAGAGCAAGAGGAAAAACCCCAGGTTCATGTTAAGTGTACGCCCCTGGCCAGCCCTCCATGGAACCTTCCCTGCCCTTGCACTGGTGAGGGCCAGAGGTACACCTGTACCCTTTTGGGGGAGGGGGTGGAGCAGAGACAGGAAAGCAAGGGTAAGGTGGACTTTGAAACAAACCCCTCACCACCCAGCCTACCCCCTCAAGCCCCCAGCTCCAGAGAGGGGCTGGGGGACAGAACTCAGATGCCCCAGGGGCTTGGTTCAAATCTCTGCTTTGCCACCAACTATGGCCCTGAGATACCCCTCCACCTCCCTGAGCTGCCTGTCATAAGATGGGTACCCCAAGATGCAGGGTGTGCAAAGGGCTTATTAGGGACAGAGTGGGGTGACATGCCCATCACGAAACCTGGTCCACCCTGGGTAGACCATCACCCTGGCGCCCGGCTCACCTCTGCTGGGTCTGCACGTCCATCACCAGGGAAATGTAGCCCTCGATGAGGGAGAAGGAGAAGAAGCGGATGTGGCCACAGTCGTCGCCAGTAGCCATGGGGTCCTTCACTCTGGGGGCGGGTGAACTGGTGAGAGGCAGGACCCCCACTGTACCCTGACCCCCACTAGGCTCTCCTGCCTGCCCACTGGCCTCAGCATGAGGTGTTGGGAGGAACAATAGCCTGGGGAAGCTGGGGCTGGCTGAGTCCTGCTGTGATCTTGACCTTACTGGATGGCCCTAAGCCAGTGTCAGCCCCTCGGCCTCCCCATCTGTGAAATGCGGGTGATTGCGTGGCATTCACACAGGCGAGCACTGCACTTCACAGTGCTGGGAGCCCTGCTGGCTTCAGCACGGGCCCTATTCCTGGGCAGGGTCTCTGTCCTGTTTTGGCCCACATCGAGGGTACAGCTTGTGGCTGCTGCCAGCTCACTGGACAACGGCCCTCTTGCACCTGTTTTTGGCCTAAACTTAAAATCTGCCCTGAGGAGAAACACAAAGGCTGTTTTCCGCTATGTGAAAAAAACCTGAGTTCCTGGCTCCTCAACTGACTGTGTTTGCCCTTCAAGCTCAAGGGACAGCTGGGTGTTCATTACCCCCACAAAGGCACCTGGGTTTTCACCAAGTTTGGGGTTCCCAAGGAAGGGTGGGGTTCCCCCCTCTCAGAACAGGCTTTTATAGAGCCATGTCTTCCCTTCTCAGGCCAGCTCCAGGGCAGGTCTGGGTCCTTCCGGGGCCTCTCTGCAAAGCCACGTCTCCTCTGGGCCCTGCAGCCCCCATACTCAAGGGGGTCCTACCCGTTGGAGTAGAACATGACGTCCATGAGGAGTGTGGCAACAGCAGGCAGCGTGTCGGGGTCCAGACTGGTGACACAGAACCTGTTGCTTGGGCTGGACAGCGGGTGGATGACGGGCCTCTGGACTGTGAGTGCAAAGAGAACAGAGCTGAGGCTGGGTAGAGAGAAGCAGTGAGGCAGGCTCAGGTGGCAGCTGCTCTGGGGAGGCCCCATAAGACCCTGTCTCTTCTTCAGCCTCTATCACCAGCTCTCCTCATTCTCCAGGTTCACATGCCAAGCTGTCTGCCTGGCATGCCCTTTCCAAGTGCTACCACCTGCCTTAACTACTACTTGTGCTGCAAGCTCAGGTCAGGTCACTGCCTCTGGGACATCTGCTCTGATCCCCTGGATGGCAATGGCCTTTGGCCATCACTTGCTATACCTTGGGAGCAGTGACTGACCAGGACTGCTGTACCAGGTTACACCCGGCATTCAATGCTCGGAGAATGGCGCTGCTTTGGGGCAGGACCTAGTAAGTTCTTGAGGGGTCCCCAGCATGGGCCCCTAAACGTACCCATCTTGGGCTTCACAAAGCCGTTGGTGATGCCGAGGTTCTCAGCAGCCACTGTCTCACCATTGACGACCCTCAGGATGGTGAACTCTGAGGACAAGGTATGGGTGACGAAGGGCAGATCACGCTCACGAACCTGGGGATGGAATGAAGCATGTGAGTGTCCCATGTTCCCGGAAGTCTGGGACCAGGAGTGGCAGGTCCGTGACCCCACTCCACCCGGGGAGTGCTCTGTCCAGGCCCATCCTTGACCTGGCCCAGGTTCACGCTCTCCAGGTGGCCTGGTCCCACAAATGAGTGACATGGTGGCCAGGAAGCACTGCTGGTCCCCAGGACCAGACATGTTGCCACCCCAGGAGAAGTAGGGAGGTAGGGAGCCTGGTGTCCACCTGGGAAAAGACCCTGTCTCCTTGCCCTCACTTCTTGGCCTCCAGGTCAAAACAAGCAGAGTCCACTAAGGACAGGTGGGCTTGGGACAGAGACCTGGCGCCCAGCCTGGGAGCCCAGTGATGACACTGAGGTCCATCTGACCTCTCCCTGGTCAGAAGGCCACAGAGTGGGCAGACCTAAAAGGGTTTCCATGCCACTGGAGACCCCGGGGCACAAGGCTGGACTCACCAGGATGAAGTCCGTCTGGTAGGTGGAGAGCATGAACACGGAGATGTTCTGGTCGGCCAGTGGGGCGATGACCGACTTGGCAATCTTGGTCACGCCAATGGGCTGGGAGCTGGAGAAACTGCCGCCACCAGATACCACGTTGAGGGCCAGCCAGGTGGCGTCTGCCACACTCAGGTGCTCAGAGGAGGGTAGCTCTGGAGGGGGACACAGAAGGGAGCCCCGTGATTGATGGGCTCCAGGGACAGATGCAGTGTGTGATCTTGGCCAGCCCCGCCCGCAGGCCAGAGTGCCCTCCTCTGTCAAAGGCTGTTATCTGCCTCCGTGGTCTCCTCCTGGGAGCACTGAGCAGGGCAGGAACTGTTGGGCCTGTTTCCTCAGCCATGAAATGATGGGGAGGTCAGTCATGATTTTGTTATTTCTAGTTCTCCCTGTCCTTCTGGGTGTCAGGTCCTGCCATCACCAACTACCTCATACCGACCAGTGGAACAGGCCCCTGTGGTTTTCTTTTTTACTTTTTTTTTAAAAAGATTTATTTATTTATGCATACAAGAGCTGGGGTGCAGGCCAGAGAGGCAGTGGGTGAGAGGATTCACCAGAGATGGAGTGGGGAACAGAACAGGCAGACTGACTGAAATACACTGCTGAGGGGAGTGCGGGTGAGACAGGAGAGGTCTGCTGTGCCATGTGGGTAGCTCCCGGGTCAGGGATCGAACTTGTGCTGCAGTGGCTGCAGATAGCTTCATAGTGCTGTGTCTTAACCCTTTGCGCCATCAGGGAGGTCCCCAGGCCCCTGTGGTTTTCAAACTGGGTTCCTGGGTGCCTCCCAAGCATCTGGAGGAGCCCAGGCGATGACAGTGGAGCCCAGGCGATGACAGGGTGGGCGGGACTGGGATTCTCTTGTGCTTCAATCAGACACACATGCTCTAGGAGTGCTCTTGAAGATGCCACATTCTGGGGGTCAGTGATCGCCACCCCACCATTCCTAAGACTTGCGCATTGACACTGGTGTGGGGCAGGTGAGGGAGGTGCAGAGTCTCCTTGACTAGCTTGTGAAGATGTGGAATCCAAATGTGGTAACCACTCCTCCCATGCCGTCTTGCAGAGAGAGCACCCAGGCTGGGCACAGGGTGGGGGTTAAGGCACAGGGAGAATGGGTCACCCCCAAAGGACCTGGACAAGGAGGCAGGACTGTTAGTTCCACTGTACTCTTGACAAACCAGAGTTCTGGAAGGGCTGGTGATTTGTCCAAGATAATTAGGATTCAACTCCTGGTTTGGTTATCAACCAACCCTATGCTCTGTCCTTGGTCTCCACGGGAGGAGGCCAAGATGAAGGATCCAGACGCTATGAGTTAAAGGGGCTGTGATGGTGACGACAATGATGATGCAGTTGGTTAAATGCTGGCCTCAGGCGAGATGGCTTTGAGGCCCCACAGATCTACCTGCCCAGCTCTGGTCGCCATGGCAACCACAGTCCTACAAGCCCATTGGTCTTGCAGGCTGAGAAGGGCAGTCCTGGACCAGGCTGGCTAGAGAGGCAGGCAGCTGTGCAGAAAAGGGAGGGAGCGCAGGAGGAAAGGGTTGAAAAGCCCCTAGCTTCTAGGCTTCCATGTCTAGTGTCTCCTGCTATCCAGAGTATCAGAAAAGAGTTTTCTCAGCCCCTAGACTAGTAGAGGGAGGGCGCCCCAGAGCCCTGAAGGGACTTCCCTGGGACTGCTGGAGGGCCCTACCCTGCCATCTAAAGCAGAGAAAGCCCCTGCAGCCACTGAGCGCCAGGCTGCCCTGAGGTCCCAGCCTCACGATGGTGAGGCCTGCACTTCCCTTGGACCTGTGTGCTGGGCATGAGCCACGCAACTTGGACATCAGCGAGTCATCTAAGGCACCATTTATATATATATATATATATTTTTTTTTTTTAATAAGTTCTGTGTTTATTTATTTATTTATTTATTTATTTATGCATGCACTGGGTACAGTCAGAAGCGCAGGAGGGTGAGAGAATTCACCAGAGCCAGAGTGGGGAGCAGAGCAGGCAGAAGGACCGAAGTACACTGCTGAGGGGAGCAGCGGGCGGCAGGAGAGGTCTGCGCGCCATGTGGGACCCTCCTCTGGTGGCCGGGGAGCAGCCGGGGATTGAACCGCTGCTGCAGAGGCTGCGGGCAGCTTCGCAACCCAGCGCTCAACCGCTGCGCCACTGGGGAGGCCCACCATTTATATTTAATGATGAAGTAAAAAAAAATGCTCCTCTTCATAATGACATAACTCCCTAAAGGGATGGGGTGGGGGGAGTAACAACGGGCCCCTGTAGCTGTAAACCAAAGATTCATTCCACTGCCTAGAGGTCAGGGCAGGGGCTGCTCATTATGCTGGGTCCCTGGGAACACCTCACTCTGTGCACTAAACGTGTAAAAGAGCAACACGCACTATACCTTTCACAGGCATGCAATGTCCATTTGAGCCAAGAACCTCTTAACTTCCACATTTACAAGGCCCGATCTGGTTACTGTTTCCGACAATCACCCTGTCCTCCTGGCAAAGGCCCAGCAGCTTCTAGACAGGTGAACTGTGACCAAGACAAGGGTGATGTGAACAGCAGCCCTCGTAGGAGCACTATCTGCAGGGCTGGTAGGCCTTACCCAGCATGCACAGCAGCACCCACTGGGACAGCCACAGGTCAAAGCCCCGTCTGAAGTGCAGCTTCCTGTGAGAACCCCTCCAAGGCTGAGGCAAGAGCTGCCTCTAGCTGCTGTTTCCCCACCCCCACCCAAATCCTGCCCCCCAAGAGCCCAAGCCTTCCAGATGCTCCTGACATTGGTGGGCCAGGCTAGGAATCCAACAGCACTTGTCAGGACTTTTTCCTGAGGGCTTTTCTTGCTTGTCTCACAGTGACTCTAGTCTGTTAACTTGAGTTTTCTCACTTGCAAATGTGCTTCAGGCTGCTGGCTGGAGCCTGGAGGGGCTCTAGCGTGGGGGCAGCGGAGCCTTGTGTACTCCCTTGTATATGTAATTTTTTTTCTTGGGCAGTCATGGACATCCAAGCAGACCAGGGGATGCAGTGTGGGAGGCAGACCCTTACCCAGAAGTCGTAGTTGAGGACAGTCAGAGACTGGTCCCTCCTCGCAGTTCCCGCTGGGCTAATAATTTAAACCTGGAAGCTGGCTTATTCCCCCTCCAGGAGGCTTTGGCCTCACTCCTCCCCACCGCTGTTCCTGCACACTTAGCCCAGCAAGATGCCGGCACACAGGTGTAACTCAATAAATACTGCCTGCTGCACCCCTCGGGGCTGGGTTAGAATAAGCAGCAGGCCGTCTCTCTGGTTATTGATAACTCCTTCCAACACGGCCCACAGCCCCCTGCCTCTTGCTCATGGCAATTTCTCATTCAGGCCTCCAGAGAGAGAATCTCATCTTGGGAGGTAGATAGACACAATATTGTCTCTTCCTACACACTAGATATGTGTGCCGGCGGGGAGGGGGTTCCCTTTGTCTGAGGTGCCACGATTCTCAGCAGTCCTATGTATAGGCCTGAATGCCCATCAGAAAATGAAAATGTGTCTGGGTTGCCCAAGCATGGAATCTTTGCGTGACTTGTGCTTCATGGTAAGGCAGAAGGGCCCATCTGTAGCGCCTGTGCTAGACGGCAAGTGCCGTACGTGGGTGCCTTCAAGGATGGTGCTCCCTCTGGGAGTCCTCACACTCTCCTACTTTGCTGTGGAGCAGGTAGCGCAGTAGCTCTCGGGAGGCCTGCCCTGTCCCTGCTCTGGCCACGCAGCCTTCCCCTCCAAGGCAGAGAAGGACCATGTGCCCCTCAAGATGTGGGGGGCAGGACCCAGCCCCCTGTATAGGGACCTAGGTCATGTGCATGTGAGTACAGCTAGGAAGGTAGCTTCCTCTGGGCCTTTGCTTCCTCACCAGGAAAGAGGGTCTCATGCTCATTAGACCCAACAGCATGAATCAAGAAGCATAAAATTTCTAGCCTCATTAATCTCATTTCTCAAACCTCATTTTAGGCATCAACCTCAAGTCAGAATAAATGTTATAACATTTGAGGAGATTATACACTTCATAATGGAGAACAATTACGACAACTTCAATTCTAACTGTAGAGCACTGAGCAAAGAAGCCTGGCAGACTTGCCAGGGTCTGACTTGAAAGAAGATAATGTATATACTGTATATACACCATTTAATGTACAATAGAAAGTATATAATGTGACCGTAAGTGAATTCAAAACCACTTGTTCATGGGAAAAACGGGAAAGACACTAAGTCATTTTGACTTGTCTCCGAGGTAGGACTGAAAAATGTTGACTTTCGTGCACACTTTGCACCTTTTGAAGGATGTAACTTAGCTGCACGCCAGTTCCCGGGCCCTGCGGGAGCATGTGGCTGTGTCCCCAGCACCTCTTAAGTGAACTGGCTGCGCAGCAAGCACATGTTTGCCGTTACTTTAGAGCAGGATGAACGTGATCAACTTTAACAATAAACAAGAGATGCAGGGACAGTGACTGGGAGCCAAGGAGAATGGTGATGAGAGTGTTCTGGAGTCGACAGCGGTGGTGGCGCCGCGACCTTGTGGATGTCAAAACCATGGACCTGTAGACTTTCAAACGGTGAACTTGCTCAGTTCACAAAAGTGGAAAAAAGTAAAGGAAAGTCACAAAAGGATGGTGACCCTTGGGGCTGGCTCCAAAGGGACTGAGCACATTATAAAGTGTCCCCCTCACTGGATCTTACCTTCTTCTCCTCGTTGGTTCCCAGAGGGTGTCTTACTGATCCCGTTGCTCTGGGGCCTTTCCCAAGGCAGAGAGGGAGAGGACTGGCCAGGGCACAGGGAGAGAAGGAAACAGACTACCAACTTTCTCCAGCCGCTGAGGGCAGAAATAGGAGGTGGGCAGCCAGCACTGACATCAGGCCTCGGTCCAGCAGGTGAGAGTAGCACTTACCCAGGAAGCCCTCCTCATCGACTATGATGGTGTAATCCTCTGGCGTCTCTGTCAGACTGAAGAACTTGCACCTGGGTAGGAGGACAGACAGACACAGAATAACGAGTCAGTCTTGCACAGGTCCCAGGGGCACACTGGGGGCCACCCCACCCATGACCCAGTCAGGGAGGACTCGGTTTCCCCAGAGATATTGCCCCAGGCTGCCAGGTGACTAGGGCAAGTTACTTGTCTCTCCCTCTGCTCTGGCCCCCAACCCCATGTTCTGACTCAGGAGGTCTCTGAGAGGCCCCAATCTTTGGGGATCTTTAAGCCTCTAGGATTCTGTACAGGCTCAAAGTCTTAGATCCCACTTTTCTTGGAAGTGAAGGGAGTCACGCAGGGGAACTGTTTGCTATGGATCACCACATCTGACGTCTAGGCCTCACTGCTGCTCCCCCTCCCTACTTCCTCCCCAACTCGCAAATGCTCCCACTGTCTCTTAAGGCCTAATTCACAACTTGGATGAGAGGGGTGTGGCCATCTGTGATGTTCTGGGGGGCAAGCTGCCTTTGGCACTACTGCTGAGCCTGCGGTTTATTAGCTCAATTTCCCCCAAAGGAGACCAGGGTCTGGCAATCTCTCTGGACTAGAGCCAGATGGGGCTCCCAAGGGCTGGAGGGGTCATCAATCCACCATGTCTGCCTGTCTGTCCCCCAGGTGCCGCTGCCCACACAGGGCACAGGAATTTGCTCACGATCACTTATAGGACCTCGCTGCTCTCACCTGTGAGGCCCAGGACAGGCTCTGTGCTGGCCTGTGAACCCCATCTATCACGGGAAGCCACACAGAAAGAGCCCAATGAGAAAGCCTACAAAGGTAAGTGCTTCTACAAAGATAAAAATGGAAAAGGTTTCTTGAAGTACATGCAGCGCAGCAAGGGGTGGCCACAGCGCCTAAAATGTCTCCCCTGCTTTCCCGTCCCTGCAATGCAGAGGCCTCATCAGGGGAACCTGCGCAGCACCCTTTATACTTTATCCTTCCTAATTTTCACAAGGAATGGGGACCAAGGGCAACTGGAACTAGTGTGGAGGCAAAATGATAAAGCCAACTGGAAACCAATGGTCGTTTTCTATAAAGTGAAACGCCCCTGGGCACTAACTGGAGGGAGGGAAACCAACACACAAAGCTCTGCATGCAAATGTGCAGTCTGTATGGGAATCTCCCCAAACTGGAAATCATGCAAATGTCTCTTCTTCAGCTGGAGAAGGGAGAAACTGGCACAGCCACACCCTGGAATACCGGTCAGCAATAAAGGGGAAAGAATGACTGATTCATACAATAACATGGATCAGTCTCAAATGCATTGTGTTAATAAGTTAAAGAAGCCAGACTCAAAAGGTTGCATACTCTGAGTCCATTTATGGATGTCCTGGAAGAGGCATGATCATGAGGACAGAGAGCAGATTAGTGGTTCCTCAGGGGTACTGGGGAGCTTTTTGGGGTGATGGGAATTTTGGGTATCTTGACTGTGGTGGTAGTTACAGGAGCTTGCTTGTCAAAACTCAAAAAGCTGCACCTGACAAAGAGTGAATCCTAGTATAAGTAAATCCCACTCCAGGCCTGCCTGTAGAGAGCTCCGGGCCAGGCTCGTAAAGGAGGCAGCATGCTCTCCCCCTGACAGTCGGAAACAGCACACACTCTTCAATTTCCCTCCAGCTCTTCAGTTTTCAAATTACATCTCTGCCCCTGCCTGTCCCACATCCAATTTGCAACTATTGCCTGGACAAATGAAATCTGTAATTGCTTGGGGACAACAGCAAATTATCACCTTAGTAAGTGGCAATCACTGGTCTGGCCCAGCCTCTTCTCTGGGACCCTCACGCACTCAGAAAGCCTTGAAAGCCACCCTTCACCAGACTGCCCTGAGCCACGCTCTCCCCAGGTGGGGGAGTGGCTGCCAGCCACAGGGGAGCCCCGTGTAGTCAGACAGATGTGGTGCCTGCTCCCTGTGCCCTTCTGGCTGTGAGGGATGCTCCAGAAATAGATATAAATTATCCTGGAGGGACATAAACACCAGCAGAAGGCAACGTCGGCCTATGTGTAAATGGGGTATAAATATGTCTTTGACGCGACCTGCCTCCTGGAGTCGAGTGCTTCTGAGGTCCTGCCAGCTGCTGCATATCCATCTCAGAATGTCTACCCTGGGTGGCCTCAGGAGGGCGAGGCAGTCTGAGGGCCCTGTCACTACAGCTCTGGTCACCAAGTCCAAGAGCCACCCCTTACTTGTCATTAAGCCCCGCCCTATCCTACCTCTGAGATGTTTCCCTCTCTCTACCCCCCTTCACATGAATTCTGGCCTACAAGACCTTACTAGGCTCTGACCTCACCTCATTCCTCTGCTCTTCCCTGTGATCCTGCCCCTGGCCCCATGACTCTTAAGGTTGACAAATACTCTTTCCACTGCCCAGCACACCGTTCCCTCTTCTTTGGTCAGAGACACATCCTTTGCTCATCCTTCAAGACTCAGTTTAGGCATCTTATTTGGGGCAAACCATTTCTGATCAACACCAACCTCCTCCACTCCCTCATCTCCTAACTCAGGGTGTGGGTCCTTCCGCGACAGCCTGCACTCTCTGCTGTGTCTATGAAAGGGTATTCAGGAAACCCTGGCGGTTAGGCTGATGGTACACCACAGCTCTAGAGGAGAGTTCATTCACCTCACGGTGTATGTGAAATAAGTCCTTAGAGTTGGGCAGTGCACAACCTGTGCAACTGCCCAAGATGGTCCTGAGTATTACCCACAATCTATTACAAGTAATACCTCTTAGGAGACAATAAACTCTCATAGGTAAAGACTGGGTTTTCTGCACATACACCTAGTGTTCCACACTGGCTGGGCACAGAATCAACATTCATTGCCTATTGGGTAAAGTAGTAGACTGTGGCTACATACTACCTCCAAAGCCAGAGAAGCCAGGATCATAATAAACCTTGCCTGTTCCTATAAGGCAATGCCTTGACTTACCCCTCTGCTGGGAGACACTAAAGCCTCTAGCCCCAACCCCACACTGTCTGATGAGTCACAGCTAGATCCATACCCAATGCTGGGCCCTGGTGCTGCTCTTCCACACCAGGAAGTCCCTGTGTGTTCACCAGGAGCTGGACAGAGGCCCACACCCAGCCTGCTGCTAAGTCCTAATGGGAAGCCTGAGGGAGAGCAGGCCAGTCCGCCCTCTAGATGCCCTCGTATTACTTAGGAAGAGGATGAAGCAACAGGGGACAAGTGTACAGCCCAGAAGTGACTGCAGTTCTATAAAGGAAGACCTGGGCCTCTTCATTCCACGGCACAATGAGGGGCAGGTCCAAGGTAGACTCGTTCCCATCCAGTTTCAGTGTGGGCAGTGGGTGGCCACATGGAACTGGCTAGCCCTGCTGCAGGGTGGAAGGGGTGTGGCCAAGAAGGCACGGAGAGATGATCCAGAGTCATTGAGTACGCTGGGAAAACACCTCCTGACCTCCCATGCTGAGACCTGGGGAGCCTGCCCAGATGCCTGGTGTGTCTGAGCACAGGGACAGTCAGCATCCATCTGTGTCTGAGCACAGGGACAATCAGCATCCATCCATTCACCCGCTAGCGCAAGATGCCCTGCTAGGTTGCAGTGCGCCCCCTGGGGCTGGGGCTGTGCTCCCTTCCTCTCCTTCTTAGAGGTCACAAAGACTCCCTTACTAGCTAAGTAAAGTCTACCCCAATCTGGAATTCCCCATAGAGAACCTGGGCCAGGAGCGGTATGATCCAGGCCCTGGCTGGGCCTTAGGCCTGTTCCTGCAGGTCACAATGTCCTGTGTCCAGCAGACCCTGCCAGGGTCACTTGCTGGCTCACCACAGAACAAGTCCAGACCTTTGCAATTAGAGCCTGGCTGGCTGGGCTGTGAAAAAAAGCTCCGAGAACTCTCATACGCTGGACAGAAATGGTATGGAACAGGATTCTGGTATGTTCTCAGTACCTGTTAACACACCATTCTCACACCATTCTCTGGAGCCCATTTGGACTCCAGCACCAGCCTGGAAGGCCATGTGTATTTCTGGCTCATTCTATCTGGCAGGCAAGAGGTTTAGTTACATCTTCCTCCTCAACACAGCAAAAAGCAAAGAGGTCACAGCAAAGACGAGGGGCAAGGGTCTGACCCCTTCTTGAGACCACTCTCACCTGCCTCTGGCTGGGCCCTGAAAACCTGTTAAAATCCATAGTGAGGAACAGAAACACTTTGGGACCACTCAGGGCGCGGGGCTCACGCTGTTCTGGGGGCTTTTCTTTTTGAAGGAAAACTGGGTACTGGTGTGTGCCCTGTTCTGTTGTCTTAACTAGGTGGGGGCTTTTCATTGGCTTCTCTTGGGTCTTCAATAGGCATCTCAAGTTATTTACATTTCACATCTAGTCTTCAACTCTAGAGACTGCTGTTTCAAGTTTTAGTTAGGAAAAAAAAAAAAGCCCTCCATCACTCTGTGACTTGAAGGATAATCCTGAAGAGGAGTTTCCTTTTTTTAAGACTGGAAAAAATCTGCTGGTGTCATGTAACCAGGAAAATCAAGTCAGTATGGACAATGTAATTGAAAAATCTAGGGTGATATGCAGAGACAGGGCTGTGAAAGGGGGTGGGCAGGGTAGAAAGAATCAGAGGGGTCTGGATAAAGTCCCTGGGAATTGGACAACAGCCTATTTCAGTGGCCAAATCATTTTTCATTCAACAAACAACTAAGTGCCTTTATGTATTAGGCACTATTTCAGGTGCTGTGGACATACCTTAAAAAAGACAACTAGAATTTACATGGTGGGGGTATGGGGTAGGATAAATAGTGCATCAGATGGTGGTATATATATACTCTAGAGCAAATAAAAAGTGGAACAGGAACAGGGCCTGGTGGAGTAAGGGTTTGCAATATAAAACAGAACAGGGAGTGGGTGCCAGGGGCCAGGGAGGGGAAACTGGCTGCAGGGTTTCAGTTTGAGAGGATGGAAAAGTCCTGGAGATGGAGGGTGGTGACATGCTGTGAATATACTTAATGTCCCTGAGGTCTACACTTAAAAAAAGA